TTTCTATTTATGTGTCTGTGGTTATGAATTTGGCCTTTGTAAAGCGCCGAGTAGGAATTATTAACAAGGCCTGGGTAAGTTGTTGGGCAGCCTGAAGTTGTCATTGATGCAATAATAGTGAGACTGTTGAAATGGCTCGTTTGACTCGGAAAATTCCAGAATAAGTGCCCTAAGACTATGGCTGCTACCTGCCTGTCCGTTTATTGCTACTTTGATAATATACTCGGTCAAGTGCTTCGTATGAATTCTCTCTCAGGTGTGTTGGGATGCCCGTTATCGAGTCAAGTACCTGCATGACAGCCACAAAGCTGAAGCAAGTCACGAAAAGAAAAAGAAAAAAGGATACCTCGGATATGCACTCACAATAATTTTAACGTCTAAAAAAAACTCCAATAAACATCCATGTCAACACAAGTCGGCCAGCTTCATTTCACCACTCACCACCCACCCTATACACGTGACCACGCGTCCAAAACTCCACCAAACACCCAGCAAATCGGCCATGAAACACACGGAAATTGAAAAAAAGGGCGGTGCCCGTGTCCCCAAGAATTACCATCCATTCAGTCCTGTTCATGCGTACAGTCCCCGTATCGCCAGGTACAGCCATGCTAGCCACGCCGTAGGCCACCCCCCGTTTCGCTCCAGCCCTCCAATCCCAATAGCGCACGCAGTGGTAGTGGTGGTGTGGCATCCCTTTCCGTAACGAGTTCCCAGCGGCCGGGCATAATAGTCATGGACATTACGCGTGGCTCGCGTCGAGCCCGTCATGTAGCCGCCAATGCCAATGCCAGTGCCAATGCTCACGCCGTCGTTGCCGCGTCCGAGGAAGACGTGGACGACGGACGGCGGCAGGAACAACGACCACGACCGCGCGACTTTGCTGCGCGAGCCATCACCACACCCGGGACCACGACCGTGGCACATGCCGCGCAGACGCCGGATCTGCAGTACGAACCGAATCCTGGCTCGAGGAGGAGAGCAGAGGCCCCGCCGCCGGTGGTGAGGAGGCAGCAGGCCACGCCGAGTTATTCGCATCGGACGCCGGAGCAGCTTGGCGGCCAAAGGAGCCAAGGCGGTTTGCAGACGGGCCTGGCGGGACCGGCGCCGCATCCGTTCCGGCTGCATAGGAGTGAGTTTGTCCTTTCTTCTTCTTTTTGAGGGCTTGATATGTTGTGCTGGTTTCTGGTCTCGAGCGTGGATGGAGGGCGATGAGTCGTGGGGATGGGGCGAGGCCTTCATAGTTCACTCTTTGGACTCGGCTGTTTCCCTTGGGGTTTGCGTCGAGCGGTGTTGGCGATTTTGTGCCAAGTGTCAATATAACAATGGGCTGGTCTTGTTGCACTTGACGAGCCGTGAGGCTTTGACCGGTGCTGGTTTCATGGCCACAAGGCACCAGACTGCTTACTAGCAGCTCTGCTTGAACCTTCATGCCATTTGATGTTTTCAGCAAGAGCATCTCGTTGCACCGCTCATCGCTGCGGGCCAGACCAAGCGCAAGGCCTCAACGAAATCCCCTTCAGAAGAAATACCTGCCCATCCACCAGGAAAACACCCCTGGCCGCAGGCGTTTCTCTCTCCTTCGCAGACCAAACGAGCCTCGAAGCACGGCATCACGCTTTTGAACGTCGCAACCCATCCTGTCCCTCCCACCCCTTTTTACGCATCCAGCCTACGACACTACAGCCAACTATCCCCCGACTCTCGTCTGAAAATCACCAGCAAAACCCCCAAGATTACAAACTTTCTAACACCCTGAACAGCGGCGCATTACGCCGGCCCTCGGCTCAGCATGCCCTACGACTCAGATGAATCCAGCTCCGAGCCAGACCTAAGCGTCCTGGCTATGGCCCGGGGCCGCCACCCCATGACAGACCAAATACGTAACATGAACAACAATATGGCGTATGACGACGAGGTCTTGTCGCAGGAACAGTACGAGGCCGAAGACACCAGTCTCGAAGAACAGGCAGACGAGGAGTCGTCGGAAGAAGAGCCAGAAGAAGCCGTCAGCCTAGTCGACCCTGCAGCCCTTGGACTCAAGGAGATTTCCAACCTCGGCAGGTTTACCGTGAGCAGTCACAAGCCAGGAAACGGAGTGGAAGAGCTGCGAAGCGATGATCTCAAGCTATACTGGCAGTACGTTTTGGCATCAATCTCCCCCCCCCAAAACAACAACACAGAATTCAGACTCACAGTGCCAACGAATTAGATCAGACGGGCCCCAGCCGCACAAGCTAACAGTCTACTTTGTCAAGCGCGTCGGCATCCGCGACATCCGCTTCTTCGTCGACTACAGCGAGGACGAGTCCTACACGCCCACCAAGATCGTCTTCAAGTCGGGCACCAGCGAGAACAACCTCATCGAGTTTGCCACCATGGCCATGGAGAGCCCCGTGGGGTGGCAGCAGGTGCCTATTGCCGGGGCGGGCGGCGACCCGGACGGCAACACGCTCGTCTCGTACGTCCTGCAGATGCAGATCCTGGAGAATCACCAGAACGGCAAGGACACGCACCTCCGGGGGATCAAGATATACGCGTTTGATGCGGATGCTGCCCAGGGAGCGGGGAGGGACACGGCCGCCGCCGAGGAGGAGGGTGCGGCGAGCGCGTTTGGCACCGCGGACAAGCTGGGCGATATCGTGAGGGATTTTGCGGCGGCGAGGCTGGAAGGTGGCGAGGCTGGGTTCTCGATTCCGGATTTTATGAGAGAGCCCGAGATTCGGTGAGTAGCCGTCGAATAGCTCGAGGTGTGACGGAGGCTCATGCGGGCATGGGGCTTGCGTGATGCTTTGCCGTGTAGACTTGTAACTGTCTCGGCGAAGGAGGCGATATCCAAAAAAAGGGGCCTGTGGTCACGGGCTCACGGTGGAAGAAGAGGTGGCTGTACGATTACTACTGGCATTTTGAATGATGAAACGATTTGATTGTGTGCTTCTAATCTGTGCCCAACACGTCTACAGAATAGGCAAGAGACTTGGCCTGTTTATCAGAGTTTGTTTGTTTGCATCTGTAAAAAGGCAGTGCAGGCGCACGGCCATGGGGCTGGTGATACTTTTGGCCCAGCACAACCGCCATTATGTTGCTGTCGTCATATGATGTCAATTTGTGCCGAAATTTCCCAGTACAGCCAGCCTTGTGAGGACATTTCTACGTGAAGAAAACGAGTGTTTGCCCGTCTTTGAATGATGGTGCTAAATGAAGAAGGCTTCCAGAAGCCATCTGACCAAATCGACCCGCACGATGACACCTCGGAGACTTCCATAACGGGCGCAGCAGGAGATTACACAAAACCATGGTCTACTAGGTAGTACAAAGGTGCCTACCTAGTAGTTGGAGAATCACGCACTTGGATATAGAAAACTTTAAGTGACCTTTTAGGCCGTCCTATACCCATCGATTCGGACAAGCTTTTGTGGACGATGTCAGAGTTGGGGCGACGTCGAGGCTTGTCGAGAAACTAATAGGTAACTAGTACTCTGTAGTTCTACGGACTAATCCCGAGTACTGTTTGTTTGCTTGGGTTTGAGTCGCAGTATTGGCTGGTTGGCTGGTTGATCAGGTAGGTGTCTTGTGGAGGACCTTGGTGGTCAGGCGTATTCCACAAGGTTGTGCGTCGTGGTTCTCAAAGGAACCTGGCGAACATCATCGCTCACGGCTCTGGAGCTCCGATTGCTAGTGCGGGAGAATGGGGGGGACGAGGGACACGGGCATCGGCACCTTCAAACAAGCCGTCGCTCTTCAAGGTTTGGCGCATACCGAGTAAATTCAACATGCACATACAACGGCTGCAATGGCTTCCGTCGTGCTAGATCAACAAATGATGCGACACTTTGGCGGTCGCGAAACCAGAACGCTCAGGGATCGCAAGTACATGGTCGCGCCGCCATTTGTTTCGCCATTCTCTGCATCCTCAAAAGCAGACTCCTTAGCTGTCAGCCTCACTTTGATCGGGGTAGGAAATGCTCCAAAATCCCAACTAGTCTGTCCTCGCATTCATCGTATGATGCCAGGTGCTTTGCGGGAAACGAAGGCTGCGACGCTGCCAAGCGACGAGCTTGGGGAAGCCCCCACCCTTGCCGTTGAACGACCCACTTTTCCGAGAGCAACCCTCCAGTTCCGGAGTTGTTTCCACTCAGGCCGTGGTGTGGAATCAACTGAACTAAAACAGAGACGACCAAAGGCGGTGCGGTGGCAGGCAGCATTATGGCATGTATATGCAAACATGTGTTCCTTGAATTGATGAGTGTATTGCTTCTGGAGCCAGCACCTAGTCCTCGGAGCGCTTGGGTTAACAAATGCTATCTCTTGCCAAGTTTGCCAATGTCGTTCCACTCGTCGCTTCTCAAAACGAAGCAATTCACCATGGAAGTCGGGAAGGCACCACTGGGCGCAGAGCGAGGTTGGCTTGCACCTGACCACCGCCCTTGTACATACTAGTGCTAGTACGTAGCGTCCATGCCTTGTCCTGGGCGCCTTCCCCACTCCCATGCCGGGTATCCGCCCAGGCCCGCCTGCCACTGCCACTGCCACTGCCTCTGTGCCTCAGTGTGCTTCTGTGAGCACCCAGCGCCAGACGTGCACTAGGCTGTGTGCCACTGTCCGCCCGCTCCACTGCCTCATCCTTGGCACCACTTTGCACCACCCGACCGACCAGTCGACCTCTTCAGGACATCTGGATGGACGAGACCCCCAATTGACAGCCAAGTCTCTTGGTCGACGTCAGAGACGTGGCCGACAGCCAGTGCCAGCATTTATAAATACTCAAGTACAGCCATCGATCCCACCATCACCGAGCTTGCGTTCAAGAACCACCACCTAGTCGCGAATATACCCTGCCATAGACCGTCGCATTCCGAGTCCTGCACCCTACATCTCTGCGCTCCATCCCTTTAGATCCGCCAGGCCATCGCCTACACCTCGCCGACCAGAATCACACCAAGTCTGCGCCAGCAGCATTCGTAACAGTGACTTCCTTGACCTCGTCCACCGAACCCATCATGGCCCAGGTAAACGGAGGAGGATCGTCCAGCAGCAAGGCCCCCGCGCCTGCGTATGAATCCCAGGGCAAGATGAATGTCGAGCCGCCCAGGCAAGAGGACCTTCAGCAGAGCTATGCCACCCTTATCGGCAACGATCCCAACCCCAAAGGCTGGTATGGTAGCATGAGTACGTTCAACTCGAAATCTATCTGCCCTCGACGTCGGGTAATGGCCAGCTCTTCTTGCTAACGTGCTCCCCTAGTTAATACCATTGGCGCCTGCATTGGAACCATGGGAGCCATCCCCCTGTGCTTCTGTTGCCCGAATCCATATAAGAACGTTAATCAGGGCAATGTTGGTCTTATCACCAAGTTCGGTCGATTCTACAAGGCTGTCGATCCTGGTCTGGTCAAAGTGAACCCGCTCAGCGAGAAGCTCCTCCAGATCGATGTCAAGATCCAGACATCAGAGGTTCCTGAGCAGTTTTGTATGACCAAGGACAACGTCACTTTGCGTCTAACCTCTGTTATCTACTACCATATTGTGGCTCCTCACAAGGCGGCCTTTGGTATCTCCAATGTCCGCCAGGCCCTTCTTGAGCGCACCCAGACTACCTTGCGTCATGTCATTGGCGCTCGCGTTCTTCAGGATGTCATTGAGCGACGTGAGGAGATTGCCGACTCTATCCGCGAAATTATTGAAGACGTCGCTGCAGGATGGGGCGTGCAGGTTGAGAGCATGCTCATAAAGGACATCATTTTCAGCCAGGACCTTCAGGAGTCGCTTTCTATGGCCGCCCAGAGCAAGCGTATCGGTGAAAGCAAGGTCATCGCTGCCAAGGCAGAGGTGTGTTGAGCAATTCCAAGTCCCTTGAAATCGAAATTCGGTCAAGCTAACCATGTACAGGTCGAGTCTGCCAAATTGATGCGACAGGCAGCCGACATCCTCAGCTCTGCTCCGGCCATGCAGATTCGTTACCTAGAAGCTATGCAGGCCATGGCGAAGTCGGCCAACAGTAAAGTTATCTTCCTGCCTGGCTCCAGCCAAAATATGACGGCTTTCAACAACGCCCTGAATGCCACCCATGAGATTGGCGAGGGCAGCGGCCACAACCGAAATGACAATAGTAACAATGACTTTGGAGGTCAGGACCCCGGTTTGCAAGCCGCCATCAACGCCCGCGTCGTAGAGAACATCTAATGATGCTCGCGTATGTTCACATGACAAGAGCGTGATATGCTAACTCGAAGTGATTGGGTTGATTAGCGTGGTCTACTTGATTTCGAGAGATGTCCTCCTGATAGGCTCCCATAAGTTTTCAACGATGCTCTACCTTGTCTTCCGCATTCACTTCGAGTCGGCAGTCTCAACATGTTCCCGCGCTTTGAACGACTCGATTCTAAACGCCTACTGTCCTACCCGATTTGTTGCGACCCAACTCCTTAGAGCCACCTATTTCTACTTCTTTGTTGCTCTTGCTTTTCTTCCCCCGCTTTTTTTTTTGGACCGAATGAATGAAGGTTGATGGTACAGAGGTGACTGGTAAAGTTAATGCAGGCTTACCTCTCGGCTTTGATCAAGGCAGGATTCACGAAGATTGATGATGATACCCCGTCGTTTGATACCTTGGGGGGAGATGGGTAGAAGAAGACATGTATGGATGGGTGCTGGGAAGAGTCTTACTCAGGATCTTGCGACGGATACCCCTAATCGCTCGCTTAGGAACCGGAGGAAGCAGTTTGTATATTTTTGTAGAAGATTAACTCGTAATGGATAACAATAGCGCTATTTAAAAATCTCTCCTTGCTTTTCGTTGCATGCCTGGCATGTAACGAAAGCATTCAGTTTACTCACGTTTGATAAAGTGAGGACGCAGAATTTGTTGAATAATGCCATTGCGGTCTACTAAACAAGTTTCCTTTCGCTCGCCCATGACCTCGAGTGATCGACAAGATTAGACGATAGCCAAGCCTAAATGACAAAAAACTTTCAACAGATTACAAAGTAGAGCAAAAACAAGAAGAAAGCCTTTCGCGCCAAATGCCATTCAAATTCAACCGTTTCCCAAAAACGCCGGCGCCCTAGTCGGCACAAGAAGTTCGAGGCCAGAAGAATGCTTCTCCGTCATCAAAAACCAACCCCCGGCCGCCATTTAAAGTCTCAGGTATCAATCATACATCTACAAATCGCAGACTATTGCAGGCCTTGTTGTGATACGTTTTGTCTTTTTGTGGTCCCCTTCCCTTCACCCCACACCCGCATTTTTAAAGTCACCATTTTTCTCTGAGCCGGCTTCTATTCGGCGTCGGAGTGGCGCTTCTTCTTCTTCTGCTTCTTGTCCTTTTTGGTTGGCTCGACTTGTTCCTCCTCTTCGTCGAGCTTTCTCTTCTTCTTCTTTTCAGGAGAGGGCTCAGTGGCGGACTTTGAGGGTGTGGATTGGCTGGCGGCCTCGGCCTTGCGGAGCTTCTTGAGTTCTTTCTTGCTGAAGACCTTGGGCGTGCCGTCAGCGTTGAGCTGGACGTCGCCGCGCTCATACTTTCGCTTGAATTTCTTGACAGAGAGACCGGCGGCTTCTGCAAGGCGCTCATACTCTTCGCTTGATAGCTTGGTGACCTTCTTGGCAGGGGTGGTGGCATCGTTATCACTCTCATCATCCTCAGCATCCTTCATCTCGTCGTCTGAGTCTTCCTCCACCGCCTCGATCTTCGGCTTCTTCTTGTCCTTGGATTTCTTTTCCTTCTTAGACGAAGTATCACCATTGACTTCCTCACTAACACCATCGGCATCGGTGTTGTATCGTCGAGTCTCCTTGAGGGTGAATACGCCAGCCCCGACAATCTCACCAGACGGGGCGACGTTGGCACCCTTGGGCAGAGGGGGCTTGCCCTCGAGCTTTCGGAGGCGGTTCTCCAACTTGATACGATTGCTGAGACCGAGGATGGCTCGCTCTTCCTCATCTTCCTCGTCATCGTCACCGCCAAGGGCGTCGACACGCAGGCCGAGAGCAGCCTTTGCAGATAGCATACGGGCTATCTTGCCCTTGTTGCGACCAGTGGCCTGTCCGATGAGGGAAGAATGGTAGATCAGACCATACTTGGGGGTATCGTGCTTGGTCTTAAGAGCTCGGAAGAGAGCCTTCTCAGCACCCAATATCTGGATAGTGGAACCGGGGGCCTTGGCTAGGCTCATGAGGGATCCGGCATGAGCGATGAGTCTGGCACCGACAAGGTAGCCAACAAGGGCAGTCAAGTTGGGGGCAATAGCACGCATGCGGGTCTCCAAGTAAGAGGAAAGCTGGGTACGGTACTCGGAGTAGCGAATAACCTGCTCGGCCAAAAGCTTGATGTTGTCCAAATCTTCCTCCATGATTTCAGTACCCATGCTGATTTCAGCGGCGGCCTTGATGGCGACCTCGACTTCCTCGGGCAGGATCTCAGACAGATCACTGTCGGCAATGTTGGTTCGCATACCAACGGTGAGAATAACACGAGCGTAGGCCAGGTTGTCGTTGAGAATCTTGGCCATCTCAGGAAAGTGCCAACCGTACCATTCCTTGGTTCGCATAGCGTAGACATTGAGCTCCTTGTCCATGTCATCGATCAGCTTGATCGCCTGAATGATCATTGAGTCGACCTTGTCGGCGGAAAACTTGAGTTTATGGCGGGACATCGAGTGGGAGAGACCGAGGGACATGCGATCGACAATTTCTTGTTCCAATCCAGGAATAAGAGACGAGAGGTGCTCACGAATTCCTCGGAAGCAATCCATGGTTTCGGATCCAGCAACAGGTGTGATGTTGAATTGGGGCAAGTTGGAAATAGCGGTTCCTAGCTTTATGTCGGCGACGGCGAGCGAGGCCTTCTTCTCGCTCTTGAGATCTTCCAAAAGAGTCGTGAGGAGCTGTGGGACCTTGCCTTCCTTCAGAGAGGCGGCTTCTTCGAGGGCCATGGCAGCGCTGTCGAACTTGACAAACTTTTTCAGCTTAAGCCTGGAACAACCCCATGTTAGTACACCATCGCGAAGGCTTTATGTGCAGCCAAGGTTTCGTTCTCACATTTCGACCAGTTTCTCGGGGCGTCCGAGTTCGGCGGCAAGGTCCTCATTCTTGAACATTTTCTTGTCCGAAGCCTTGAACAGGCCATAGCTACATTTGTGTTAGCCATTTGAACTCAAACTTAACAAAGTACCCAGGCAGTGAAGTAGCGTTGGCAAAAACTCACCCTGCCGGCGTCTCGGCAAGAACGAAGAGAGACATTGTGAATAAGTAATATTGCCTCTAACGAGCTTGCTCGGCTCGATTGGGATCCTGCTCTCCTGCAAAGCGCAATGGCGGTCGATGTGCGCACGCAAGATAAAATGTGATGGAAATTTTTCAGACAAGAAGAGCTCCAGTCTCCACTCAAAATTTTTGGCTTTGGTTCTGCACACAAGTGGGTAGTGGGAGGGATGAGCCGGATGCCGGCGCTTCTATAAGTCCGGCCGAGCCTACCATTGAACAAACTCACGTGGTGGTTGTTGGCTTTGGTGGCGCAGGCTGGCGACAAAGGCTACGGCGGGTCGTACTTGCATAGTAGTGCTTCAGAGAAGCATCAGAGCAGGCAGACGTGGTACCGGCACTACTCTTCGTAACGACAGTCACATCCACTTGTGCGCATCCTAATCCACGGCTGTTTTTTCCCTTTGCCTCGCAACTCGATAACTAGAGTCAAGAGACGTCAGGCAAGATGGAGGGTTTGTTCTTCAATGTCAATAATGGGTGGGTTCGCTTCATCTGGCGGGCAATCTGTATGCACCGCTGACCATGACAGCTATGTCGAAGGCATCGTCCGAGGCTACCGCAATGGCCTTCTCACTGGCACGGCCTACAACAATCTGACCCAGTGCGAAACTATCGATGGTATGATGATGATTCTTATTGCATTGCATCTCTATTGTTGTGCATTCTTGGCGCGCTAACTCCAGGGCAGACCTCAAGCTTCAACTTGGACCTGCCTATGGTGACTTTCTCGCCTCCCTGCCGCCCAACCCGTCAACATCCAGCCTTGCCGCAAAGACAACCGACAAACTCGTCTCCGAATTTCGATATGTCCGGGCCAATGCTGTAGGCTCACTAGCAAAGTTCATGGACTACCTCACCTACGGCTACATGATTGATAATGTTGCCCTTCTCATTACTGGTACTCTTCACGAGCGAGACACCCGCGAGTTGTTGGACAGATGCCACCCATTGGGATGGTTCGAGACCATGCCCGTTCTTTGTGTTGCCACGAATATCGAGGAACTGTATAACAGTGTTTTAATCGAGACTCCTCTTGCGGCCTACTTCAAGGGTAGCTTGAGCCACCAAGACCTTGACGAGCTCAACATTGAGATTGTCAGAAACACTCTATACAAGAACTACCTTGAGGACTTCTACCACTTTGTCAACTCACATCCTGACATGGCTGGCACGCCAACAGCAGAGGTCATGTCGGAGATCCTGGAGTTTGAGGCGGACCGAAGAGCCATCAACATTACCCTTAACTCATTTGGCACTGAGCTGTCCAAGGCAGACCGCAAGAAACTTTACCCCAATTTTGGGAAGCTGTACCCAGAGGGCACTCTGATGCTCTCTCGTGCAGATGACCCCGAGGGTGTTCGTCTGTCTGTCGACGGTGTTCATGACTACAAGACGTTCCTTGAGGCTGCCTCCCTCGGCGGATCATCTGGACCTGGTAATATGGGTGGCGGTTCTGCTGACGGCAAGACATTAGAGGACATGTTCTATCAGAAAGAAATGGAAATCTCAAAGAGTGCTTTCACCAGGCAGTTCACTTATGCCATTGTCTATGCGTGGGTCCGACTTCGAGAACAGGTCAGTCACAATGCAAAATTTCAGTTTAAATTGAGGAAGATGTGCTAACGATAGATAGGAAATCCGAAATATTACATGGATCGCCGAGTGTATAGCTCAAAACCAGAAGGATCGCATTGGCAACTTTATTAGCGTGTTTTAATAAACCCTTAGTTTCTTTTGTTTGATTTTTACTAGCATGGCTTGTAGTATATTGACCGCACTAGCTCATAATTGCAAGGTAGAACGGTCTTTTTTTATAACATTTGGCGCAACATTGGGGGAGGCTAACGAAGTCAAATGTGGACAAGCAAATTATCCATCCATGTGGCTTTTTTAATATTGTACAAATAGGAGTATAGTATTCTACAGCCTTTCTTACAAGCTAATCTGGCCCTTCCAGGTAGCGGGCGTGAGGCCCAACTTCTCAATCATGAGTGTCCATCTCTCGCTGCCCCGTTCCTTTCTCTCCATATATGCCATCAGTTTCTGTCTGCGGTGCACCAACAGCCTCAAATTACGCTTATTATGAACATCCTTATACCCCCGGTTTATCTCAAGAGCCTTGGACAGAGTTCGAATCTTTGCTGTGAGAATGGCAATCTGCACCTCGGAGCTGCCAGTGTCGGGACCTGCACGATCCGGCATGGGTGTGGTATTTGGCGAAATAGATTGCGGCTTAGGCTTCAAGAACTTATCTGTCTTATGGCGACCAAACTCGTCGACCAGGCGGCGAACATTTGCGTGGAAGCGGTCTTTGGCGCTACCATTCCGCAAGGACGTGATCCGCCTCAAAGCCTCCACTGCCTTGGTATGGTCCTGCTTGTGTTTCTCGATATTGGCCTCATTTGAGGCCGCGTCGCTTAGTTGATCACCAACAATTGCCGCCATAGGTTTGCTGAGTGTGAAGGCGTGTTTCGTCGCTTCTTCCAATTCGGCATCGGTAAGGAAGTGGTTTCTCAGACCCGGTGTCGTCGGCAGCTCATGGGGCGTCTGGAGAGGATTACCGCTGGCATCCCGGGGCACTTCACTGAAGGCGACTTGGCCAGCGGTATCAAGGGACTCAAGAAATGGAGTTGTCTTCCCCAACACGGGATTACCCCATGCTTCGTCCCGTTGCTTCTGGAGTTCCTCCCGACGCTTGAGGTTTGCGTTTTTCCGTTGCTGCGCCTGTGCCCACTTGTATGGATCCTGCTTTGCCTTGCGTTTCTTCTCTCTTTGTGACAGATTGGCTGTTTGAATGACGGGCAGGAAGTTGGGGGTTGCTGCTCGAGTAGTCGGTCGAAGACACACTGTTGCCATGCAAATGTTAGTGACCACCATTGGCATACAATTTGATGAGGATGAACAGCGAAAATCAATGCTCTTACGGTTGAAGGTGCCTAGGCGCTGCAGCACCTCTAATCTGGGCGGCATGGTTATTTGAGGCTTCTCGCAGGGACGATCTGAAAAAGTCCAGCAAGGCGAGTCACCTGCAACTGCTTCGACGTCAGGTCAGATACTCAAAATTTCCCTTGTCCCTAAGCACTACGGCATACAGGAGGACCCAGAGTCCAACAAAGTTCCCAACACAGACTAGCGTAACATGCACGTGATTGGCTATCCACATCAAGAGGGCTAGTCTAATTTGGCTCTAGCGCCCTCAGGGCTGCTACCCACACACACTTTCGCAAATTCGTGAGGATAATCGCGAACTTTTTTGCGACCTCTACGATCCGTCACGAAACCTCCGACCTTTTCTTCCCACCCGCTTCCCACGTCCAGCCTCCAAAGGAAGAGAATCAGACAAGATGGCCCCCAACAACCTGCCGTCGGTGCTCAACGCCACTACTCAGGACATTGAGATGCTCCTGGCTGCTCAATGCCATGTTGGCAGCAAGAACCTCCAGGTGCACATGGAGCCATACCTCTGGAAGACTCGTGCTGATGGTGTCAACATTATCAACATTGGCAAGACCTGGTAAGTTCACTTGGGCAATTTGGGCGAATATTGAATGTCCAAGTAATTTTTGTAGCGCAAATTTGCGCGTTGCGACTTACAAAGCTACTCGCGTTCCGTTGAATATGGCAATACTAACATTCCTTTTCCAGGGAGAAGATCGTCCTTGCTGCCCGTATCATCGTCGCCGTCGAGAACCCTGCCGACATTTGCGTCATCTCTGCCCGTCCCTATGGTCAGCGTGCCGTCCTCAAGTTCGCCGCTCACACCGGTGCTTCTTCCATCGCCGGTCGCTTCACCCCCGGTTCCTTCACCAACTACATCACCCGTTCCTTCAAGGAGCCCCGCCTGATTATCGTCACCGATCCCCGCACCGACGCCCAGGCTATCAAGGAGGCTTCCTACGTCAACATTCCCGTGATTGCCCTCTGCGACACCGACTCCCTCACTGAGTACGTCGACGTTGCCATCCCGACCAACAACAAGGGTCGCCACGCCATCGGTACCATCTGGTGGTTGCTTGCCCGTGAGGTCCTCCGCCTCCGTGGGACCATCTACAACCGCGAGACTCCTTGGGATGTTATGCCCGATCTGTACTTCTGTATGTCTTTTTTGTTCCTCGCCACGCTCGAGCTCCTTCGTATACCGTTGTATATTGCTCCGTCTTGCTAACCTGCGATCCCAGACCGCGACCCTGATACCGAGGCCGAGGAGAAGGCCGAGGAGGAGAAGCCCGCCGAGGAGGAGGCGCCTGCCGCTGTCGAGACCGCTGCCCCCGCCGCTGGTGGTGAGTGGGAAGCCTCCGCCCCTGCCTTCACCGGAACCTGGGATGGCGCTGAGGGCGGCGACTGGGCTGCCTCTGGCACCGGCGAATGGGCCGAGCCCCCCAAGGAGCAGTCTCAGTGGTAGGCCCCTGAGGCCTCTGCCGAGGGCATCGGATCGAACGACGTCGGAACCGAATGGTAAAACAACAATTAAGACTACATGGTTAAAAAGTAACGGGGTCATCGGAGGCGTTCCCAGGCTTAAGCAAGAACTTAATAAATTTCTTGGTTGTCTTGGACTCTTTGGTCGACTTGGTTGGCACTTATGAGGGAAAGATACTCTCCCCTGTTTTCCTATTCTTCACTTTGTCCACTCTTTTTTTTGTCGTCCTGCCTGGTTCCGTTTCTGTGTGATTTCAAACCATGCTCCGAATGAGACGACTGGGATGTGGGGTGGTTGTTTGTGAAGAGTAATTTTATCAGGAGAGAGGGAAAGCCCTGTGCGGCCAAAAGGGATGGACTTGACCGTTATCCCGCCTTTGTTTCCTAGACACATTTTCGATTGCGTGAAGCTGGCTATTAGCTCGTCTCCTGAGGCGCATAAGATTTCAAAAAAGAATATCACCAAACCACTCCCACCGCTCTACGTTGCCGTGACGCTTTCTTGCCCTACTTGCGATGGTTCGGGCTAGAATGTAAATCTTGTCTCTCGAATGACTGGGCTAAGCGGCATTTTTCGGGTTCAATGAAGGATGAATGCTGGAGGTGACGTCTTATAGCTCCACAGTTGGACTGGACTTTCTTGACACAAGACAAGCTAGCCCATATCCTATCAAAAGGACATAATCATAAACGACCATGCGCAAGACCTGTATGTCATGTGTTCTCGACATATTCCTTGATCACCATGGCTCTTTGCACACTCAGCATAAAAATTTCATGAGCGTACAATAGCTTGACAACCGCCCATTCTGGGGTGGTACTGTGCATTCACTGCCATCTATCTAGGGCACTCTCATGTGCTGTAATGGGTATATTACGCCCTTCCTTTCCTTTCCCGAGATTCCTAATCCTATCATTCGCTGCTATCCTCTTCCACCGTCGATCCCACTGCAATGTGTTCAATCCTTCTTTATCCATCCCGGAAAGTGACAAAGAGGTATATAGCAAAAGAAAACGCCTCGCTTCAGTATGGTCACAAAAGAACACTTTAAGCGTTGTATGGCCAAAAAAGAAAGAAAGAAAGAAAATAAGGAAAAAGGGGGAGAAGAGAGAAAGAAAGAAAGAGAGAAAAGCAAAAGTATCGCTGTCTAAGTAAAGTGGAAAAAAATGCATAAAAACGAACGCGAGGACGCCTTGGCCACTATGTGTATTTGGCCAATTGAAAATTCCGTTTGGCCGTTGGATATCAATAGAAATGAAATGTTTCCTGTTCCGGGTATGGGATGCAAAAAAAACCATGCGCTAGATAGGCCGTAAGCTTAAGGGTATATTTCGAGGGAAAAAAAACGAGGGTATTGAGGAAAGAAAATAGCATTAGGGAATATCAAGCTCATGTACCAGGTGTCGTGTTATGCAAGAATCGGAATTATCTTCATTACGCATCGCAAATCGGTGAGGAGTACCACAATGCTAGCTTGATCGTACTTGAGAAGTTGTCCGTTTCTGTTACAAACAGAATATATAGCAAGCCGTGGATGAAAAATCAATCTACCGAAGGCTTTGAGAATGCTTTCGGATGTCGTCATCACTAAGCGCCCCAATCCAAAGGCATCGCTCTGTTACGCCCTCAATCGGCTGGAATGTGTATCGAGTGCTGGCTTCCAAGAGACGGAGGAGTGTCTTTACAACAGAGGCTGCAATGCGGCACCGCTCAAAGTTGACCAGAGGTGCGGTTGATGGCGAACTTGCAATCTCAGATGGCTTCTGTGCATTGTAAAGCAAGTCGTGTGTATAAATGCCAACAAATGGAATGCAGCCAGAATCTGAACCCATTTCCATCTCTTGCCGAATGTTATGAAAGTTTCTGCTAGGAGTAACTAGAAACTCAAGATCACTGAGCGTCTTTAAGTCATTTTCTGGCACAAGATCCCACGTCTTGGACATGCGAGATATTTCGTTGCTAGACAGGGCAATCGTAAGCTGGGCAAGAGTCGCAAAATTGCGGTACCGTCGGCAATGGGCCGCAATGTGAATTAGCTTGATGATGCATCTAGCTCTCTCCTCGGCATGCTGGGTGAGAACAATCTCGGAGATGGCCCATTTGACCATTATATTGAATCGTGCAATCACAACCTCGACGCCTTGTGCATCCGTATTTCTCAGGAAGTCAACCCATGACCGAGAATGGCTGCTAGCAGAATTCTTCCAGTCCATGTCAATCAGCTCTTTCCAATCAATTTCATTCAAAGCATCCTTCTCGATCAAAGTAAACTGTTGGGCCAAGGTGTCGGAGTCGAAGGCCAGAATGAATGGCAAATGGACAGAAAACTTGGGGCTGGCCGACGTCCCAGGTTTGGCAGAGTCAAATAACGCATTGCCGCGAGCCATCTCGTTCGTGGATCGTGGACTGTCAGGACAACTCACAATCGGCGTCAGTTCAGGTGTTGGGGGTAGTGGCTTTCTAGGCCATGTGTTGAAAGTGCGAGTAGCATCATAAGACTTTGGGGCCATTGATAAGGCCTGGGTTGGAGATATCGGCCCCGAAGATGTTTTCGGCCTCTGGTCGATAGGATCTTGTGCCAGAGGATGTGAAGGAAGGCCGTGATCTAAAAGAGGGCTGGCGTGTCCCTTGGTATCCCGAGCACGAAGCTCATCCTCAGACAGTTCTGAAGACAGGTCTGTATTATTTGCGCTATCATCTCGCAAAAAAGACTCGTCTTCCATTCCCGATGTGATAGAGGGCACTGTTTCTCCAGGCTTTATTCTCTCAATACTTTGAGTCTTTTCTACAAGGTCAAACGACGAATGCGTGGCGTCGTTAGGGTCATTGACTTGCTCTTGTTCAGATCCTGAGTCTTCATCGTCCGAGCCTCGGAGAATGGATCTTTCAGTCCAACTCCGGGGAGATATTTTACTTATTTCATCACCGAGCTCTCGCTCCAGAAGCGGTATCGAGCAGTAGGAATCTTGTGAAGCTTCAGAAACAGAAAGGAAGGAACTCAACACTCTGACTGCGCGATCAGCTTTCTCAGACTGCTGCTCCAGCGGAACCGCCTGCAAATGCTCAGGTTGTTTTGTGAGCTGATACATCGAGTACGGCTCGATATTGTGCAGCCTCTTCGCCTCGTTCGCATTTTCTGTATTAAATTCTGGATCGTTGACATTGGTAACATCTTCTTGCTGTCTCTTTCCCTTCGTTTCGTTTCTGATGGCATCTGGACTTTGGCCAATAATCGAAAGTTTGAGAGCTCGTTTAGGAAACTTCCCTTCCAGTTTCAGTAGCGCCGATTCGATGCCGTCATCTTCTTCATCTGGGATTTGTGCCAGCTTTTGAGCCTCAGCTTCGAATGATGGTCGCATGATAGGCTTGGAAGAATGCGTGCTGAAAAGTGATAGGTCCCGCTTTTGAGGCTTCTCAGTGAGCTGTCCAAGTGAAAAGACTTCTGTACGGCCCGAAGTTTCCTGCCCTTTTGATTGATCGGATTTCCCAGCAGAGTTGGGGCGGGTGCTTAGCATATATGAGCTGCAAATAGACTCGCTGAAAGTTGCCAAAGAACCCACGGACTGCGACCGTCTTACTGTGGACCGGTCAAGATCGCCCACCTTGGTAGCGGCTTTCAAATCCCCCCCTGGCCGTCGCCGGAGAACACGAAGTGGTGCGGGCATAGAAGCTTGAGATTGATGGATGCTGTCTAATTCGCCCGAGGCTGCGGTGGCATCAGAACTCTGAATGGTGGGCGGAATAGATGCGCTGCCAAAAGAAGTGACCCGGCGATGCAATATCGAATTGAGAGATTGGTGCGTTTTTGATGACCGAGTTCGTCTATGAAGGCGAACTGCGCCTCCACTCAAGGGAGGGTGTTGTCTGCTTTGGCGTTTCACTGCCAGTGGAGGTCGAGCCTGGTCTTCCGAGACTCTTGTACTCAGGCTGCCTTCTAATGTGGTGAGGTCTGGAATGAACGGAGGCAAGATATCGTCCTCTACAAAAGGTTGTCTTCCGATGTCTTGATTGAGAAGGCATGACGACCGTCGAGGTGTTCCGCCCACTTGGGATTGTTCTGGTGGTGTATTCGGAGGAGTCGGGTCGGTACCATGACGAATAAAGGAATCGGCGAAAGTATCAATCGATTGATTTTCGCTTCCAAAGACTCCATGAATCGAGGGCATTTCGAAAGGAACGGTATCATCCACGATTACAATAGACTTGCTTCCAACCGTTATTCCCATGTCACTAACTGGCCTTTGCTTCTGATTCAATACTAAGGCGTCGAGTGCTGAAGAGTCCATGTGAGCGGCTGAATAGTTAGAATATGTTGATAGCAAGGGCGCAGAATTTGGCGGGTGCAACGACACGTCACTGGGCTGTTCACTGTCGGCGGCTGCAGCCAACGCCGCCTCCTCCTCACGGATAGCCTTTTTGAAATCTTCAGCGACCTCTGCTCCTAAGAGATCAATCCGGACAGGGGGCCGGGAGCCATTGTGTCGGCTGAGCTGTTGGGGGACCACGGCTGTTCCAGGTAGTCGGTTTGTTGTCGCACCTCGAGGGCCAACCGAAGGAATGTCCGTCAAGTTGGCTTGGCCAGAATAAAGGCCTTGACCTTTGGTTTTTAAGGCCTTGCGGACGCCGCGAAGAAGTTTGCGCATGCCATGACCAGACATGGCACCACCTGATACCCTTTCTTTGGAGAAATTGTGGCTTTTTTGTTGAACTATGGTTGTCTGTCGGTGAGCGTGGCCGCAGCGGTGGTGAGATTCGACGTCAACGAAGGCATGGCCAGGGGGGAGCAAGTTACCACGAACAAGACTCCCACCAGATGGCGCAGTTGTGTAAGCCTCTTGATCGGTAGAGGATGCCTTATCAGAGTTATGATCCCGCAATGAATCTGAAAGGCTGTTATTACGTTTGTGTGTCTGGGTCGGACGAACTCGCTTTCCAACCAGCGCCTTTGGTGTAGTTGCTATCGGTCCAGAGGCAATGCCCACTGATGATGAAGGTACCGGGTGCGCAGCCATCAACTGAGTGGTATTCGGATTGAGAGCTCGCATGTTTTTGCTAGGGAACGAGCATGATACAATATCCATACTGGCCAGACTGTGCGGCGAGTTGGGGCCGTATTCCAAGTGCACGGGATTCCCGTTGTGATAGTCGGGAGTCCCGGGTCGATTGTCTAGCACCACGAAGTCCCCAACTTGCATTGCCTTGGGGATCTCACCGGGCAAAGAGGCGGCATTAAGATTAGTAGAGGTTTGTAGAGGCTGTACAGTATGAGGTGGTGGTGTCTGTTGTTGCCCTATTATCTGTGTCTCCAACGCCGATGGATCGAGGTTGGGATCTCGACTACCAGCAATGCCGCCAGGTGTAATGACTACCTCTGGACCAAGCAGATCATCGAATTCGACAGCATCCCAGTATTGCGCACAAACTCTGCGCCAACATTTCTTGAGCTCCGCGAGAATCTTTAACTGGACTCTACTGGAGACAATGTCTTGACAAAGCTCGTCCACAAAATCGTTCAATAAATTGCAAAACGTCACGCGCAGGCCGTATTCGGCAAGGAAGTCGTCCACGAAGTAATTTAATATCCAGTGTCGAAGAGCGACAAATGTCCGAACACGGACAATCATACCAATCTCGTCATCACGATCCAGCGCCCATCTTAAGCGGGCAACCAGCATTCGAAGAAGGTCAGTCGCTTCGAGAAATGATCTGAAAGTGAGGAAGAAGTCGGAGATAAGTTCATAGTCCAAGAAACAAGGGGACGTTATTTCGGCGACAAGGCGAGGTGGTGTTGCTGCTGTCACGGCCCCTGCAGGGGAGTATCGTACAATGCTTCGATCGTTGCAGGCTGGTTTCAAAGTCAAATCAGTAAACATGGCTGGTTGAATGACCAAGTGTGTTGAAACATATGTTGACCTCATCGGACGTGAGAGACGTGGCGATGGCAAACCAGCAACTCCGCGTTGAGCCACAAGAGGGGAACAATGCTCGGGAACTGCTAAGGGACTAGGTTTTCTTGTTGGATTTGCTTGAATAGGCACGGTGGGAATTCGGGATGAAGATTTGAGATCTGACGTGGAGCTGGAATGTAAGTCTTCAGTCGGCGCATAGGAAGAGCTTCGAATCATTGGAGTGCCTCTAATACTGAAGCGGGGTGTTCCAAGGCGCCAAGAGGGTATGTTGACGTTGAGCATCGGAGTTCCAGTCATTGCGTCGAGGTCGTCCATGGTCCGGGGTCGATGCTCGTCGCGATCGCCTAACTTGGAGATGGATATTTTGAATGCATGGGATTCCTGATCCTTGCTGGTGCTCGCTTCGTGTACTGTGCTATCCGACATGGATCGCTTGTGTCGTCTAGGTCGACTGGGAGTCTCGGTGTCTGCCAAGATTTGTTTGTCACCAGCAAGTGGTGTTGCACTCGTCGTTGGGGTCCATTGCGTCGTTTGAAAGTTACTTTCAATATCATCCCCTTTTTTATTGTCGTCTTGGCTTGTCTTCTCGGCTGGATTCCAGCTATCCACTACAGCCGTGCTTGGTGGCGTAATGGGAAAGGTAAAGTTTGGTTGAGGGTACCGTAAGTGAGCAGGCCGTACGCTAGGCCTGAGGTCCGCAAGTTAGCATTCCATCATGAACCGTTACAACCAGATGCGGAAATATTTGAGACCCCGTTGCTGAGGCGCTCCCCGCCCCCCTTTAATACATCCTCCCCCCAACTCTAATCGACAGAGAAGGACACATAGCATCAAACCTACCTCAGATATATCCTTCCATTGTTCCCCACATTGGCTACTGTAAACTGACGTCCCTCACGACCAGCTGAACCACCGTCTGGTGCAATATCCCACCTGTCAGTTTCAGCCTCTGTCTGCTTTTTTTCTTCCTGAGATCGGCGTTCCGAGAACGGAACCAGTGGCTTTGAGGCCGTCGAACCTCCCCGGGTAATGGCTCTGGCAGTCCACTTCCTCGCCGTAGGTTGTAGACTTGAGGTTTCTTTTGCAGAAGAAGATGCCATTTGAGGTGATACCAGACTCGCCGTTGCATTATTTCCGGCCAAGGGCTTTGGTGACGTTTGTGCTCGCGAATGAGTCCGTCGGAGGCTTTTCGAAGTCGATAAGCCCGGTTTTGACGGCCTGGTTAGGGCCAAAGGGTCTGCAGCGTCCATTGACAAACGTGTGTTAGGCGAGGCTGGGAGGTCGTGCCTGTCGACACTGTGATCAAAGAAATATCAGCATGAGGCCAAGCAGATGGAAGATTCAGTCGCGTGTTGCCACAAAAGCACCGCGTCTCGGGAGAGCTACTATCGCCATTGGAGAAGATGGCGGCGGTCAACGTACCTTGAATTCGACAAGCCATGCAGCAACCCGCAGCCCAGACTCAGGATTGCGTCATGGATGGCTAATGCTGACGAGAAATCAAGTGTCGCCTTGTTCGGCGTAAACAGGTTAGCAGGGTTGAGTCATAGAGCCCGGCGCATGAAGTTGCCGGCGCGGGATTGAGGGAGAAGAAGCTGGTAGTCGACAAACGTCAGAAGCGGGATGAGTCGTGCGGTCTTGGTTTGTTTCTTGAGCCTCGCCTCGCCTCGCGTCTTGCGGAGCTGGCTGGGCTGATGGGGAAGTGCGCAAGGTGCCAGGCTCAAATGGGTGGGCATCAATGAGAGATGCGAGCAGGGGATGGGGGATAAGGGCCAGAGAGAGGCTGCGCGGTTTGTGCAACTTGCATAACCCGCAACAGGGATGCACTGTTGACTCTCTCGAAGTCTGTGCTCTCAAGTGCTGCTACGGAGTAAGTTGTGCTTTGTGCTCTGACAGTGTTGTGTTGTTGGACGAAACACCAATTGACCAATGTACATGTACATGGACTCCGCGTAATATGTGTAGTCCTACTCCGTACTCCGTACTACAGTGTGCTCTCCGCTCTCCGCCCTCCGCCCTCCAGCCTACAACTGTACATCTAAGTACACTCCGGGCCACGCCAGTGCCTTGGTCATCACCCTTGCCTTTGGTCTGGTAAACCAGCCTTGGACATTGGGCGAATGGTCTGCTTGCCCATCATCACTTGAGCAGCAGCTGGCTTGAACTGGCAAACTGGTCTGGCCCGTTCCATCCAAGCAGTAGGCCGAACCCAGTCCCTGCACATCCAATAAACGACAATGACCACATCAGTACTCCGTACGAGACCCCTCAAAGGCTAACCTATCCCTTGACGGGCCAGTCTTTCTTCCTGCTAGCTGCGTACTTAAGTACTCAAGCTAACGTTCTCCCATTCGGGCAACTTACAAGGGGGCCGTGTAACGTCAAGTGACATCTGGTGCATTTCGCAGGGCGTCTCCGACAGCCCATCGGGAACACAACAGTTCAACAACCGAGCATTGAAGTACCGAATAATTGGCGGGTCACGGCGAGCGCCATCGATGGGCCGCGCCGCTAACAGTCGAAACCCTACCAGGTTCAAAGTTTGAGGGGAGCCATGGGGGCGTCCAGCCACTCAATGCAACGAAATCACAACAGCTTAAACAAAGAAAGCATGGAGCCAGCCACTTCGGCATGCAAATGCCCCGGGATCAAAGCCAATTTGCCTATGGAGTTATGGTGTCTGATCTGTGGTTGAAGATCTAGGCCCTACTTCCGTACACCCACTCATTACTGTTTGTTCCATCTAGCCAACCAAATACATTCCTTTCAAGACCGAGGATGTGTACAAATGTGTGTGGCTTTGGACGACAAAAGAGACCCTTCACCACGAGTTCCAGCTTTGGCTGCAAACCCCATATCTCGTCCGGGTTTGCCAACCTTGCGGTCGGGGGTCAGGTTGAGGCTCAGTCTTGGTCGCTAATTCCCTGGCTCTCGATTCGAGGGGACGAGGGGAGCCATGTCGATCTTTTTAAATGTTCGGACCCCGGAGTACCTTGTGCTCGGCTCAGCTTCTATCAACGATTTTGTTCGATTTTGCTACAAGTACGAACAACCAGAGGAGGAGATATCTCCAAGAGCTAACCAACCGATCCTAATCATAGCTGTAGAGCGGCCGCCACACATCAATTGCCCCTCAATACAGAGACGTTCCAAAAAGCAAGCACGGCCTGGAAAAGGGACTTTGCCCATCCACGCCTGATGCTTCCCTCTTTGTTGTCGCTGGCGTCTCGCTTGCATTCTCGAACTTCATGAACAGCCCACCACGATCCCGAGCGCCTGGATGCACCAAGTTTTTGCCGAACCCGGCGACAATGCCTGTCAACACGTAATGCTTGGCTGTTGGCGCAGACCATGTGCATGTCAAACCTGCATATGTATGCCGCGACAACCGTGACCACATCAGCACCGGGTATGAATACGGAGCAAGCACAGAGTATACAGCATGACAAACCAATGACTTCCGACAGCTGGGAACACTCGCTGCGATCTACATGCCTTGCTCCCGACCCTGGATAACCTACGATCCCAGCTTAACCAGGGAGCGGACATGGCCATCACGCAGACCCGTTGTCATCGTCGTTTCTTTTTCTTCATCTTCCCAGCCAGTCATTTGTCCACAAGTGGTCGACATCCAACTTGCTCGAGTCAGGTAAAATATCATTTCTTGACTAGCCAGTTGTACATCACCAACATGGCCAAAGAGACCAACAAATTAGTACATATTCCGCGTGTTTTCTGTGGGAGGGAAAAGAAATTACAACGGAGAGGACTGGTATGAACAGTAGCGGAGGTACGTCCGTGACAGCCCAGAAACTCCAGTGGCAGAGGCAAAGCAAAAAATTAAGGGGTAGCTTATCAGCACCATGTCGCTTTTTAGAGGTAGTTGGGAAATTGCCTGGTGCCTAATTGTTGCAGCGACTGTACCTGACACCACGCCGTACGGAATATGGTCCATGGCTTTGAGCGGGCCGAGCCAATTGCGTACTGCACGTATCGAATAACAATGATGATGATAATAATGAGTAACCATCTACGGAGTACGTAGCAAAGAATTTGCCAAAAAATACTCGAGCATTAAAAATCACATGAGGGGTTCAAAGTGAACGTAACATGTGCATCAGAATTCACAAATGGCCGACGTAGTACTACTACTAATACTCCTACATTTGTCATGCTTCATATCCTGGTCAAAGGATGTGAGCTTGCTGCATAAACAAGCGAAGAGCACACAATGTATTTATAGCTGAAACACCAAATTAATTGCTTCCAACAATCTCCTGATTATTTTCCGAACGCATCGTCAGAACATGGAGATTTACGCATCCCAAATGCCGACAGTCAGCTCAGGCAAATCCCCAAGTCTCAAATTCTTTGCTGCTACGTACTAGTGCTACTCTGAATCATCTCTGCCGATTACGTTGCCCTCATTTTCCGCAACCCAGATGCCCATGTACGGCGCCAAACACGAACAAGGGTATCTGCATTTCAGATACTACCTACTCAAGTACGGAGTACTACGTACATACAGGGCCAACTCACGTCAAGTCCACACACTTCAATCCCCAAGCGTGACTCCTAAATAGCGATTTACAGCTGAGTGAAATGGCTCTAATAATACTAATCAATTCGCTCAAGCTCAATAGCACCATCGCCCTGGATTCTATACACGTTGTCGCCTTTGAAGTGCATTTCTCTAGTCGGGCGCTCATAACAAGAGGCCCTGAATCATGATCCAAGGAACAAAGTGTTATTATGTACCATTCAATGGCAATGACCCATATTGCGAACTCTAACAACTTCATCATCTACCATCTATTCATTCACGCCATTCCGTATGTCTATCAAAGATTTAGGCCCTGAATGTTGTCCAGTAACAGCTCCGAAAAGGTTTCCAATACATGGCTGCTGGATTCTCCAGCCTTGGCCTCGAAGATCAAGTCCTGGATCGTCTTGATACCGATTCCAACCTTGTCCGATCCCGTGCGCTGCCGTACCAAATTAACTACCTGGTCGATATCATTGGAATTGAAGACACGTGATTCATGCAAGACAGCAGCGAGCTCTTCGGCGTCAGCAACAGCAGGGACTGCGACCCTCTTTGCAAAATCGGTGTCGATTTCGAGCATTTTGAGTACGGCAGCTTTGGATGTGGTTACGAAAACGAGGAGGCGGTGATTCTAGAATACGGGTGAGTATAGAGTGTCAAAACTGGTCACAGGGGAAAGCATACTCTAGGAGGCTTGGAAACAATGAGGGTAGTAAGAGCCTCCAGCATAACGTTGGAGAAACGAGGCCCGATGGGGTTCCAGCCGATAAGACGCTCAAAGTCGTCAAGGATGAGAATTGAGGCAGGTGACTTGTAGGCATCCGCGAATGCTTTGTGGACATAATCCTTCTTGGCAAAGTCGTCTCTGTACCCAACAAGATCTGCCGGCGTAACCAACTTGACGAAGGGAAAGTCGGACTGCATGGCAATATGGGCGGCCAGAGCAGTCTTTCCTGCACCTTTGGGGCCGTGGAAGAGTACAGACGTGCTAAATTTGTTGGGGTCGTTTTTGATCATACCCACTACACGCATCATCTCGTCGATAGTCGAGCCGATGTATCGACTGAACCGAATGATTCCCAGACCGACAGCATCTTCAAGCTCGGCCTCTGACACACCATATGCCGGTTTTACTTCTGTTAATGCCAGCATAAAATCCGCGCGGTTGACTTGCATGCTGGCAACGTCCTGTTTGACAGCAGCCATTTGACCGACTTCTGTGTGGCGCGAAAATGCAAATGATGCTGCGGCTTTGACAACACCGTTAATCTCGGCACCTGAGTAGTTTTTGGTCATGCTCGCGAGCTCCTTCAGGTCGACGTCGGAATCGAGAATGTTGTTCTCCCTCATTTTAGCAGTGTGGATGTTAAAGATGTCAAATCGACCCTCTTCATCTGGTAGAGAAATTTCAATATGGACTTCCAAACGACCAGGTCTCATGAGCGCATCATCAATCATGTCCTTTCGATTGGTCATTCCTATAAGCAGAATATTGTTCAGCTGGTCGACACCGTCAAGCTTGGAAAGCAGCTGGTTCACCACACTGTCACCAACGCCAGTTCCTCCTCCCGCGCCCGATCCACGCTGTTTGCATACGGCATCGAGTTCGTCGAAAATGATGATGTGAAGACTACTTTCTTCGGCCTTTTCTTTATACTCCTTCTCGGCATCCGCAAATAGCTTTCGAATATTTTCTTCAGACTGTCCCACGTACTTGTTAAGAACTTCAGGGCCATTAATAACTTTTGGCGGGCGTGCGTTGAGCATTTTGCCGATTTGGCGGGCAATAAGGGTCTTGCCGGTACCGGGAGGACCGTAAAGCAACATTCCTTTGACATGTGGGATGCCCATCTTTGCCACGAGACCGGGAGGGAACACACGAGAGGCGAAAGCTCGACGAAAGATGGTGGAGAATTCGTCACCCAAACCACCAATACCCATGTCTTCAAACTTGAAGTCTGGCGCCAAAATGGCGTTGGAGTTGGGCTTGCTCATAGATGGCTTCATGTGAAAATCACTTCTACCATCACGATGGAACAACACTCTTGTTTGACTGGTGAGAATACCTCTCGCATGCCCTTCCCGGAAGACTTGCTTGCTAGGGTCATCTGAGGACATGGCAAGGTCCACAAGCCCGACTGTCTTGACAACAATCAACAATGGGATATTGCGGACATCCATAAGAATTCTCTGCCCGGGGGCCAGAACCTGGTTTGCGAAGGTGTCAGAAAATTGCGCCGCCAGATGATCCTCATCGTAAGGGGCGTCTGTTCTCTTATTGGGTGATGCGAAGCCGACTTCTAGATCAACGGACCCCAAATACGCCCTCCCTCCTTGAGCAAAAGGATCATATAGTTCTCCGGTGAATATGTCGCGAATGGTGATATTACACCAAGAACGCTGAGGGTCGGAGAGACTAATGCCGCCTTGGGGAAAGCCGGGTACAGGCTTTGCTGTGACAACGAATTCTCCTTCTGGCTGTCCACCTCGCACGAGGATATAGAGGTCGGTACCGTCTCGACTCGGTGGGAAGTCCTCCGGCGCTACAGCGCATCTATAGTCCAACAGTTAGTTCAAAACTTAAAGCGTCCAAGCAGATAATCCATATCATGATAGCTTAACTTACATATTGCCGTAAATCAGGCGAGACTGCAAAGTTCTGTCGGCAACCTTCTCAACTCTCAAAGTGACCCTTCGAGCACCAGACGGCCCAGACGGCCCTTTCTCTGAGTATCTCGGCATCGCAGGCGACTGAGGGCCAGACCCTTGGCTTACACGAGGATCACCATAACCTTGAGGGGTCCCATAGCCTTGAGATGGATCCGCGCCGTATGAGCTTCCTGGCGGCGGTCGTCCTTGATTTGGAGGCATTCGAGGGTTGCTGCCTGGTAACGAAGGAGCGTAAGGCAGCCTGCCGGGACCGCCTGGGGGCACTCCAGACATCGCGGTGATTTGTGCCTCGAGGTTGTTGATCTATCAATTTGTTGCAAATGCAGAGTTCGTATGGGTGTAAAAAGAGAAGAAATACACAAAAGCGAGGACAACTGGTAGGCAACGTGGTCATAAGTTGTGGCGATGAATGCCTGGAGGGTTGGGAGCTTTTAGCTGGTACCTCAGAACTGGAGGGGCGTTAACAGCGAGTCTCAGGGTGGTTTCATGGGACAGTGCTCAAAAGGGATTAGTGCATTATGTCACAGCCTGTCTCCGGAGTAATTGTGGAACATTTGAACTGGCCGCAGTAGCTTTGAGTTGTTCGTCGTCTGCGATGATGCTTGGAATCATTTTTGAATGAAAGAAATAGGCCACGATTTGTGAAGCATCGTTGGTCTTCATGCCCTTCTTCCTGCATATGGCCGTATTTGCTTCGACTTCTGATTCCCACACTTGGAGATCTCCCATCACCATTCCATCATGCCCTTGTAAGAATACACGCTGGCCTGCAAAGTCTCTTGAGACTTTCACTGACCTTCAATAGACATCTCCTAGGGAAGAAGTCCTGGAACGTCTATAATGCCGACAACATCGCGAGAGTGCGCCGCGACGAGGCTGCGGCCAAGGCAGCAGAAGACGCAGAGGAGCAGCGCATGCAAGAAATCGACGCGCAGCGCCGCTTGGCTATACTCAGAGGCCAAGTACCGCCACCATTAGAAGACGACGCACAAGATGACCTGGATGTACTGCGAAAATCAAGCAGGCAGAGTGACCCAAATCGTCATGGGGAGACGCGGCGAAAACGAAAGCGCTATGGCGAGGATGATACAGATTTCGAACTACGCATAGCGAAGGAGAGGACAGACCCTGCAAGCAGATCGCTGGAATTATCTCGACAACCAACGAGCTCGGCACCGATTGTGGACCACCGCGGACATATTGATCTGTTTGGCGATGAGAAAACTAGGGCACACGGCGAAAAGAACCCAGAAGCAGAGAGGGAAGCACAAAAGAAGAGGCGAGAATATGAAGACCAATATACCATGCGCTTTTCCAACGCAGCTGGCAAGCATGGAACCAACAGCCCGTGGTACTCCCAAGCGGACGCCGCAAGGCAGGATGCGCCGCTGAAAGATGTCTGGGGTAACGACGATCCGAGGCGGAAGGGGAGAGATGCGAATCGAATAGTCGCCAGCGATCCCCTAGCCGTGATGAAAAAGGGAGCCTCACGAGTGAGAGAGTTGAAACAAGAGCGGAAGAGGTTCCAGGAAGAGCGGGAGGAGGAGATGCGGCAGATGCGAAAGGACGAGCGGCGAAGAGAGAGGCACAGGCAGAGAGACGAGGGAGAATCAAGACGGCGGAGCGCATCACCAAAGTCTAGGAGAAGACGGCAGCGGTCTAGGGACACCCGAGACGACAGCTATGATAGAGACTGGGATAGGGGGAGGAGGAGGGACAGAGATCAGGCGCGGTCACATCGGCGTGACTCCCGTTCTCGGGAGAGGGGGTCTCGTCGCCAACATCATGATTAACGAGCCGAAGAGATGGAATACAGATACCCATATTGATTCTTCCTGCATAAATATACCGAGTGTCAACATATCAATTACCAACCCGTAATAGCCAGCCCCTCTAATCAAAAATTTCTAAACTCTGTCCGTTCTTTTTCACTTTTCCACACGCGGGAGCTTAATCTCAACAGCCCTCATATCCTTCTCAGTCATGTCCACAATCTCCTTGGCATCCATCTTCTTCAGCGCCGCCTCGATCCTCGAATAAGTCCCCTCGCTTAGGCCCTCCTCAGAATCACAATACACATCCACACCTTCCTTTGTAAACATGGTCGGAGCAAACCAAGTCACCGCCCACCTCTCCTTCTTCCCCTCCGCATTCGTGGCCTCTCCCCAGCCCAGCAATTCCCAATGACTCGAGACGAAGAACAGCCAGCCTTTCCCCCTCCAGTCCCACCCTCCGTCTGCGGACCGAGTATCAATTCCCGCGACTGTCTTGAGAACACCCGACGACTTGGTAGGCTCGTATTCCACCAGGTCGTCGATGCGCAATTTGCCATCGTCCTTGGAAGGGAGAGGCTTGTAAGTGATGCGGACGTTGCGAGCAGACCGCCACATGTGAAGCGTGGAATGGGTGACGGTCCACGTTGTGGTGAGCCATTCGATATCTGGAGCGGGTGACTTGTTCGATGCGCTTGCGGAGCTGGATATGTATTTTGATGGGAGGGCCAGCGACAGGGGAGTTTGCTCGGCCATGGTGCCTGTGCGGGTTGTGAACTTGTGAGGTGAGGTTGTTGTCAATTGAGAGAGGCTTCCTGTTTCAGACCATGCCCCTGGTTATGTGAGTGTCTTGAAACAAAAGGATTGGGGTATCATATTAAGCAGAGAGCGTGCAGGAAGAAGAACGCCTTGTCAAAAGAATGCGAGATGTTTGCGACACACTCAAGTCGTGTAGTCGCAACTGAGATCTAGTTCGTACCAACCACCGGAATCTCACAGATCCGAGATAAAAGCCCGAGTGTGACGTGGTTATTTTAGTCCGTGTTACCAGACGCCATATACTTGTCGTTAATCTAAGCCATCTAGCAACCAAATTGCTAATATTAGATCTCAGTTCTTGTATCTGTCAAGGACAGTACCTTGATGCTCACCTCGTTACGGAGTACGAAGCCCATCTATTAATGTTTTGCTGCGCAGGCAGGCGGTGCATGTGGCTAATAAGATGTACAGACTCGGTAAAGTATTGACGTTATGCATGCATAGTCCCGGCCCGCTGTTTTTGACACCTCGACCATACAGTACTCCAACCACACTTCAGAAGCTTGAGCCCGGTATTATTGACTGGCCAAAGTCCATGTGTGCCGATCCTTCCCGCGCAGCCCATGCCATAACCCAGCCGCCGCAAAGCACATCCCAAGCCCTTCCGGCGCCGGAGATGCACCCCAGATCGTGAATTCGAATCGGGAGCCAGGCACTGTCTAGCATCCCTGCCCACGGTGCGGCCACCAGTCCGGACCGTCTGCGCTCTCCGTACGCTCAGAAGCATCAGTAGGGCCATTTCGAACGCTGCGGGGATAAAGATTGGTGGTAACGCACGAGACGTTGAGTTGACTCTTATCCATAGTTTGGTTGTCGGCACTAATTAGTGCTGGCGCTTGGGTTGGGTGACATGTTCGAGGGTACTTAAGTAGATAAGCGAGTTGGACTGAAATTTGTCCTGGGATTGGAGGTTAAACGTTGCGCATTCCATGTCAATAATGACACGCGGGCCTGAACCCACATGCAGCGGTGTGTGTAGGTTAGCTACTGTGAGTTCAGCACCTTCTTTGACGCTGGCCCGTGAATCGTGACGTGGCGACAGGCAACGACTAAGACTCTGGACTCTCTGCGGCACCTAGAGTTCAAATATGTTTGAATGGACACAATGAGGAGTGCGTTAAGATAGTCGAGGCTACCATGGCAAAAATTTTGGAAGAAGCCCAAGAATCTGTCCAAACAGTTATGAAATAGTTACAACCATCCGAGACCCGGGTCGTCAATCCCCTACGCTGTGCGAAGGCTCCAGTAAGTATTTCGCCCCACAACACCCCTGCAGGTAACTAATAACCTCGGATAACCTCAATAACAGCCTAATTTTAGTATATTTTAATGTAGTAATTTATAATTAGCCTTCTTATAAAGACTTTTATTATTATTAAATTTACTAGTAAAAATAGGTACCCTTAAGGACATAGCTTCTTATTGGATATATATCCCTGCAAATACTTCATTGGAGCCTTCGCACACCGTGGGGGATACAACGCCCTGGTCCTAGGAGAGAGGGCCTGCTACATTCCGCCCCACCCAATTATCCCAATTATGTACTCCGTACAGTCTGGTATATGCAGTCGACCCCAACCCACCCCCAAGGCCCCAAACAACCATCCATCCACCACGTCACGACACCAGTGCTCCTTCTTCCCTCTCGACAACCCCACACTTGCGGTGAAGAGCATCAGCTCCATCGCACGCTCAAACTCACCCGCCCCGGAGCAGCTCCTCACACACGATGGATCCAGGAGCAGACGCCGACGCAGCCGCCATGGCCGCCGCCATGGGCTTCTCAACCTTTGGTGCGCAGGACCGTCCCCAGAAGAAGAGGCGATATAACCCGGCCGTGGACACAGTCACGTCGGTCGCGCAGCCTGCGCCCGGTGCCCAAGCTGCTCCAACGGGATCCAATTCAACGCCTCTGGGAAACCACAGCAGCGTGTCGAAAGGGGAACCAGGGAACCAAGCAAATGCAGATGAGATCAACCTGGACGACGAGGAAGGACAAGACGAGAGCACACTTCAGAAGCGCTCTGAAGAAACGGCACTCCAGGCACCTCCCCTTCATCACGGCTTGCCAGCCCGTCCTGCCCCGGGAACAGGCTTCGTCGGATCACCAGCGCAGTTCCCAGGTCGTCATGGTGCGTCGCAGGCGGGAGACTCGAGAGTCTGGTACGAGGGCTACTACGACAGCACGTCGAATGAGAATCCATGGGAACGCCTTGAAAGGAGGATGGGTCTTGAATCAATGGGCACTTGGGTTGCCAGACAAGCGCACCCAGCACCCAGTGTTTGACCGACGCCATGTTGTCGGTGCCGATGATTTCACCAGCAGAAGATGGACAACAGAGATCACAAACGGACTGTATCATTACGTTGGTTTGCCCCAAAGGATTGGAATACGAAAAATCTGAATGAGCTTTTGCCTTGTCAAGGTCTGAGAAAGGAACGACAGGAGCTTGGTTCAAGGTGGTCACGTGACCCACTCAACTACACAGCTTCCTAGTTCAGGAACGGTTTCAACAAATTCGTCATGTGCCAGGGCCAATCACATGATATTCATGACTCCAGGGCTTCTCCAATGAATGCCTTCATCGTTGATGCTTATGCGACTTTCATTGGAGGACAGACATGTCTTGGCACTGGCACATGGTCGGCGAGAAGCCTGGGATTCAGTCGATCCATTGTACGCCATGGGAGAGTCTTGCTATAGAGACACTCATCTAGGACACACTATGTACTACTGCAAGGCACAGTAGTATGAAAAAGATTGTCATCTTTACAGTCGTTACCAAAAGGAGCAGCATACACCACAATAGGAAAGGCCCCTCCCTGTCCACCAGTCACAACTTCCACCCTCCGTGCCGGCCCTCGTGATCTCAGATTCTCTGCTCGGGACATTTTCGGCCATCATCGTCCTTCCTCCTCACACTACAGCACCCGAGCAGCTGGAACCGATCTGCTGGGTTAGCAGGGGCCCCTTGCAGCCCTGCCGTCCGTTTTCAGTTCACACGCCCAGGCGCCAGAATAGATGCCGGTTCCCACCAGACGCAAGAAAGCGAGGTGTACCTGGTGTTGCAAGATGCCAAAATCCGACCCAATTCCCATCCAATCATAACTCGTAACTTCGTGAAATAGCCACTATTCAACCCCCCGCACGCCCTATCGCTGTGGAGAGGACAGAAAGTCGGCGGCTAATTGCCGCTCGAGGCCAGGGGGGGTCAGTAAAAGCAGCAAGGGATCGCGCGCCAACGCAATGCAAGATTGCCGCGCTGTCACCGCAATTTTGACCTCATGTGATACAGGAATATCCTGATATAAAGCACTATGTGTAAACGCCATGTTGCGCATAGTTCATAAACTCTCCCTGCAGCTATCATCCGTAGAAACGCCGTGTAAATATCTTTTTGCGGAATTTGCCGCTGAACCAAGGAGACATGTCGAAAGATAAAATGGCCTTTTGATCGCTTCAAACTATAATGAAAATTGCACACCGCGTAGCGTAGAAAATGAAAAGAGGCCACGTTCTTTAATACTCGGGAGAAGGATGTCGCTCGCGAGCCTTACGATACTCCTTGGGGTGCTTACGAGAAGCTTTGGCTTGCAGTGATCTGAGATGAGAAGTTTGTTAGCTGGCTTCTCAAGCTGCTTTAAATGAAGCGCCTACAGAAGCAACGCTGGCCCGTGGGGGGAGAAGAGACAAAGACAGGCGAGGGGCCTTGTCGCAATTCCCCCAGGCGGCGGGCGTCGCTACGTCATGAGGACATTGTCCAAGGCCAGTTGAGAATGCACTTACGAGACTTTCTTCTGTGTCCACTCCAAATCTCCCCGCACCTCGCGGGCGTCTCGCATTCCGTCTTGGAATCGCTCCCTCGTCTTGGCGAGACGAGCCTGTGCCTGCTTTTGCAGGTCCATGAGCTCGCGGTGCTTCGCATTCAACTTTCCGGAGCTGTTTTCACGCAGTCAGGGTTTGTAAACAAATACATGGGTAAACTCAATGTTGACAGTCCCTGCTGTTGCTATGCTGGGAGGGTCCGGACGGACCAAAAAAACCGCCACGGGGGTTCGCGGGGCAAATGACTTACGTTTGCGCTTGAACCGCCATGCTCCGGTCGAGTGGGATGGGATTGAACGAGTTTGCAAAACGCTCTTGCATGTACTCCTGGAAATCAATGCCACTAGCCGAGTTGGCGCTGTCATAGTCGTTTGAGCCCATGTAACTAGCAGAGCCCGTGTATCCACTGTTACCGTAGGATGGGACACCCGACGCAGAACTCATGTCGTCGTCGCATTCCGGGGGAGACATGGAGTAATGAGTGTACGTGGGGTACTGATTGCCCTTTCCAGGAACCGCCATTGGCATGGCGTAGGACACTGTTGGGAACGGGCCGGACATGATGATGATGGTCGTGGTGTTGATGGACGCGTTGATCCGTCGTCTTTTTAATAGTGTCACAAAGCCGCAGGCTGTGGATGTGTGACAACTAGAAACTCCGTTCTGAGCAAGAACTGGAATGAAAATATGATGTTGTTGCGGCAAGGGGTGATGTTGTGAATGGCTATGATGTTACACTTGATAGTATGGTTGTGCAGACACGCAACACAATGGGGGTTGGTTGGTGATGGCGAGACTTTACAAGGAGGAACAAGACTTGCTTGGGAGATGTATGACAAGAAAATAAAAAGGGAAGAAGAAGGAATCCGACTCATCCTGAACACAGGAGGCCCTTTTATAGTTTTCCCGGACCCTCCCCGGACCCTATGCTCCAACTGAAGCAGACCTGACAACATTCATCTATTCGTTAGAGCGATTATCATGATACCCCGCTTGAAACGATGCCGGACAAGTACGGAGTATCATCTGAGGGCATTGGAGCCTGCGACGAGGTGATCATGGCGGGCGTGCATGATGCGGACCAACGACAAGACGACAAGGCCGTGAAGGTGGAGCGATATCCTCGAACGGCGTAGACTTTTTCGCGGCCTTGTTAACAGGCATGGTACAGTACTTGGGAACATTGATGGGCCAACGAGCTCGGGAGCCAGCAGCCGACATGGACACGTCGGACCATCAAGGGGGAGGAGGGTGGGAGTGAGAAGGCATTGACCAACGAAGACACGAACGTGCGCCTGCGGTGCAAATTCTTCCAAGCTTCAATGGGCGTGGGATTTAGATTTTAGTCCGGCAACACCAACGACAAGGAGACTGCATATGCCGAGGGGCGAAAGGACCACTTTATTGACCACGGATCGGCGGACACTGGCCGTTTCCAAGAACATAAGAAAGAGAAAAAGTGCTCGCAGGGAGGCTAGAAGCCAGCGGTACGGAGCATCCAAGTAAGTTACTGTACATAGCTTCGTATGTAGAGGTGGTGGGAATGTCCAGAGTAGTCATGGTGGGATACAATCAATGGCAGAGAAACACGGCAAGCATGGAGACGCGGCCCACCGAAACTCATGAAATTGGCTGGTGATGTGACAAAGACTTCTCTATCAAGCCAAATGAAGTGGTGGCTGCACTAGCAGACGGGGTTTCCAATCACCCCAAAGCCAAGCAGGGAAAGGCCATGATCAGAGACGAAGGGTTCAAGGAGACGGTTATCAAGAAGTGGGTGACAGGCAGACCGCAATATACTTGGTGGCCGAAGGCTGTGTTTGTCTTCAATGTTTGGTCTGGTCTTTTTCGCACCAAGGGGCGGGACGTGAAAAAGTGAATCAGGAAAGAAAAAAGCAGGGCGGCATGCACAATCGGGCTGCTGTCAACTGGTGTGGCCAGGAGACCAATACCAGAGCAGCCAGAGCAGCAAAACGGCAAACTTGAGACGTACATGGAGGACCAAAAGGGGCGGAAAGAGATGGAGTGAGGGCGTGATGCATTATCCAGTGTTGCACCAGAAACAAGCGCGACGAGGCCAAGTTGGTAGAAGCAGCCAAAAGCAGCACTGGATTTCCCAGCACAACGTGGGCGTTGGTTCCATGGCATTGACAGCATCGACAGCATGCATGTGGTGCACACCCTAGGGATCCACGCTGGCAGCCGCATATTGTTGGATGCGCAAGTCAAGAGTGGATGGCACCGAGGTTCAGGCACATGTGCGTTGAATCGGACAAGCCGTCGTGCTGTGGATGATGATGCGTTGTCAAGATAACAACCACATAACTCCCCGAAAGCCAGCAACCCGCCGGGCTTATGTGTGACGAGGCCGTGGCCTGCTGCTTGCTTGTGCTGGTGCTGGTGCTGGTGCTGACGCTGCGGCTGCGGCTCCAAGATGTGTCCGGTTGTGTTGTGCCTTGGCAAGCGTGTCTCGCAAAGTTGCATTGAAAAATGACTTCAATGTTGGAGTTCTCTGACGTATTTTGCTCTGCAAAGACTGCCGGCTGCCCTGGTACAGGTACCTACTGAGTACTTGGCACCAGACTTCACCAGGCACTTGCAGGTGTACACGTCCCCAGTCCCCAGCTTCTGCCGTAGCACCTGCCTAGCAAATACGGCCGTCAATGCTGAAACGGAAGGTCCAGTTTACCTCGCCGATATCGAACAAGCTGCAGCGAATGCACTGTTGACGCTTTGGGCAATCGTCATCTCGCTGCCTCCGCTGTGCATCATATTTGATCCCTGGCAAGTACCACCTGTGTATGTACGTATGGAGTACAGATGGCACCGACATTATGCATCAATAATCCTACAGTCCCATACCCAAGCATTAGAATGGTAATGACCTCTCCCCTTGTTGATATGCACCAAACTCCAGACATCTTCGAAACTTTGCTCACCAGCTCACCAATCTATCCTGGGGATGTAGGGTGAGGCCCCTTCATTCCGCCAACTGGCTGCCTACCCACCTTCGCCAAATTTCCACTGACCGACCTGTTGCGAAGTAATCGGAGATCCCAGGGTCATGGAAGAAGCAATTGAGCTAACCCTGCGACCAAAACTATTTGCAAACTTGATTGGCTGATGCGTGCTTTGAAACCTGAGAAAGCATGGCAAAATGTTTTCTGCGAGTTCTTCGATCTGCCCCTCCCCCGCTGGGGAGAAAAAGCAAAGCTAGCGGTCTTGTGTTCTCATCATGACATACCAACAAGAAACTACTAGGTTGTTTCGGAACCAGAATCATCATTCACTTACACCCGATTAGTCGAACGGAGGCAAACCCTTGGGCTTCCTAAACCATAGTACCTCTCTGGTGTCTTCCACTTCCACTTCCACGAGTCTCTGGCGTACATGGGAGGGGGGTCCATGGAGGGGTGTGTAAGTCCATAACATCTGACGAGACCATTTCTCTTTCGTGCTCAATCCATCCATCCACTCATGAAGCGACTAGCCGCGTCGCCTCAGCTCATGCAGGAATCGGTATAGCAATGGATACTCATGAGCGAGCATGCGGGCCACCGTGGGTTGTGATCTTTATCATTGACTTGGATCAGTACACCCAGTGAGAAACCTCTCATAGACCATTCTCGTGCTTGTGGTGCCGGAAACCTCTTATCAACACTTTGGCAAAAGTTACAATACATGTGGCGTATTCGGGAGACCAATAAGTTTCATAGCCCTCGTAAAAAACTGAAATTGGACAAGTCTGGTCCCCCCTTTTGCGACAGAGGACACTGACGCACGCCATAATCTCCGGCAACTTATGTGTGGTAAGGGACCTTCGGAGTGTCTTGAGAATTCGCTGGGGGCGAGGAAACAAGCCACCATATTCCAATAATTCGGTTCGCCAGGCCGACGAGCGACTAATGGAAACCACAAGCCTGTGCGCGACACATGGGTTGACATGATGGGATGTATCCCGAGGGACAACTCAGCAGCAGGGTTAGGACTCGAAGTGGAAATTCTGAATGGCACGGTGTGGACGCACACGCCTCCTCCCAGCGAAGAGGGACAACTCATGCATGGAAGAAAGAACTCCTGCAAGAACCTGATGATGGGGCATCTTCTCATAGGCAGGACTTGCGGCGAGACAAATCTTTACCAACTTCTAGACTCCGCGAGGTCTATCGCATTATCTATTGCGGTAAAATATGCACCATGTTAGTTGGCTACCTTGGCTACCTTCTCTGTTAGTAACTAGTATTTCATCCGGCGAGGGAAGTTGACAGGGAGGAGTGTAAAGTGCCCGTGACACTGGCTTACCGCTACTTGGGACATCCCTGTCCCAGCCATACAAGCTTGGCATGCATAGTCGAACGTGTCCTGGTGGACAGCACAGGGAAAGGGCTGCTTGCTGGCTGCCTACTGTTGAAGGGCGATGTGCTTTTTGAGGGGGAAGGGGGTGGCGGAAGGGAAGACTCATGTTCGACCGAAGAATCAGTGAGGTCACTGAAGATGTTTGATAATGGAAGCCGTCTGGTGGATTCCAGGCCACAAATCACGAGGACTATACCAGCAGCGCCAGCTCAATATAGTTGGCCCTCACAGTATAGTTACTGCACGTCATTAATGCAGTTCGCCACGCACTCCTGGTGTCTGCTGCATGGTGACCTTCAAGTTTGGGGCTGACGTTACAAGCTTGCCTTGCACAAACTAGAGTCGGCCTTCTTGAAGGCGATACGACTCTGATGAAAGGATGGGGTCGTCTCATTTAACAGTAATTCACGGTGCTCATTACTATGCTACTTCTGATGGTCTCTTAGCTAACGATTAGTCTGTATATAAAAAGTCTGTCTACAGATAAAGTAAGTCTGGTCTTTCCATGTCTCAAATTCCATAGTATCCGCCAAGCCATAATCCAACGCATCCTTATTCGTCTCCCATTTGACGGTTCCCCAGTCCCCCTGGCAGACATCCCGAGACCCCAAAACGCCGGCCATGTCCATGCGCACAAGCCCCAGAATCTTGGTCAGGTACAAAAGAAAAAAAAAACACCCAATGTAGTGAAGTGGACCAGTAGATGTTGAGAGATAGATGCCAAATGTAACGGCAGAAATACACTGAAGAAAGACTGCTTTAAGTGAAAAGCCTCAGGAAACCCCAGATGCCAATGCCGCTGAGAACTGGTATGGTGAAATTATCGTCCCAGCCAAAAATATCAATCACTTCACTGGCAGAAGCAACAAAACCAGACCACAAGCCCATGATGGACAAGGCCAAAGTGCCCGACACAGTAGCTGCAGCCCGAGACACACCGAGAGCGCTTGCCACGGCAGCTGGCAGCGAGAGGGTACCCTTGAACATGAAGTTCTCGTCCCCAGGCATGGGTCCGATAACGGGGACCAACCAGCCATAAAAGAAGAATGACGTAGCCACGCCGACCAAGAAGGCGGCAAAGGAACCAGCCAGCGACTTGCCACGACGGATCCGAGGTGTATGGCGACCCCAAAGACGCCCAAACGTACTGGCGGCCGTGTCGCACCAGCTCAACAGCAAAACACTCATGACGCCCACATCCTTGGGGAGAAAGTACAAGACGGCCCAGGCGCCAAGTAGGTAGAATATGACGCCATTATATCCAGAGTATTCGCTCTCGCGCATGAGCGCACCCAGAAGGCGCACGTACAGCCTGTTCACCGCGGCGTATCGGTGTCGAAGCCAGTCTGTCGTAGCAATGGGAATCAGTCCGGCCATGAGATACGGGGGAACAGCCTGCGTCTGCGTCCCCGTCGTGTACAGCCACACCACGAAGAAGCCTATCGAGACGTGGAGGGCTTTGCGAGGCACCTCGTGTTTGTGCACGAATGTTCGCCAGTGTCGGTGGATGGGGATGAGGCCGAGGGGGCTGGGACTGCGGCTAAAGTCCCGCCAGGACCAGCCCGAGGGCGTGGCAGGCTGGGGAGGGGCCAGGTGCCCATTTGAAGCAGATATCTTGCCATTTGTGACGACCTTTTCAGAAGGCTCCTTGGACAAAGGTTTCATGGCGAGGCTGGAGTTGCTTGGTGTCATGCGGGCCATTGTTCGGGAGTCGATTGGCGATCTACTTCTGGTGCGGGACCTCCGCAGGCCGGGAACCTCGTCGTCGACATCGTCTTGTTGCGGATGTTCGTCTTGAGAGTGCTGAGAGGACGCCATTCTCCTCCGGGCCGCCGAGCGCGTCGTGGGTGCCGAGTAGCCCGCGTCGTGCTCCGGGGGGTCGGGACTCGGCGAGATGATGCGAGGTGTCTCGGGGACAGAGGATGCGGCCTTGCGACGTAGAGACATGGTGAAGGATACCGGTGGCAGGGCAGGGGAGCGGACGGCCCCGACAACAACGCGATGAAGCGATACGTGGTGAGAGGGCCAGAGATGTTGTTGGGCTGGACCGGCGGCGGCCGCAGGCGAAGCAGCAGCAGAGGAGTGGAGAGAGGAATCGGTGTATTTATCGAGGCGCGACCGTCGCGCCAGAGATGTTGGCGCAGGCTCTGAGCCTTGAATCGGAGCAACGACGGCGGACTGGCTATGAAGCGTCGAGGGTCCTTGCTGAGGGAAGCTGGCGGACTCTATCGGATCCAGTGTGAAGTCCAGAGAGGCAGCAGAGGGAGCGTCCCCTACTGCACGATGACGAGTTTGAGGAATGGCGGCGGCCGGAATGGGACAGCGCGTGCATGAAGGTCGGGGGAGGGAAGGCGAGAGAGAAGGATGCGAGAGCCGTGACAGAGGAAGCGTTGGGAACCACGGGACACCTTTCTGTCTTTTTTTGTGACGCAGACACGGGATGGATGTGGAGGTGTTAGCAGACGGAGGCGTCGGGGTTTAGAAATTTTGCGCCCCCAGACCAGACGGGGCCCACGGGTTTGCCGTCCCCGGCCAGAGCCATGGCCCATGGGTCAGGCATGTGATTACAGAGCATGGAGTGGTATCATGGCCATGGCCGTTTACGAGAGGGTTTTCTTTCGGTGCTCTTGTCTATCGTTGTGTTTGATGGCTACCTAGGTACTTAAGGTAGTTGTGCGCATACAGTTTGTGTACGTGATGGTGATGAGACACGAATACAATGTTAATGGCAGACGGGCCTCCCTGTGATGGTCGTGTGTGCCTGAGCCCATAGTGCACATGCGGGCACTAATTATTTTTTAGATGGTCTGGTGCTCACGCGAGCACCTGAAGGCGTCAACTGCAATTGCCAGTGCGGGAGGCAGCCGTCGCCGAAGACAGTCAGGGCGGAGCAGCCACCACCAGCACCAGAAAATACTGCACATGTAGCGAATACTAATATGCGCGCTAAGCAGACACGGCAATGTAAGTAAAGATACTTGTGCAGTCACGTGCTGATAAGATCAAGCCTCTGGCGATAGCGACAACTTTTTGTTTAACAATGGTCCCTCCATCGGCGGCAACATCCAGCATTGTCATTCACAGTCCGTCATGGCTCCTGGAAAGGTCATTCGCAAGAGGGATCCCAGAGCGTGGGAATCGCTCACGCCACCACTCGCAGAATGGATCCTGGATGCTGTGTCCACCATGGGGTTTTCCCGCATGACACCAGTCCAAGCTGCTACCATGCCGCACTTTTTGGGCAACAAGGATGTGGTAGTTGAGGTATGAAGATATTTTCGCGAATCGATTCTTTTTTTCTGTCGTGGCACCAATCCTGACATGACTTGCCTAGGCCGTCACAGGCAGTGGTAAAACACTATCCTTTTTAATCCCCATTGTGCAAAGGATTTTGCGCCTCGAAGAGCCGACCAAAAAACACCATGTCGCCGCCATCATTGTCTCGCCTACAAGAGAGCTCGCTGCTCAGATCCACTCCGTTCTCCTTTCATTACTAGCATTCCACCCGCCGTCTGCGGAAATTTTACCCAATCTCAACGACGAGGAGAAGCGACCCTCGACCACGACCCCCGTTATTGTACCCCAATTACTTGTTGGAGGTACCACCACTACGGCACAGGATTTGAGTTACTTTATGCGCCATAGCCCAAACGTTTTAATATCTTCCCCTGGACGGCTGGTTGAACTGTTGTCGTCGCCGCATGTCCATTGCCCCCAATCCTCGTTCGAAATGCTTGTCCTGGACGAGGCGGATCGACTGCTTGATTTGGGATTTAAACAGGACCTTCAGAATATCATTTCACACTTGCCTAAGCAGCGACGTACTGGTCTGTTTAGTGCCAGTGTCAGCGAAGCCGTGGGCGAGATCATTCGAGTTGGTCTGCGAAATCCCGTCAAAATTGAAGTTCGAGTCAAGATGAAGGACGGTGGAGTATTGGAAGATAGAAAAACTCCGGCTAGCTTGCAAATGGCCTATCTCATCAAACCGGCGACACAAAAGCTACCGGCGTTGGCGCAACTTCTCGAAAAATTACCCATCACCCCGCAAAGGACGATTGTCTTTCTGTCTACGTGTGCAGCTGTCGACTACTTTCAACATGTCCTGTCGGGCCTGCTTCCGGCTCAGTTTTCATTAATACCGCTACACGGAAAACACCCGGCCAAGGTGCGGGAGAAGAATTTCAACAGGTTTTTAAACTCTGTTTCTCCCACTGTTCTCTTAACGACCGATTTGGCAGCTCGTGGCCTTGACATTCCCCAGGTTGATCTAGTTGTGCAAATTGATGCACCGTCTGATCCCAAAGTGTTTATCCACCGAAGCGGAAGAGCTGGGCGTGCTGGAAGAAAAGGATTGGCAGTCGTCATGCTCCACCCCGGGCGGGAAGAAGACTACGTACGGTTCCTGGAAATTCGCAAGACGCCAATTACTCCATTAGAAAAGCCGGAGATCTCTATATCAGAAAAAGATGCTGCCGCTGCTGTAGATCAAATACGCAAGTTGGCAAAAACAGACAGGGCCATCTACGATAAAGCACAAAAGGCATTTGTGAGCTGGGTGCGAAGCTACGGCGCACACCAAGCAACTTCAATATTCCGAGTCTCTGATCTTGACTGGATAGACTTGGCAAACGCATGGGGACTGCTCCGAATGCCGAGGATGCCAGAGCTCAAGAATTGGAAGGGAGACAAGACGCTGGGTGTGGAAATGGACTGGGATACATTCGCATACAAGGAAAAGACGCGCGAAATGGCAAGGATAGAAGAAATGGAGGCCGCAAAGAACGGCGAGGGAATCGAGAAGAAGGATGACAAGAAACGCAAGAGGAAGAACGAGGCGTGGAGCGGCAAGCACCAACAGCAGGAGCACCGCAACGAGAGACGTGAGAAGAGATACAAGAAGAAAGAGGCCGAAAAGAACGCCACCATGACGGATGATCAAAAGCTGGACAAGATGAAACTAGACGAGCTCATTAAGCAGGTCCGAGAGCAGAATCGCACAAACGCCGCGTCGAAGGATGACGAATTTGAGGGCTTTGACGATTAAAATTTCAATATACCCGTGTCAAGTCAAGTATGCAGTGCATCATAGCCGGAAGCTGAAAGCCCGTATTGGAAAGTTGTCCCATGTACAGGACCTACCCGCGACGTGATTGGCGATTGCAGTCACAGACAAAATGCCGTCAAGTAGGTGCAGCAAGACAAAATTTTGACAGCCCTACATCATGCTGGACTTGTCATCAGCTTGGCAGCTAAGGATCTATCCGAGAAACAATTGCGAACTGCCAAGAACCTGGGCCTCGGACCGCGTAAGCTGGTCGCAGATACGCGTATTTTGCATGTGGGGCGGTAGCGAATACGCGTATAGAGGGACATGGAAACTCAGATTTGGCAATTCCAAGGTAACCAGGGTCTTCTCGAAACTTGAAATACACGGATTTTGACTTGCACTAGTACCCACATTTGGTTACAGCTAACGCAAGCCGCACGAAAGTGTCAAGTAGAACAGGTGGGACGAGGACTCGATAGTTGGAAGCTGAGCTCGGACAAATATATATAATATACTCGTTGTTCAGCTAGCCCTTGTTTTCTTTTAATCAGCATTGGCTCTTGGTCCCTGAGAGTTTTGACTTTTTTGCCTCTTTTCCCTTCTTACTTGCTTTTTTTTTTTCTGTTCTTTTCTCACCCTTCTCAAATCCTGGTTTTAGTTTCCATTTGGAGAGGGTACCGGTGATAAAAACACAGCGAAATATGGCAGAACTAAAGCCATACAGGGGCAACTACTACCTCTGGGACTACCTCCCGTCGACACCAGCAGCAATCATATTCGTGGTCCTGTTTGCGGGAGCAACGGGCTTCGTGGGCTGGCGGATGGCCAAGACGAGGACGTGGTTCAGCATACCTTTTGTCCTCGGCGGACTGTGTAAGTCCACACCACCGCATCAGCATGAGACGGCTTTCAAGCGTACATGTAGATACATACTGACGCAAGACTCGGTTCCGCAGTCCAGTTCCTAGGCTACGTGGCCCGGGCGTACGCGCGCGACAAAACCGACCAACTCGGCCCGTACGTGATGCAGTCGGTGCTCATCCTCGTGGCGCCCGCGCTCTTCGCCGCCTCCATCTACATGACGCTCGGGCGGCTCATGCGCAGCATCCACGGCGAGCGCCACTCCCTCATCCCCGTCAACTGGCTCACCAAGGCATTTGTGCTGGGCGACGTCTTGTCGTTCCTGGTGCAGTCGACGGGTGCAGGGCTCATGGCGGTGAAGAACTTTGACCCCAAAAAGGCAGAGAACATCATCCTCGTCGGGCTTATTGTGCAAATCGTCATGTTTGGGCTGTTTGCCATGACGGCGGCGATTTTCCACGTCCGGATGAGGAGGTGGCCGTCGGCGGCGAGCATGGACGCGGGCTGGGTCAGGATTATGATGATGCTGTACGCGACGAGCGCGCTGATTCTGGTGCGGTCGGTGTTTAGGGTCGTGGAGTACATCATGGGCAAGGAGGGCTATTTGCTGACGCATGAGTGGACGCTGTATGTTTTTGATGCGGCCTTGATGTTTGGCACCATGGTGGTGTACGGGGTTGTGTATCCAGGGCACTTGAGCCGTGGGGAGTTGAGGAAGCCGAGGGCGTGGGACGTGGTTGATTCGGGGCCCGGGGAGGATGAGGTTCGGCCGGGGGGCAAGTGAGTAGAGCCATCTTGCGGGAATGGAGCTGTGTTGTGTCTATGTTGGGTTGGCTTTTTGATATTTGATGGTGATAGTCTTGTTGAGCGTGTTGGCATTTTAGACGGCGAAGGGAGCAAATTGGTAGATTCGATAGAATTGCAGGCCATGTACAGAGCAAAATTCGAGTTTAAACATTTGCAAAACGAAAAAGAAGGGAAAAGAGAAAAAGTAAACGGCTGTAATCTCCTAGTTGCCACGGTTAAGCTGCATCACCAAGACGACGGCCGAAAGCTGCTGACTTAAGCAACTCTGACAAGCCGACGTCAAAACCTCACCACATGGTCTGGCATAGCCCAATGCCCATGACGGCATCAACCTCCATGTCGAACACGGCGTCCGCGTCGTCCCCCCCTTTCCAGGGCGCGCAGCATAGCCACGAACATTGAAAGGCTACGCAGGCCCAGTCACACCACGGACACCTCCAAATTCCCTCACTTGGCTCACCGACTCCCGGAATCGCGGAATCACCATGCCTCAACCCGGCGGCACAAGCCCGCAGCAGCAGCCCAAGGCGCATCGCAGATCTCACCGAAAATCCCGAAACGGCTGCGTGGAGTGCAAGCGGCGCCATATACGCTGCGACGAGCGCCGGCCCGCCTGTGCAAACTGCGCCATCGCAGAGCGCGCATGTGTGTTTCCCCCCGTCAAGGACCGGCCCTTGCGGAGGAAAGGGTTATCGCCATCGCATTCGGCGTCAGATGCCGAGACGCATGCCCGTACAGATGACCCGAGTCCGTCGGCCACAGCGTGGAATTCAAGCGATGCCCGGACACCACGTACGCCCAGTGACACAGCCCTCCCGCAACTATCACGAACGCAGTCCCATCCAACTACATCCGAGCCCTCACCTCTGCCCTCGTTTGGCGAATCGTTTCCGCAGTCCTACGAGCCGTCATGGTCGGATCCCCCCCTCTTCACGGCAGACCATCTCTCCCTTCTGTACCACATCACCCTCACCAGGGACAGCTTCTTCATGACGCCCGGGCAGGACACCGACATTCTCGAGATAGCCCTCCGCTTTGCCTCCTCTCACCCGTACTTCATAGACGAGGTGCTCGCCCTCGCTGCCCTCCACAAAGCGACAACAACCTCGCCACCAGACCCGGCACCGCTCCTCCACATGGCCACGGAGCTTCAAACCCGCGCCATCGCGCGCTTCACCAGGCTCTCGTCCACCCTGCCGCCCGACGACATGGCATCCTCCATCCCACGATTCCTCTTCGCAGCCACCCTCTCCCTCCACGACCTCGCAGACACCTTGTCCTCCGTCCGGGCCCTCCACCACTCGCAGTTCCACGTCTTTGTAAACCGCTTCGTGGACTGCTTCCGCATCCACCATGGCGTCCGCGCCATCATACGACCAACTTGGCAGCACCTTGTGGCCTCGGAGCTAGAGCCCCTCCTCACACTCACCCACAGGGCACGCATGGACGTCGAGCCAGGCGCAAGAGGCGAGTCCAAAGGAGGGCACGAATGCCGCCCCCTCCACGACCTCCTCGATTCCTCTGACCTCGGCCCCGCCACGGTGACGGCGTGTCGAGAAGCCGTCGACCGGCTGCAATGGGCCTTTGACATGTACAGGGACTTGCCGACGCCGGTGGCAGGACCACACGCCGCGTCGGCGTTTTCGGTCACGGTGAGTACCGACTACCTCGATGTGCTGAGGCGGTTGCAGCCCGAGGCGGTGGTCGTGCTGGCCTACTACGGGGTGCTGCTGCATCGCTGCCGGCACTTCTGGATCTTTGGCGACGCCGGCGCCTTTGTCGTGAGGGCCATCGCGCAGCATCTGGGTGCTTACTGGCAGGGCGTCATGGCCTGGCCGTTGAGCACGGTGGAGGGAGCCGCCGACGAGGAGGCGGGCCGGACGGACGCATGAATGGAGTACTACTAGATTCAAGATACGGAACGGCCAAGACTTGAAATATGACGAGACACTGTGTCTGAAACATGTCCGTTTGTCCGCGGGCCGTTATCTATTCCGGTATTTGTGGTTGTTGTCTTATCTGGTCGTAATACCCGGCGGCATACATACATGCGCGTGTGCTTTCGAATCACCGCCATATAAAGTGCCGCAGCAAGGGGTTTTATTCCCGCGTTTCAAACCGAGACAACGACCCGCACGGGATAGCCACGCCGATTAGGCAGCAGGTCTTCAGAGACGACCTCGTATTGTGGCATGGATCACGCAGGAGACATTGACAGCACGCCATCTGCAACCTGCTTCCCCCGTCCCGCACCGACTTGCTTACAATATCCCGAAATGGGATGAAGGACTGTATACTCGGGGCAGTACATGGCACTGGAAAGACAATCCCAGATCATCCAGAAGTTCGTGGTGAGGCCACATGTCTGGATGATGGTACTGGGGTTTCACACCCTCTCACGATGCATAGATGCCCTCACCAGCAAGCGATGGAGAACCGCCACGCAGTCAATTGCTCGGCGGGCTCACTCTTTCTGCTAGGTGCGCTTACCCCCCTACTACTTGGGTATTGACTGTATTTCAACTCTGCTTATATACTTGGGTAATTTATAGTAAAAATATATTTACCTATCATAATATACACACTAAGATATTATAATATATTTTATATATCAGCATAGATTAAACCCGTCCTCTGCCAAACTCAAAGAAGAAATAATCAACTTCTCCTCTCCCAGCTAAACACCCAGCATCTCAAGCCCAAAAGTAAAACGAAAATAAAATTTCCCCATGGCCCTCATAACCCTCGCCATCAGCACGTGCCCTTTCGTCCCCCATCCCCGATTCCCCACACGAGAACGCCGGCTCCAGTGGGGCCATCCTCAAAGGGGCAGCGCCGCGCACCGAGGCGGGGCTAAGCCGAAAAAGACGCCCCGGCCCCCCACACCGAAGCGGCGGCGGCGGCCACGGAGGCCAGAGCCTGTCGGCCCGCGTGTCAATGGGCCAGGCGGGGGCTGGCTTGCCGATACTACAACACACACAAAACGCAACTAGCAAACGTCAAGGACCTGCGGGTATCTGAGGGAAAGCGACGTGATTCTTCCCGAGGTGCAGGTAGCCTTTATCGGGAATAACTTGCCGCACACACATGCATGCATATTCCCTCAGGACACGAGACTATCAATTGCAGTCCTTACACACCGACGTATATACTCAACACAAGTTGCGGAACCACACATGCCACTCCTGCTTCCATGCTGTAACAGGTTTCACCTACGTCTTTTAAGAAACTAGCTACCTAGTTATTCCTAGGCAGTCATCATCATCTATCACGCCTTTACCAATCCCCGCAACTCGTCCCCTCGCCAGTTAACTCGCCCTCTGATATTTTGTACGGCTACCACACATCCTCGTTTCACCCTCACATCTTGGCCTGTCCTTGTCAAAACAACTTTCTCGTCTGAGGATAAGCCCCCTCCCCCCCCCAACCCAACCCCAGACTTTTTCGCGTTCGTCTCCTCAAGGCTGGGGGGGAGGCAGTTGAGATTAATCTTTGAACATCAAACTTCATCATCATTCCTGCTGCGTCGTTAATAGAAACGTGACCTAGACAAGCTGCCTATGTCGTCCTGTGACACATCTAAATTTTGGTATCACTACGGTAAAAAGAAATGTTCTTGCAAGCAGTCCAGCCACAGCAGAGGAGCAAACAATCGCTCTAGCCATCATGCTAGGCAAGGACTTACAAGCCGTAAAACTCCCAACCATCCCCGTTCCCATCCCGGTTCTTGCTGTTGTCTGGGATGGCCGGCTTTCCCTCCTTAGTTGGCGCAAACTCACTTCTCAGCTCTTCATTAAGTCAGAGCTCTTCGTCCTCGAGCTCGGAGGGCTTCAGCAGACCGCCGACCTTTTGTCGCCTCTCCATGTCTGCAGCTTTGGCGTCGGCTTCGCGTTGCTCCTTCTCAACCACAAAGAGCTCTGCGTTGTCGCCGGCAAATTCCTTGAGAGAAATGAGGAAATCTCGAAGATTCAGACGGAACTTATCGTACGTCGTGTTGAATGAGAAGAGTCCCTCCACGAAGCTTGTCACTTGGGCGCTATCAAGATGTTAGCAATTTGACCGACCCCACGAGATTCCGTGCATCAATCAGTACATACGCTTGCAGGTTTGGGAAGGCATTTCGCAGTAAAGCTGCTACTGAGTTGCCGAGATACTCCTTGTTGCTAGTTCCGGCTTGCGCTTGATCGGGAGTATAGATTGGCCCTTGAATCTTTGGCTGCGTGCCATCGGCGGGATGGATATAGTAGAAGAGCTTCATTAGCAACATGGACTGAGTCTTAAATCCAGCCTTGTGGTCATTGTCAGTCACGACAAACAAAACATCCTGCAAGATGGTCATGAAGAAGCGCTGGAAGAAGGCATTCGCGGTAGCAACGTCAGTCTTTTCGGCAATGTTGTTGATCAGTTCAAGACACATGTTCAGACCAGCAGCCTCGACATCTCGGTTGTCGTGCTTGAAAGCCCAGGAGCAAGAGTCAATAACAAATTTGAACTGGTTGTTATCCAGCTTCAACAACGCAGGGAAGCAGTGCAAATTGATGGCTCGAAGGAGATTGAAGAACTCGACTCGATGCTCAGGGAACTCGGAGAAGTCCTTGTTGATCATTTCCAAAGTACATTCGAAGACATTTTCCATGATTGTTGGAACCTGGTCCTCCATCAGAGCAGAGAGCTTGGTGATGATGGTGGACATGGCCTTCAACACTTCGGCGTCACGAGCCCCTGCAACATTTCGGTTGTAATCGACAAGCACACAGTCGAGTAAAGGAGGAACCATTTGAGCACGAACAGCCTGCAGGTCTTCGGCCTTTTCGACGTAAATCTCAACAAGCTTGAGGATCTCCTTCTTGATGGTTCTCAGGCCGCGGACTCGGGGCATTTTCGTCGCCAGCTCACCTAGTTCAAAGGTTAGTCGTGTTGCAAAGTATTAAATCATCCATGCATGCATGTTTGACTTGCCATCTCGAGCGACAGCCTCTGAGATGAGACCGCTAGTGGCGCGATACATCTCCAGCATGTCGTGGTAAATTCGTCCAATCTGGGGGTAAAAGTACGGCCCAATTGAGCTACAGGCAGAAACATTGGTCTTCATGATATTGCCAATGACTTTGATGGTCTCTGCATCTTGCAAGATTGAAGGGTTAACAGTGGCCTGCTTAATGATCTCATCCCACGCAGCGTTGGGGATATTCATCAAATCTGCCAAGAGCCGCTCCTGCTGGTGCTTGTTGCCCTGGGCGGCAACCATGTAACCACACGCTTCGTAAAAGGTATGGACTTGCTGCGGTGTTAAATCACACGTAATCTTGCCCATGTTCCTAACAATCTCCTCAATGAATGGCTCCTGCTCACTAGGCTGGAGGGCCACAAAATGTCTTCGGCACTGTCTGGCGATCTTGATGAAGGTATCGCAGGCCATGTCTTGCACACCTGGGAAAATAAAGTTAGCATGCTAGTCTTGTTCAGATGGCTGTCATTGCGGGTCTGGGGGGCTTACCCTCGTGAGACTCGTGCATAAACTCAAACAGCTTGTTGACAACCGTCTTAAGGAACTTCCAGTGCGCTTTCAAGAATCGAGGGTACTGGCCCACGATATACATAATGTTGCTGGCGACGACCGCCTTGTTGTCTTTTCCGCGCTTCATCTCTGTAAGCCCCAAAAGGTCCTTGATAACTGTGACTAAGAACCGCTTCTCGGTTTCCTCGTTCATGGCTAGGGAGATGGATCCAATGGCCCAACACAGGACATTGCAGTTGTGCCACGACCACTCAGAACCGTCGACCTGACGGGCCAGCTTTTCAGTCATGATATTCTCCGTGTCCACCACATCCAAGTGCGTCAGGTAAACCAGACATTCTCTGATAGTCTTATACAGTTGGACTGTGTCGCTTTCCTTGACAAACTCTCGGACAATCTCCCCTTCGTCGTTTTCAACGATGAGAACTTCCTCAGGCCTGACCATTCTCTCAATCATGACAACTCGCAGATTTGATAGGACCTCGTTGTATTTGTGTTTTCGAAGTGGATAGTTCATCAAGAGCGTAGGGTTCGGGGCACCACTGCCAGACATGCCTCCCACAGCCATGAGCGGGTTGAGATCCGTGATTGGAAGCTGCTGCATCTCCTCGTACAATTCCTGGACCAGCTTCAGCCAGTAATCCAGGCAAATTTTGAAAATCTCGCGGTCGTCAATCTGCGATATCCGGATCAAGTAGTAGTGTCCGTGCATCAGGTAGTCTCGATTCGGAAGGTTTTCGATCAGCTACAAATGGTTAGGACGCAGTGCATGAATAACTATTCGACTACACTTGTAACTTACGTTCAGGTGGGTTCCAAAAAAGTTGCAGAGAAACAAGGCCAAATTCTGAACAAACTCTTGGTCCCTTGAGTTGCTCGTAGGGTAAGTCGCCTTCAAGTCCAGTGAAACGGGGATGATGTCCGCAATTGTCGTCAAGACCTCTGTGAACATCTTGACCAGTTGCTCGTCATACGAGTTCGATTGACCAGCGCCGCCGGTTTGCAGGCCACCAATTTCCGTCAGGCACTGAAGAGTAATGTTTCGGAACTCGGGTACGGACAGAAATCGTGTGCGCAGAGTTTCGATGAGGTTGGTCTCGAAAATGTAGCCTAGAGGAATCCAGTTGCAAAATCGCAGCAACGTCTCGAGGGTGGCGTGAACCAAGCTGGGCTGGTCTGCAGTTGTAAGGACTTCTTGGCAAAGCTGGAAAATCTGTGAAAACTCGGCGCACATAGTCTGCTTGAGATTTCTCGTCTTTGTGGAAGTCATCTGCTCTGCCGAGTAGTCAAACACTTCTTCTGAAAGCAATCGCAGGATGATCATGTTGTTCTCGCAAATGGACAGGTTCGCGTGGCAAGACGAAATGATTTCGTTTATGAAAGTGGGCCAGTTGTGAGGCCACTCCTGCTTGAGCACAGAAATGAGAACGAGATTCAGCTTGTTGAGCAGGGTTTTGTTTGACTTCAGGGCATCTTCAGAGCTAGAGCACTGGATGATGAATTGGACAATGAAATTTCGGATGCCTAGATGACGAGGTCAGCTGCAAAACGAATCATCATAATGATGAACTGCAAGTAAAGGAAAGAAAAAAAAACGCCGAACAATGAAAAAGCGACAGACCTTGGCACTGGTCGCGAGGCAACACCTTCCACCTCGTCATAATGACATTGTCGAGAACCTGTAAGCCCAAGTCTTGAGGGAAAAAGTTAGCGTCCCGTGTACCGTCGATAGTGAGCCAGGGATTTTCGCCATAATAGCCATCAAGTGATGTTGTTCCAGCGTACATTTTGTCTGGGGGTATTGCGCGGTCGAAAGGATCTTGTCTACCATAAGCCAAGCATCGGGATCTTCTTTGAACTACTAGCATAGTTAGCCATGCATGTTTTCTTCTTTTTCTTCTTCTTTTTAGGCGAAAACAAGCTCCTCAAAGGCAAAGAGCGTATTTTTGATGCAATTTCAATTCGTCTCGGAGGTCTTTGTCGGTTGCCATTCCAGCACAGCTGGGGGGAATATTTACCTGGTTCAACGCGGCTTGGGCGGCTTTTTGCTACGGTGTGGAACAAGCAGTCCGCAGTCAGTCAGCACATCCCAAAGATTTGAAATGACACTCTTTTGTGTGAAAAGTTGAAGCCGGAGAGGGGTGTTGTCCACATACCTGGTCCCCGCGACCTTCGTAAAAGGTGCGGACCGTGGTGTCGAGCTCTTCGATTGTGACAGCCATGGCCTGAGCAAGACGAGGCTAGCAACGAGGGGAAACGAAACCAAGGGCGGGGGAAGCCTGCAGAAGTTGCTCGACGGATGCGAAACCTAGGCAGCGCGCAAGATGAAACAAAAAGAGAAGTGCGGCGCGTCAAAGCTGTGTGATGCTCCGGCAGGGGAATATTCGGGAGGCGGATCGCGAATATAGAAAAGAAGGTCGTGTGTGATGGGGGTGGGAGTGGAAGAAGCTTGCTCTGCGTGTGATGTGGTTGGTGGCGGCTGGGCGGACGGCGGAGAGGTGAAAAGAAAAATGACACTGACACGGACATGGGCGTGGAAGTGGACATGGTGCACTTGGGCAGCTGAGCCCCAGCCAGGCGGAGCACCAAAAACACCAGTTCACCAGACTTGAGCAGCGGTCAATTGCTCCATGACAGCACTTGAATGCCTAGAGTCTAGGCGACCCAGTGGCCAAAGGTGGGGTGGTTTTGTTGCTGTTTGGCGTGTCGGGACAAGCCACAGCGCTCGTTTGCCTGGAGAGGAGCTGAACTGGTGCTTAGACGTCAACTGTCAACTGCACAGGTCAAGTCCATGTCCGTCAACGTGCTTGACCCGTCAACGGTCAATACTCAAGCGCCGAACTAGGTGCCTACTAATAGGTACCTACCTAGGTACTTAGTACTAAGTACCCAAGGCAGGTATGTGGTGTCTGGTGGTCCAGATCAATGTCCAGCCTACGTAGCCTGCCGCTCAGCTACCTTTCACATTGCCACGCAACGTCATGTCAAATACCGTGAATGTTCCAGCTGCTCCGTCAGGTGGGGTCAAGGACCGGAGCTTTTAGATGCCGCATTCTCCAGCTCCAAAGACATCTCCCTCGGACACAACCACCGGACCAAGTGTGCCTGCGCCTAGCTGGAGACGAACGTGTAAATGCCAATTCACCATCCCCCGCGGCGAACTACTACTTGCACATCGGTCCATCAACCTGCTGACGACGGTGTAGCTTCTGTTGCGTGAATTGCAACTAGCTTTTGTCAGCATCTCGATCCCTCCTCCCCTCTTTACCCGTATTTGCCCCTCCTGTCCGCCTCGGTTGCCTCTGTGATTGAGCCGTGCCCACCAAAAGCTCACAATGTGGCGCTGGCGAACGCCGGGAGGGGCGGGCAGGTTGTGGCTGGTCCGCCGGCGGCTGTTTGAGGTCTTGTAGCAGATACCTTTCTTGCTGAGCTTGCCGACACGACGTGGGGCATCCGAAAGCTGCAACTGTCGCTGAAGTGCTTCGCTATGACGCTACGGCCTCATGTACTCGGTACCTTCGTCCTGCTCGGTGTGTCGTTGAATCGTTCCCTCAGACCTGCTTTATGCCCGGGTCGTCACACCACCACCCGATGTGATGACCATGTTCATTCGCTCCGGCTGAACCTGTAGTCTCCCCGAAAAATCCGAAACGCAAATTAACCATGTCTCTCACCAATCACTCCCAGCAAAGCCGCGGTGATTATGACCAAATGGTCCCAAATGAACAGTCGCACACAGTCACGCACAACATCCCCATACACGCCCTCAATTCCATCACAAGCCAAATACAAAATATATCGCCGGCCGCACGTTTGGAGCTTTCTAATAATAATCAGAATGCTGGCTTTTACTGTTCCCGCTTGCCATGTCTCTGTCCAGGTTTGCCTTTCGACGATAAAGATTAGAGATGGGATATATTCGCTCAAATACTTCTTCTACAAGAAATCGTGCTCTGCCTTGAGAGCCTCATTCTAGTTTGATTCAAAACAGGTTCTTTCTCAGCGTACAGTGACTCCAATATCCCTTATTATGCCTTGTAGCCAGACTCGGCCAAAGACTCCTTCAGAGCCTTGAGGGCATTGTCAATATCGTTTCGCTTGGGGTCCATCTGTAAAGAAGCGCAACTTAGCACACTGTTTTGCTAGAATATAAACCATATAATCTAGCCGGGGGAAAGGGTGGCTTACAGCTGAGGGTCCCATGTGTCCAAATCGAATATACTTAGTGCCAATCTCCTTATGCAGCCCACCGGCGAAGATGATGCCTTTATTCAACAGCTTGGGCAGGACATCGGGAATGCTGACACCATCTGGCAGATAAATGGCAGTCATGGCATGAGCCTGGTCCTCGGGCTTGGCTGCGACAACCTTTAGGCCAAGGTCAGCAACAGCCTTCTTGACCTTGTTGGAGACCTCGATGTGTCTCTGGAATCGCTCTGACAAGGGGCGGGCCAGAATCTGGCTGACGGCAGTGTTCAGGGCGTGGATGAGCTGCGGTGAAGGAGTGGAGAAGTACGAAGGCTTCTTTGCCTCATAGTTTTGCATGACTGTCACACCCGAGGTCAGCTATTACCAGCGGTCAGGTATCAAGTATATCACGGCGACTTCTTACTAGGAATCCATCTCTTCATAGAAGCAAAATAAGTGGCGGGCTCCGTCTTGCGGTTGTGGACCACATCAATGGCACGGCCGCTGAACATGGAGATGTGCAGTCCGGTAGGGCAACCAATAGCCTTCTGACCAGCAGTAACAACACCATCCAAACCCCAGTCATCAAATGCAATTTCCTCGCAAGCAACGCTGCAGACACCGTCGGCAATGATAAGAGTCTCAGGCGAGACGCGCTTGACAACATCGCTAAGGCTCTTGAGGTCAAAGAGGACACCAGTCGAGGTATCAACGTGGGTGGCAGTGATGATCTTGTACTTTTTTTGCTTGAGGGCCTTCTCAATCTCATCAGGCTGAGGTCGGCTGCCCACAGGCCCGGTAATCTTGGTTACATTGGCGCCATAGGCAGTGAGGCAGTCGGCGAATCCGTCTCCGAAGTAGCCGGTGCTCAGGACCAGAGCATTCTCACCAGGCTCAACCAAGTTGACAGCGACCATGTCCCAGCCCAGAGTACCAGAGCCATTGATGACGAAAGGCTGTGAAGCAGGATTGGTGGTCCGGAAGAGCTTCCTCAGCATGGAGAGAGTATCACCAAAGGTCGAGACAAAGCCAGGACCAACGTGGGACTCGCTGTCGAATTGTAACGGCAAACAGTCAGCAACTAGACACAAGCGTCTGAACCCCCACGGTTGTTCTTGTCGCCCATGGATCACGTATTTCATTTGGTAGGACGTACCTGTAGTGAGCCATGGACTGGAGCACGGCATCGTCGAACTCGATGGGTCCGGGAATCATCAAAGCAGGATGAGCAGCTTGGGAACTCATTTTGGCGACTTGTTGAAGGCGGCAAGCACTCGATGTAGGATGGGATTCGGATTGGGGTCCTCGTCTGGCTGAAACTTGGAACAATGGTCGAGGATGTCGATGTAAAGAAGTAGAACACGGCCTCGGACCAGACCTGGTGCTGGAGCTTGTTGAAGAAATGGACATGGAGGGGTAATAGAGGCTTTGGCGGGGCAGAGCGGCCAGCGCTAATGTCAAGGTGCCCTCCAGCGGTCGGGTGGAAGCCGGGGCTCTCAAGAGTGGGAGACGCATGGCGCCGAGGGGCCAGGCCGTATGCGAGCCCTTCGGAACGAGGCGCTTGAACCACTCCGGAATGCAATGCTCAATTGCACCCGGATATTTCAAACAAAAGGCAGCTGTCTGCTCCAATCACGGCTCTACAAAGCCGCAGGAGGGTGTCTGGCTCTTATGCAGTCTCCGTCAACGGAACCAGAAAGAAGAGAAACCAGGTGGTCGAGAGCCGCGAGGCGTCCCTGTCGGCTACGGTGCCGGTACCGGGCCAACCAGAGCGCTGGCCGCCGCCGCCTTCCGCCTGATGCGGCAGCTGAGCCCATGTGAAGATGGGCGCAGAGGAGCGCGGACGGGCACCCGGCGTTTTCCGGCGTCAGGTCAATAGCACACACCAGGTACTCCGTAGAACGCATCACTACTTACTAAGTACCAAGTGCCTTGATGCATCAAACAGAGCAGCCTGTTTCTTCTCAAGCACCACCGGAAAATTCTTGTGCCGGAAACAACAGGCAAGTCATTCACACTCGCCGGCCTAGTTCTTGGGCGTCGCTGGCCAAATACTTCGCCCAGGGCCGAAGTAACTCGCTATATTCGCTTGAGAAGAGATTTGATTAGCAACATTTGCCAGTCCTTTCCGCTTAAAATCGGCTTGCCTCGCATTGTACATCACCATCACCGTTACTCTGAAACCTGGCCGACTATGGAGCTTCACATAGCCCTCGGGGCAAACAAAGTGAGGTGACTCTATTCACTACTCTTTGAGCCCAGACCCTACCGTAGCGCTACCAATCGTGATCCCCCTTCCGTTTCATCCCAACCGACCCAATCTTTGTATAATCCAAAATAGGTCCCTGGGATATCTACATCAGGCAGGCAACCTTGCGGCTACTGCAAAGCCCCGAAGATCCCACCTTGATGCGTGACGATTCACCCACCCACGTCCACGCTTCTACAAGCCACTCGTACCACACTTTTGTGTCGTCTGTTTGTCGCCACATGCTTACTTCAAGTTCTGTGTCGGCGGGGAACGATATCGGCTCCTATATCACCACTAGTCAGTTTATGCTGCATTTACCAACCAGGGACCGGATGGGCTCACTTTGAGAGGGAAGAAGATGGGGAACCAGGAAATCATATCCTTGCTCTTCTGGTCAATCCTCTCAGGGTGCGTGCTGATCTCTACCTTTTCCCCCTTCTGACTCTCGAGCCTGGACTCGTAAAGCGTAGATTCAAAGTATCCTGCCAGGCCGTGTGTGACGCCCTGTGAGCGACACACAAAGGTAACATGGCAGTATCGAGAGTTGTGGTCATTTGCACCCGCTGCCCCGGCCATGCTTCCGCCCCCGCCACCCATAATGCCACCGGAGCGCCGGGCATCAATGTTGGTCAGGGTCGATTCCGGGATAGGGTGAGAGAATTCCCATGCTTGTTGGAATCGCGCATGTCCAGGGACCCTTTGGCAGACGAAGTCGAGGGCGTAGAGCCTTACGACCCAAGGGGTGTTGAAGGCCGTGGGTTCAGTAGCAGACCGTGCCAATATATCCCCGTATACTTTTGGCGTAGAAATGGGACTCATGTGCGCCGTATAAGAATGAGGAATGGAGATGCCGTGCGGTTTAGCAAGAACGTGCTGGATGCCATCCAGGCACTCGGGCGAAAGTTCATTATCGCCAAATGATCCAAGGAGTTCGGAAATCAAAATATCCACTTTGCCGTAGACAGGGCCGCCTGAAGATTGGGACACAACGGGGCCTTTCCAAGCCCGCATATCAGTCTTGATGACGTTGACTTTTCCGCCCCATAGCATGTGGTTCTGGCGCAAGAGGTAAACATAGGCGTTTGGATTCTTTTCTACGGCCCAAACTTCAACTTTCACGCCGGTGTACTCTGCCGCCTTCAACGCGCGCGTAACCAAGGGTCCTCTTCCAGATCCGGCTACTGCGATGACAACGACACCTTCCTTGGAGGTAGGCAGGTCGAGTTCCTTCCATTCGGACAGTGCTTCAATGACGGCTGCTTCATACTGGTCGTATTTTACCGGGTCTCCTTCGAATACTTCGTACGTAGCTGATTCCAAGTTATCTGATAACGGTTGAAGTGGAGATTGCAACCAATCCTGGAAACTTGTCAAAGTTGGTGACTCCAGAGCCGTCAAAGGAGGTTGTTGAGACTCCAGCCATTGCAAGTATGCCATGTGTGCGTCAACACCTGGGCGGCTGGTCTGGTTGGTCGACATGCCAGCAGCATCTGCTAGGCTGGGGAAGTCGTCTTCTGTCATTTCTGGCCTGTTAGCTACCGAAAGGATTGATGGGTCATTCGCCTTGAACTTTGATGCGTCAGGGCCGACGTCGCACAGCAGAATCCAGGGTGAGGCCTTCAGTTTCATGTAGCTGAAGATCATTTCCTGGTGGTGCTTTGACAGAGAAGGAAAGCCACTTTTGTTCTTTTGGAACACTTCTGAACCGATGGTCAAATAGTGCAGGGGCTCCGCAAACCATCTTGTTTGCAAGTCTTTCTCGGGCATCATTCTGGGAACTTGGAGAGCTAGATTGGCATCATTAGCCGTGCCGCTTCTAGCATTGGCTCACAAAATGGCTGCTAAACATACCCACAAATAATCGGAGATTATAATTGCAGATTGATCGAACATGGTGCCAAGAAGCCCACGCCGCAAAAAGATCAATCTCCTTGCTTCCCGGTGATGCAGGTGTTCTCTCCTCAAGTGACGACAGAGTCTCAGTCTCCTGCCCAGTTGTCGGTTCCTGATACATTGGCATGTGGACCAAAATTGTCAGGGCACTGCCTATGGTAAGGGCCTCCTGCACGGCACGAGAGTACTGTGCCAAAGCTTGGTTTCCACCGGTTTGAGAGGCATCGCGAGATGGTCCAGCGATGATGATACTCCTCACCCCGCAGAAGTTGGCATAGTTAATCTCGAGGTTCAGCACTTGTCGCGAGATACTAGCAATCAATGGATTGCTTGAGCACAAGTCGATCCACGGGCTAATATAAGCTGTATACGTGTTGACGGTAGGCGAGGGAAACAAACCAGTATCGTCTGGTGTCAGAGGTGGGATAATCGGGTCGGCTCGTGACCCTGTCACCGTGCTTGTCGACTCTTCGTTGTTCTCCGCCAACAATTTCAGATGGTCGGAAACTATTTTGAAAACCCTGGACCTGAAGTGATCATTTGTGACGGGTGTGGTAGCAAAATTGATCTTTTCCAAGTGTCAGCCAGCATAGATTGCGCAATGGTAAAATCTGTCACACTTACACCTTGATTAAGCAAGTATCCATATTGCAAGTCCGTCAGTGGCACAGCTCTCTTGGAATCATGCTTTCCGATGTGAAAAGGCGGCGCCTGAGCCCCGAAAGAGTCCGACATTGTCATGTCAGCTGCTCCAAATGACATGCTGCTGATTGAGGCCACCAAGCTCAGGCTTCACATAAGGGGACTCTCAATTAATTGAATTGCCAACCTGTCGAGTGCCAAATCTTATAACCTTCTGCCTTTGGGACCGCCCGATCTTGAAGAGCGCCCTAGGGAGGTCTATTTACCTTTCCTCGAGAGATGCAGGATCAACAGGCAGTTAGAAGTGGGCGGTCGAGGGCACATAACAGCATGCCACTTTTTCATGGGATTGTCTGGGCTTACGCACAGTGTGCGCCGCACATACGGCTTAAGAGGGTGCTGGTAAGCCTATCATGACTTCCAAGCTGTACTAACTTGATTCGAACCGCAAGCTCGCAAACATTGAAGAGCGTGTTATTTTGAAGATGAAACTTGCGGATTTTACCAACACTAGGTACAAAATAGTTTCCTTGGCTGACACTGCTACAGTGCGAAAGCACCATGTCCAAGCTTCATGCACTGTAGTTTGCACCTGGGTCCTTATCGATAAGATCCTGCCTGCTGTCCCGCCAAAATTTTCGAGACTAAACAAACTGGTTTTTGACGTCCTCAGCCTTGGCTGGCCGCTCCACAGACCAACATCGTTGTCAAAATGTCCGATTTCAGCGAATCCAAGGCTAACAAACGGGCAAGCGCCGACATAGACGAGACTTCTAGGAAAAAGTCTAAGAAAGGCGATCGCGAGGGCACCTACAACCCGTATCTCGCCCACATGGACCAGGAGAGCAATGGCTATGGCGGCGATGAAGCACCGCCAGGTTCGGCCTTGGAAGGCATGAAGCGTCGCCAAACCACTGCTGCCCAGGCCTCCAAGGCGGAAGATTCTGCCATCAACCCCTTTACGGGAAAACCCCATTCTCAGCAATACTTCAGGATTCTCGAAACTCGCCGGGATTTGCCAGTCCACAAGCAAAGGTACGCAGATCCCTCTCCAATCCGCTCAACTTCTTTTCTTGTGTACATAAAGCACAGGCTCTAACTTCATTACCGTAGGCAAGAATTTCTCGAAAAATACCAATCGACCCAAATTCTCGTGTTTGTCGGTGAGACTGGTTCTGGCAAAACAACCCAGATCCCGCAATACGTTATATACGACGAGTTACCCAAGGTCACCGGCAAGCTCATTGCTTGTACCCAGCCTCGTCGAGTGGCCGCCACGTCCGTCGCACAGCGTGTCGCCGACGAAATGGACGTCACCCTCGGCGACGAAGTCGGTTACAGCGTCCGTTTTGATGACTGCTCAAGCCCCAAAACTATGCTCAAGTACATGACGGACGGTATGCTTCTGCGTGAAGCGATGCACGACCACGACATGTCTCGCTACAGCTGCATCATTCTCGACGAAGCCCACGAGCGTACTCTTGCCACCGATATTCTCATGGCCTTGCTGAAGCAGATCGCCAGTCGTCGACCGGACCTGAAGATCATTGTCATGTCTGCCACGCTTGATGCGCAGAAGTTCCAGAAATACTTCAACGACGCTCCCCTGCTGGCCGTCCCTGGTAGGACGCACCCCGTCGAGATCTTCTACACGCCCGAGCCGGAGAAGGATTACGTCGAGGCTGCCATTCGAACCGTTTTGCAAATTCATGCGTCAGAAGGCGACGGCGATATTCTCCTCTTCTTAACCGGTGAAGATGAAATTGAAGATGCCTGTCGCAAAATCAGCCTGGAAGCCGATGAATTACAAAGAGAGGTGGACGCGGGGCCTCTTGTGGTGTACCCATTGTACGGCACCCTGCCGCCACATCAGCAACAGAAGATCTTCGAGAAGGCCCCGCCTCCTTTGAGAAAGGGCGGCCGTCCCGGTCGCAAGGTCATCGTATCTACCAACATTGCAGAAACTTCGCTTACGATTGACGGCATTGTATACGTCGTAGACCCTGGTTTCAGCAAACAAAAGATTTACAACCCTCGTATTAGAGTCGAGTCTCTCCTCGTGTCGCCCATCTCCAAGGCCTCAGCCCAACAGCGAGCTGGTCGTGCTGGTCGTACCAAGCCTGGAAAGTGCTTCAGATTATACACGGAAAAGGCGTTTAAGAAGGAGCTCATACAGCAGACGTACCCTGAAATTCTACGATCCAATTTAGCCAACACGGTCCTGGAGCTGAAGAAGCTCGGTGTCGAGGATTTGGTTCACTTTGATCTTATGGATCCCCCTGCGCCAGAGACAATGATGAGAGCCCTCGAGGAACTCAACTATCTCGCATGTCTGGACGACGATGGTGAACTCACCACGCTGGGCAGCCTGGCATCAGAGTTCCCCTTGGATCCTTCGCTAGCAGTCATGTTGATTTCCTCCCCCGAGTTCTACTGCTCCAACGAGATCCTCAGCATCACCTCTCTTCTGTCTGTGCCTCAGGTCTTTATCCGGCCCGCTAACAACCGAAAACGCGCAGACGAGATGAAGTCGCACTTTAGCCATCCGGACGGCGACCACCTGACACTGCTCAACGCCTACCACGCCTTCAGGGGCCAGGCTACTTCTGACCCAGACAAACTCAAGCAATGGTGTCACGAGCACTTCCTTTCCTTCCGCCACCTGAGCAGTGCAGACAGCGTCCGCGCCCAACTCAAGCGCATAATGGAGACTCACGGCTTGGAGCTCGTCTCGACGCCATTCGAGGACAAGAACTACTACACTAATATTCGGAGAGCGCTGCTGGCCGGCTTCTTCATGCAGGTCGCCATGAAAGAGAGCTCGGGCAAAGTCTACCGCACTGTCAAGGATGACCAGGCAGTCTTGATCCATCCGTCTACCGTGCTACGCACCGAGTTTGACTGGGTCCTGTATAACGAATTTGTGCTCACTTCGAAGCAATACATCCGTACGTGTACGGGCATCAGGCCGGAATGGCTACTCGTAAGTGACATCCTTGGCCCCTGCGTGTTGGTCTTCAAATTCGTCCTCTGGTTTTTCGCCCCTGCTGTCTGTCTTCTCCTTGGTCCTTGGTTTTTTTTTTTTTTTTTTTTTTTTTTATACTTACCAAACACCTTGGGACAGGAAATTGCCCCTGTCTACTACGATCTCAATACCTTTGAGCAGGGAGACGTCAAGAGATCGCTAGCCAGAGCGGCTGAGAAGAAGCGGAGAAAGGAGGCAATGAAAGCTGGGCGATGATGACTCGACAGGAGGCTGATACAGCCCAACGATAATTTCCTTCTCCACATCAAGTGTCATTTCACCATACAGAAGAATCAAAATATTTGCCCATGCCAGACTATACATGCATGGGAATGTCCGGTCTTTCGAGAGAACCCGGTAAGCCGGGGAACCGTGGCCCATGCAAAAGGTGAGATCGGATTCCTTTTTCAGAGACAGAGAAAAGGATTTTTGAAGAGGGTGTTTCATCTAGCGAACGATTACTCGTCGATTTGAGAAGCTAGGGAGGGAGATAGATAGCATCCGGTAAGACGGGGGGACACACTGCGCATAGAAAATGTGCCTGGAACAAGGCGTTAGAAATAGAGCCGTGGCAGAAAAACATGCACTTCATTCTTGCTTCCGAGAAAAAGGAAAGAAAAAAAACAACCCAAGATCAAAAAGCCACACATGGTGAATTGTCCGAACCACCTATCGTTGACGATGGTGGCTATTAGCTCACTGTGTTGAGCAAGGGTGCTTCTCCCCACAAGTCAAGCAGCCGGATCGAGCCGTACATAATTCCATGTAGGAGGCGTCAGCTCATGTTGCTATTTGCCGCCAGGTACTCCGTATTGGACGCGCAATTCTTGTCACACGTTGGAAACAGCGTCCACAGGCTTGGCAGAGGTTGGTTGCTTCGGCTTCTTTGGGACAAAGTGTGCATACGGAAGTGGCGCAAGATGTAATCTGCACTTTGAACCCGTAATGAAGCATCGCATTGCACCGCGTCACGTTGTGTAATTGTGTGCTCTACCCAACACCGCAACGCCGGGCCGTTGGAGCCTTCAGCTGCTACCCCTGTGTGCCGGCGGGCGTCTATTGTGCAGTCGTTTGTTTCGTTTCGCTGCGGGGGGTTTTTTCCTTTTGTTTTGTACATCCTTGTTTCTCTATTTCTCCGTTTCTGGGAGCTCGCCTCGACATAGTATTTGGCGATCGAGGTTGCATGCAGCCTGGTAGTACTTGGTCGCACATATCGCAGATTAGATGCCCAGCGTTAACAAACGCCACCAATGGTCGCTGGGATGAGGCGAACCATGATCGGCCGCGAGCTGCATATTGGCCGATGACATCAGAATAGAGAGAGGGGGGGATGGAGAGACTAAAAACCAGAGAAACGGAGCCACACAGAGTTAAGCAGCTCAATTTAACACGTTGGCAAAAAAGGGGCCTTTGCTGCTCCGCGTAGCTATCGCGCAGACTTTGCTTGCTCCCTTGGCCGGTGGCCAGCTACCAAATATTGATGAGATGAGACAAACACCAAAAAGGTACGGAGTACGATGAGACACTAACGGGCCGGCTCGAGTGCCGGAATTAGCTTCCGTCGCGGCGGCGATGAAGGCGGGTGGAGCCTCATGTATGGGGATTCTTCCGCGGGAAGGTCCAGATGTCGGCAGAAGAACGAGCAGACACAATAGTTGCCCATACATAAGGGGAGTGCTATCCGGTCTACGGAACGAGTGCCGGTGGTCGCAAAAAGTATCAAGGGATCTGTCATCAGCGGCCCGGGTCAGTACGAGAGTTGGTTGATGAGGGTGGCAAGCTCCAAACGTAGGGATCAAACGAACCAGAGAGCAGAGGAAAAGACAAAGAGAAAGGAAAAGGCCTGTGGAGGTTACTGCGCCAATGGCATTTGTTCCTTCACTTACCCACACCTCTCTCAGTCTCTAACGGCCACTCATTCGGTATGGGGCCAACAGCTTTTGACGCAACCTGACCGGCCTTGATCCGTTGTTAGAAGCAGGCCAAATTGTTTGTTATCCAAGGCCTTCCATCACCCCCGGCGGCTTGAGCACTGCATAATGCATGCTGCTCAAGGCTCGGAGCTCGGAGCTCACCTCGTGTCTCTCAAGGTGAGGGGGAAACTGTCGTCTTCTTTGCAAACCAAACGAGGCTAGGTAGGCGTGAGCCAACAGGCTTGGTATTGCATCAGCGACAAGGGCCGTGGCGATGCATATAATGCCGTACAAGACCGAATGTATGTAGTACATTCGAAGGGTGTCATTTTGCCAAACGAGCGGCATAAAACATGCGCTCCATTTTCCAGTTTCGTCTGGCTCTCCCCTGCCCAAGACGGAATAATTAGCCTTGTGGGAGGGAGCACTGCAGGCGCCTCAAAGCTGGCTCTGCTTGTCCTGCAAAGCACAGTTAATGCGCCAACCAACCCATTGGACTCATCCCACAAAATACTAGCCTCGATACTCAACTGTATGTGGCTGATGCTGTCAGACAGCACCTTGCTGCCCGAGAACGGAGTACCTACTAATAGGATCACGGCCTAGGTAGGCAATGTTGTTGTATAAGTGAGATTGCTGGCAGCTTTTCGTAAACTGCTGCCTGCATGGGGCTGGGATATTGACATGTTCCACGCCCCCTGTCCAGCCTGCAACGCATCTGGCCACATGCTTTTGGCACCTGTTTCTTCAATGACAGAACCACAACAGATAGCCGCCGCGTGGTCGCACCGACAAACCGACATGCGGTGATGCATCAATAGCAATTCCCAACCCACCACCAGTTGTCGCCATGGTGTGGCATTGTCGTTAAAGACAGCGCCGCGGATGTTTCTCGCGACTCAAGTTCATCGGCAATTGTCCATGCCATGCCCAGATGTGTGGTATCTTCGCCGCCGTTCATGGTGTTGACGTGAAGTATCCGGTTACCGAAGGGGTCCAATTGTCAAGCCGGGTCAAACAAAAGGCTCGTGGCCATGTCCCCCCGTTCTAATAAAGAGTCGTCCAATTCCGGGTCTAAAGCTGTGCCGTGTAACTACTATCGCATCTCTTGTCTTGGGTGTGGACATGTGCACAGCTATAATGGAGTACGTGAATCACATGAATCTCGTCGTGTTCTTTGTTGGCATGCGAGACGATCAGACCGCTCTCATGATGGACGGGACGCAGTGAAGAAAGGAGAGGGTGTGGTGCTGCTTGGCCAGACTAGCTGATTGATAACATCACTAGTAAGACCCGCTTCTGTCGTTATGCAATCCCTGTTCCGAGTAGCAGTCAATGCTTTTCGGAAGAGCCAAGAGTCCAAGACGATGGAACAACATGAAGGCCGTCAGGAGAAGTGATGGTGTGTAGAGTTCTCCCCCCCAATCCTATCAACAAAGGCCGCCATTGTATTGTTGGTTTACCTGCGAATGAGGGTACGTCAGTTCAAGGTGCGACTATTCAATTCCAAAGAGACAGGACTGCCGTTCAACCCACCTTGACCCATGTAGTACTACTACAAACACATGGATGTATGTGCATACACCGCGTGTCACACTAGCCTCTTCAATCCACGATAGATTTAACAGGGGACATGTGTCTTGTCAACCACACCTTGTATCGTTTTGGCAAGGACCCTAGCTCGAAAACACCTTTTTGAGCTTCGATTTCTTGACCCAAGCCCCCAGTACACGCCAGGTTGTACATATGTACTGGCGAGTTGGGGGCTGTTCGATGCTGGTCAGGGCGCATTCCCGCTCTGGCCATCGCCAACTTCCGATTCGGTTCCCATGCCCAACGTTGATTGAGAAGCTTCTCGCCCACCTATCCCGGCAACTGAGCCTTCGAAACTGGGCCTTTTGGCTAGTCCAGGGCAAGTCCACGGAAACAAGATGCTGGAAATGCCGAGCACACGCCCCAGATCCACGCTACGCCCGGATCGCGGACGTTGAGGTGAATGTGAGCTCTTCCAAAATATACATATAGACACGCCTGGAGCTGCTTCCTTTTGTAACGAGCTGCCTTCTCCTGACATGCCAACACATCAAGCCTGTCGTTTCCCTCTTTACTCCATACATATATCACAGACCCTCACTCGCTTCTGACTCACCAAATCCCACCTTTGTTTTTACTGTCTCTCGGCTCCCTCTGTCAACATGTCTGGTGGTTTCTACAAGTATCGTTGCAAATACTTTTATACCCACAACTGCCAAAATTGGGTTTGGGTGAACAAAGCGCCATGTGCAACTTGCATGGTAAGTCCTCGTGGCATGAATGAGGTTTCCCATATTAGCAGGCCTGGAATTCAGTGCTAACAGAAACTACAGGCTGAAGGACGAGATGATGAAAAGGCTCCCACTTCCGGATGGATGATGTCTCGAGATATCGCGGTGCCTCGTGTCCAGGATGGCGTTCTGCAATACGCAATGATGGAGCTTGTTGCTCCCACTGTTCCTGGAGAGGACTGGCATCTCAGAGACAAGGTTGCTCGAATCCACCCTGCCGATTCAGTGAACAACGGCATATCAGCAGCAGCTGGAAATACTTCCACCGAGTCTTGGACTATCGGAGACAAAGCAGCTCGGCCGCCACCAGCTGTTCCAGTCACCAGTGCCATGCCCGAGGCGCCTGGCCTGGTGTCGTCCGGGCAGTGAAGAACAAGGGAGCCCAGTGAAAATGATTATCGGGTCGTATCCCACCTCAAAAGTTGTATGTGTATCTCTGAGCCTCTGTGCTCAGATGACTGGGAGGATATGTGTGTATGCAAGATACCCAGCATCTGAGCATATCATCCAGGGCTTTACCGTCCCGATTGGGGGATTTGTATCAAACTGCAGTAACTCCGGCATGTTGAGTCGGCGAACAACCAGATTTGTCCCGACGCGTGCTTGCAGAAAGACGGCGGATAGCCAGTGGAGCGCTCAATCTCCACTCAGCTCTTATTTTGGACAGGGCCTGACCTAAAAATTGCACCTGGTCAGGGTAATAGTACTACTAATGCCAATTGTTCAATGCAATGATTGGGACAAGGGGGGATTTAGGTTGAAAAAAATTCTCCATGATAAAAATCTAGCCCTGTTTTTTCTTCTCTTCTCTTCACTCCCTTTTGAAATTGCTGTATGGGGTACCTGGGTAGATAGAGCACAGAGTACTCCATGCATCATATTATCTTTGAAGTGAATATTAAAAAAAAAATGGGTAATGAGTTTCGTCTGTCCGTACTGTGTTGAAATGCTGAGGTCATACACCCCCGGAACATCTCTTGACCGCCATATCGTGAACATGTGTGTTGCAACTTTGACGCGCTCGAAGTGGCACCATGACTTTGCCTCGGCTGGACGGACAGACACGTTCGAAAATCGAGTGCTGCGTGTTGAGTACCCCTTCGTAGTGTTCATACCGCACGGGCAACAATGGTATAGCTCCCTTGTCGCCTACATCGCATCTGATTAGACAAGCTATCTCAAGGCAAAGCTCATATTACAGTACCGAGTACATATTCTTCGGCTAGTTGCAGGAGACTGTGTACCGTTGCTTTGCAATGTTGGTTTAAGGTGGGTTTAATACATGTGGAGTCTGCGTCACCGTTTCGTTGAGGCGTCGGGAAGCAGCCGAAAAATACATTGTAGCCCGAGTTTGTGTAATGTATTGTATTGCGGTGGAGAAGTGGTTAAAATTTGTCTGCTTTTGGAGCTCCATAGACCACTCTATTCCCAGGTCGTGATAGAGATTAGATTGCCGCTGTGACAAGCGATGTCGCGCTGCCCAGTTGATCGGCTGTCAACATTGTCCAAGGAAAGAGAGATGCCCGCGAGACATTGCTACGCAAAAGTATTTGATGTCCTCTTGTGGAAGACGGCATTTCAATAAAGAGAGTGCAAGTAGGTGCAAGTAAGTGAGAGTCTTGGAGCCCCCACAGAAGCCTGCCAGCGCAGAAATCTTTCAATTTTTGCTTGAGGAAGGAACTCTCCATCGATTGATGTTTGACATGGAACGTGGGAGCATTTTGCGGCCCTGCAAGACTTGACAGTTGGTGGCGCCTGCCCACTCCTGTCAATGACTTGACGGCTGCCTGGCTTCCTTGCGCGTTGAGCAACTTTGAAGGCGAATCACAACATCATAAAGACCAGACCCCATTCTAACGCGGCTCAGCGGAAACCAAAGCCCAACCTGCATTCGAGAAAACAAATGAATGTCGCAAGGCGCGTTCCAAGGGTGCCCAACGTGTTTTTCTTGACCTTCCTGACAGAGTTAGGGCCTAGCATGGCGTGCGAGGGGGGGTCTGGAGGGAGGAGAGAAAAAAGGCCATGAAGGTTCATGGCACCACATATCAGTCCCAACACCCGTGCCAGGGTCCTCCCTGCATGAAAAGGACAAGAAATTTGGAAGTCGGCGCAATGAACATGCAATGCGCATTAAAGTCGGGATCACCTCTTGGCCTACCTTCTGGAGCTTCAGAAGCCCTGCAGGCCCACTTGGATGAGGTGTCGTTGGACAGGGTTTATGCCACGAGGGTGAGGGTCAATTCATCGGTTTATGAGCTCATTATTCCAAGTCTTCCCAAGGATAGTACGAGCAGTACAAAGACAAAAGGCGCCTGTCAAGCCTCCTTCCGCGGGACTCCCCGTTGTGCCATGTGGGTCAATCACTCCAATACTCCAGCTATTCGGTTGCAACGGCTTGGGAAAGCGTGGAGAGTCGGTGATAGTAGTTTCTTTCATGGCTTCAATGTTGGGGTCTAGATCGATACTTGAGACTATAAACCTTCGTCCAATCCTGGGGGTCGGCTGCTTTCAAGAAAAACATGCCCGTGATTCAACCAAGAGTACCGAATACTGCTTAGCTAGATGCCTACTACTAATTCAAGATCCATGAGGGCGAGACAGCATGCTTCCTGCGACTGCGTGATCCATATGATGTACACCAGACATGTCTATGTACACCGAAGCCAAGCGCCTCGAGACACGCCTACAACTCCGTCACCATGCATGAAAAAACTTGACCATCATCGATAACCCACCAAGGAAACAGGTCAAGGCTAATAAGGTAAACTTTTGCTGCGAAGTGCATGCCAAGTCGAGAATCATACGGGATGCTTTTCACAAAATTGCCGGGCTCATCCATCATTCCTGAAAGCACCACAAGATAATTTAATATGATTAGCGGAAGGCAGAGTCTGACCGCTTCAAAAACCATAACCCATCCCGAACTTTTTCTTGTTTTTTTCGCGTGACTACAATATAGCTGCCGCAGTCATGGTTACAAGTGTTGCAAATAAAGCCGTTGGAGCTCCGATCTGGATCCGACCAGCCAAGCTGCCCTTGTCTCCGAGGCCAAGGGGTAGGCCTTGTTCCCCAAATGTCACATTTTGAGGTATGGTGCTGTTGAGGCAACGCCCGTTCTCGACATCGAGATGAGCCAGATCCTCAGGCACCTTGAAAAACATGTAGTTGTCCTTTGGGATGCCCTTGAAGCCCGACGTGTCATACGGGAACTTATCACCAGAGTCTGTGGCGCTAGTGTTCCGCAGAAAGATGCACGCCACTTGCCCTGGGTAATCTTTGAACATCTGCGGGTAAGCCACCATTACATCGTGGTTGCTGGTATCAGCCACCAAGACAAACCGTCGCTTTGGAAACGTCTGAAAGATCTTGTCCAGCAAGAACCGTCGAATGTGCAGTGTGGCCGACGCGTCTGAAAAGTTTAACGGTCTCGTATCAAACGATCCAAGGGGGTACGTCTGGTATATAAATTCCATGTAATTCCTCGTCGCCTGCTCTGGGGTTGTAGTTAGGTAATGAAAGTGCATATTGTTAATGGATGAAGACCAGTTGGCATAGACGCTCGGCATGTTCATCCACGGCGTAAATGGTCGAGCAAACGTATTCAGCAGGCCTTCCTTAGGCTGGTAAATCTTGGTCACGCGCAGAATATCGTCAATGTCCGAAACGACCGTCAACCCCGTCCGGGGCACCAAGTACGCCGTGGCATTTCCCGAATCTGTCCCCTCGGCATAAACATTCAACGTCTGGATCTTTGACGTTTCGTTTCCAGGAATCATGTATCCTCCATTCAAGCCCGTCGTGTTCCGAAGATCGACAAATGAGTCAAAGTCGCCCTCAATGGTCGTGTTATATGGCATATGAATCGTTTGCGCGCCGCCTTTCTGTGAAATTACGCATCCCAGTTAGCACGTCTTTGCACGTTGCCGGGGACGGGATCTTTGTATCCGTCCTTCTTACAGCATTAATAGCACCCCCAGTGGCATTAGACTGCACCGCAACATTGTTCCGCAAGTTCATCGTCACGTTCCTATTCCCCTGTTGCACAACGAAAATCGACCTCGTGACATTCCGTGCCTGCGCTTGCTCCGTCGCATTCAGGTCTTTGACACTCATCCCGATCAGGAAGACATTTGCGAGATCGTCGATCTTGCTCTGCGACACATTGGGAATCTTGTACACGTTCCCGTGGATCCGAAGACTCCATCCGTTCTCCGTCCAGTTGCCGTACGAGCTAACAGCACCTCAGTCAGTATCTCGACACATGCTAAATGAAGACTGAGCAGCACTCACGGCAAATTCAGAACCTGCGTGGGTTCAACATCCAGTTCAGTGCTCGACACGCCGAGCGACTTTTCCACCGCAGTCCCTGCCGGGAAACCGTTTGGAAAGTTGAGGATACCTGATTCTACAAGGGAAGATACCTTGCTCTCTACGCCGCTGGCCAAACTCCCTACGTAGCTCTTGATATCATCACCAAGTCCTCGTTGATCGAGGGCGGAAGCCGGCGTCGGTGAAGGAGCACGCTGCTGAACGTTCGCAACAAACGTCTGCTCGGCAATGGGTGCACCAGTGGGAACGGCCCATCCCAGCGCGCTGTAGCCGACTACCAAAAGGATGATTCTCATCGTTGATATGATGGCGAGGTTTCTTGGCAAAGGGGGGGGCAAGTTGGCGTACTGTCTCGGGCGCGCAATTATACAAATGGTCCATTGTGGCGTCTGCGAAGCCCCCGCATCGTCGTCTATCCTGAATCTTGTGAGTCTGTTGGGATACGGCCGTCATCTTGTTCCTGCAGAACGGTGGCGTCACTCTACAGGGGATATGATCCGGGCTGATGGATGCCGGCGCACGCCTTGTTACTTCATTGGACCTTCGGCTTTGCTGGCGTCCAGGTCGATGTAACGCCTGTTTAAATCAGGTTTTTTTCCAGCCTACACTTTGGTAGGACTACGGCGAAACAATGGGGCGTCTCCGACAAATCAAAACACACGTTCCTCAGACATGTCTAAAACGGCCTCGCTCAATTGAAGGCTACGAGTTTTCCGTCCGGCCCCGTTTCTGCATGGCGAGAGCTGATGTCATTTGTGGGGAGACGATTCCTGCAGCCTTGCATCATAGTCCTCGATGCCTTGTTGTAAATCATGGCGAGATACGCTGCCCGTACCCATCCTAAACTAAGTCCCTACGGTCACCTGTTAGCTTCAAGCTTCTGTCGCGTTCGGGATATGGAGGGAGACTTATCCCCTAACCGCTGGGGGGTTGTCCTCCTACCATTGCTGGCACGGGGACAACCAGAGCTGCCTTATCCCTCGAGGCCTGCCCTTAAAACCAATCGATTCAGTGCCAATTCGTTATCCGATTGCCGTTCACCTTTCATGCCAATACTCCATTTCCCCCAGCCCCGGACAAGTACGAAACTTTGACTCCAACTCAGGATGGGTCCCAGGAAAAGGTTCAATGTAGAAACCGACAGAGAGGATTCAGGGGCGCGTCGTACTCATTGACTCAGGTGCTTCAACGCTTTCCTGCGACTCAGTGACCAGAGCAAGGGGAAACACAGCAAACGTGATACTTGACCGTCAATAAAACAACAACTCCTTCTGTGTGTTCTTCGCTGCCAACAAGGACTAGTTTTTGTATCCTCTCCATCATGCATGGTCAATGCTAGCAAGGAGGGCATCGACGCGCGGACAAAAGACATCCATAAAAACCGCGCTTTCGTCTCGATTCATTCCTTTCGGAAGGCTGTCGAGGAAACTGTCGAAGGTCAAGAGACACTACAACGATTGACTGGGGTCTTTCATTATTGCTTGCAGGTGCCAGATGCTTGCAATGGAAAGTTAATGCGTGTGGCCAGGCTTGATGTGATCATCACATATATTGGGGGTTACCCCAGATGTGGTTTCAAGTGCTTGTTGACAACGCGGTCAGAAGTGACACGGCAAGAAATAACTTAGGCGGCGTCGAGAGATCCGAGAGCATAGCAAGTTTGGTGAGTCAGTGTATCAGTCAAGTGTTTCTGTTTGTGCCCATGAAATCCTCGCTATCCTCGTACTTGGCGAGTGATTCCGGCGAGGCAATCCATCCGTGATATTCAATGAAACGCAGTGACTGATAGTATGTATCCAATGCTTGGCTCAACTCTCCCCGCTGGTCTTCGAAATGACACTTTCTCTCGTTGTCAACAGCATCTTTGGAACTGCCCATATTGGCCAACCTGTTCCAGTAGATCGGGCTGACGAGCGTCCTCAGAACAGAGGCTCTTCTCAAATTGACTCATGGCGCCAATCTCTTGCACAGTATGGCACTATACCGTGACTGGACGGTTCTCCCCATCAGTCCACCCGTTCCCAGCCGGCCGCTTTTCAGCGGTCGACAGGTTTCAACTCCCTGGTACCGGTAGGCTTAAAAGATGGGTCAAACTGACGCAATACTACAACCAGATCTTATCTTAGGGTTAAGTTCCGAGCTCATACACCCGTGGAAGGGGGCCTGCAATAGGCTTTCCTCGCGGAAAAAGATTTCGGTAAACTGTGTGGGAGGCGACGCGAAGTAAGGGGCACCCTGTTACAGGAGCGAAGGAGTGTTGAAATATGGCGTTAACGAGTCTCTGTTGGAGAGCTGCTGTCTTGCAGGTTTTGGGTGGGAAAATAGAAGTGTTGTGGACAAGTCATTGCGGATGGCAAACCCAGCAAGTCAATAAATAGTGACAGAAAACCCCATGAGGTCGCGTCTCGAAGCTGCAAGACGCGCACAACCGCGTTCGACGCGAGAGCAGCTGACCGCCGACAGAACTTACAGTGCATATGGGTAAATTCTTGATTTTTCGCACAGTGTGGGGTTCTTCGCATTCCCATCCTTGCCATTCCACAGTATCTGGATCTCTCTACAAGTCAATGCCTCCAATGAAGACTGATGGGCACCATATCATCTATAAACAGCCTCAATGACGATATTTTATACAAAGAACAATGGCCGAATCGTCTGATAGTTTTCTCTCTCAACCTCGGATAGCCAAGGAGCTTGTAGATGCGGCAAAAAAGGCTTTTGACCCTTTGTCCGATGCGGAAAGGCGACAGTCCAATCTCAAGATATACAATGAGATCATCGCAAAGTACGCTGGCCTCCTGTGAGAATCTCTTACGATAGTCTAACTTTGTAACAGAATTGAAACACGGAATCTCTTGCCGATTTTGAACTCGTTGATCAAGCCTAATGCGCTTCCTCCATGGCTGAGGGAGCCACTACTTCAAACTCTCACACTGCTACCAATGCGATCTGACGGAGTTCGGGAAACTATGGAATTTGTGTTTTCTGTCCACCCCAGCAGTCAAGCCGCCGCAAGAGACTCACAGAAACCACAAAAAACCGGTGCAAGCATCACTCACGACGCCGTGGCTGTTGCTACAAGACTGCTGTCAACTGTGCCATCTACCGTAAAGGCCGAGGACTGGTATGGTGCAATTGCACCCCAACTAATTCAATTGCTAGATGGCGAGGCCAGTCGCGACTTAGCTAGAACAGCTGCTCAGATCATCGGGTTTGGAATTCTTGACAAAAAGGCAACTGGTGCTCCAGGTAGTGATCCATGTTAACATGGCCTCGCCAGAGTTTCATGCTGAGAATGAAGAACAGGAGCAGCAGGGTGGAATGCCTTTGCGCAACCACTTCTCGAGGAGATCAATCCGTCCCTTAAAATTGCGGAAATCGCCACGATTGACATCAAAAGCGGGCAAGACGATGATGGTATTCTGGACCTGAGCCGTGGCCGGATTATTGTTTCCAGCGTCGAACTTGAGCAGGCATTAAAGCGGTTGAAAGTCCTGATTCTATCGAATCCATCACCAGGTCTATGTATGAGGATATTGAAACCCGTTATAATCCAATTATGGGCACTTGCTTCGATCTCAAATCCGCCGCAGGGCATTTTGCAAAAGTATCACATCCCGGCCCAAATTCTAGTCCAGACCTATCTGAAGTTATCCAAAAGGGTGGAAAGCATTTGTCCCATTGTTCAGAATATTCTCTGTGAAGGGTCTGTCGATGGTTCAAGCAAGTTCTGGAAATATCGAATCGTCGATGAATCAAATATAGATGCAATTCTTCCGATTCAGTCCTCACCAGACGACTCATACAGATTGGCAGAGGTAGACACGAAGGCCGATAAGTTTGTGCAGATTCTTATGAAGACCTGTTCAAATGAGCAGGTTTCCGCTATTTTTCTTTTCCTCATGCGGCGTTGGGTCCGAGTCATGGAGGAGCAAGGTAATCTTGGAATTAAGATAACATCAATTGACGAAGCAACGGTGTCTCCCATCCGAGGCCTGGCTGAAGTTGCTGTTCTTCAGAAGCTCCTGGAACTGTCACCGCAGAAACTAGTTGGCGACTTTGACCAACTTCTGGACATTATCTGTCAGATTCTCAAGGGTGATGGCAACACTCTTTTAGGGGATGACATTGTGTCAGTCGTACTCAGTCTCCTGAATCTTGTTATTACGGCGTCAAGCTTTCAAAGATCAGATATCAAGCCGGAGTACTTGAGGCTCATCGAAGACTCGCTCGAGAGAATCAGCAATTTAGGAAGCTCTGAAGTATCAACTACTGCCAACAACCTGAAAATTCTGCTCCAATATAGAGACGAAGTTGAGCCAGAGTCCAAGAAACTAGCACCCATCCCATCCATCCGCCAGATTGAGGACAAGAGAACTTATAATTTAGCCATGGGCTACATCACGGACAGCGAAAGTCCGCCGCCGGTTGTTTCAGAAGGCCTTAACCTGCTTTCAATGCTTATACTGACAGAAAGTCCGATCTTGGATATTCCTGCTGTCACAACCCTGATGTCTAGTTTGCTGAAGGATAATGAAGACTACATTAATCTAAGAGTAGTCAAAATCTTCACACAGCTGGCCAGTCGACATCCCAAGTCAATTACTCTAGAATTGCTTGATCATTATTTAGATGCCCAAGAAAAGTCTACAACTGATGTTCGACTCAGATTTGGGGAAGCCTTGGTTCAAGTCATCGAGCGTCTTGGTGAAACTTTCTCAGGGGATGTTGCTAGGCAAGTCTCGGAGACGATACTGGCTATTGCTGGTCGACGAGGGTATAGGCCAAAGACGATGGCTAAGCAAGCTCGGGAGGAGAAGATAGCTGAGTTGAAGAAATCACATGCTTCAAGTAGTAAGAAGGAGGAGGAGGAGGAGGATATGGATCGCGGTGATGACGAGCAAACCACGAAAGAAGAGAAAGCTAACAATGACATAATCGCACAAATCCTACAAGGCTGGGAGAGCAAACGTGGCAGCGAAGATGTTAGGATGAGAACATCTGCCCTCTCGGTCCTTGGGGTTGCGCTGGAGACTAACATCATTGGTATTGGGCCAACACTTGCATCAAACGCAGTTGACCTTTGTATCAACATTCTAGTCATGGAGGGAGATGTTGAATACGGCATTCTTCGCAGGGCGGCCATCATGGCTGTCCTCGGTTTTGTACGAGCATTACATCAAGCAAGAGAATCTGGCCGCTCGATCGGATTCGGGCTCACCGATTCCAGCAGGGAGGATATTGAACGGACGCTGGTTTACGTAGCGGACACAGACAACGATGGACTTGTTCAACAACATGCCCGGGATGTTGCGGAAAGTTTGGAGAACTGGCATGCGGGAAATCTGCTTCCTCAACCAACTGGAACAAGTACCAGTGGCTTGGCTCGTCTCGCAGGGCTTACAATCAACCCCGAAGCAAGTATCAATCAGGCGTCGAAGCAGCCTCGTCCCAGGATAGAGGAGGTGGAATGAATACAGTGGGAGGCAAAAAGTATTTCAGGTACCTGGCTATCACGCTTTATACGAAAATATACCATAGTATGTTAGTGTATACTTCTTGGTGGGCAAACATATTCTGCTACAGATTGTATGTGGATCCGATCTGCTCGAAGCATAAAATTAAGACCAGCGCAGCGCATAAATTGGCGGTGTGTATTAGAGGCACAGCGGTCCGAGGAAGTTTCGTTTTCAACATCATACATCATAGTGATGCGACTTAGAACGACTCGAAACATCAGATGGGAACATCAGATGAAATACAGGATTGGGGTTCTCGGAAGATTTCTCCATTGGCGCATGACGAACCAAGAGTCATTCACGCAGATCTTTATGCGCAGCCATGAACTAGATCTGACACAGGGGTCTGAACATGACTGTTCTGAGCGGGTTGCGACACACTCTGGAGCGGGAATAAATAGATTAATACGGAGTACTTACCGTGGCTTTATTACGTCGGAGGCTCCATTTGCCCAGGGTCGGAACCATACTGCGGACTCGTGAAGAACCGCGATGGGCCGGTTATCGTCATTTCAAAATACTGGGCTCATTTCGCAAGTGCAGACCGGAGTACTGCTTATCAGGAGAAGCATTGTGGAGTGGATTGAAGCAACTTCATTGTAGCGGAACTTGGTCTTCATTTTATTTAACCTATCCAAATGGTAATGCAAGCACTGCATGATGAAGGGCCCAGTAAAGGTAACACCATGGGCCTGGCCGTACTCAAGCCAGAGATCCGTAATAAACCGCGACATACATCATGAACGCATCGCGATGCGTCAGAAGAGGGAAGATTGGTGATTCATCGCGATAGCCTCAGCCACGGCGTAAAGGAAGAGGATAGAGGCGGTGCCGACAGTAGTTGGGTGATGACGGAGTGGGCTGCAATCAGAAGATTTGGCTCTGGGATGTGGATACTATGGCTATCAGCAAATTAAAAAGGCAACATGAGAATTTTAAAAACCGCAAACTAGATTGGACGGCAACGGTTTGATTTGCTGCTGGGCCGGAGGGCAAAAAAAAAATCATCAGACGAATCGTCGAATGAGTGGGATGAGGGAATTCAGTGAATTAAAGGCTCAAAGAGCCAGGGCGATGGTGGATCGGAGGCTTGGTTCCCAGTCACCTCGTCCACGCAGGCTTGGGACTAGTACTACTCTGTGATGTGAGTCGTGTTTCGAACCCTCAGCCTTAGAAGGAGGTGTCTCTGGGGTCATTTCTGGACTAAGAGAATGGAGGATTGTGGAAGGAAAACTTGACAGCAATCTTGTTGAACAATGCCACTGTGGACAATTCCCAGTTGCAAAAAAAAAACATGGCACGGGGCTAAGAGACGGTGTGGAAGCTTGAGCTCGGTGGACTTTGACTGGTGGCGGTTTCAGCATCTGTGGGGTCCAGCTGGTGTGATTGTACGGAGTAGAGACGGTGAGTCGGCTGTCTTAGCAGACCACAACATCAATTCTGGACCATCAATCATGTCCACATGGCTCCGTCCACTATCGTCCAGGTGGCATGCCGTGATGAGAGACTGGAAGTTTATTCATAGCAACTCGTTATTAAAGTACGTCGACGAATGCCTCGTTTTTGCTGATCCCTTTTACGTTACGGATGCGTGCATTACATCTCTCGCCCTTACTATACATAGCCACGACAATCCTTGACTAATAACGTCAGGCCCAAAAGACCTTCAGGGCTTGGGTATAGAGTGCGGATGGGCAGGGTGGCGGCATCAATGATGTTCACCCCAGCGCCAGCCTTAAATTTTTCTCTTACCGCCACGACAGCCATGCTGCTCCGTAAGATGATGAATGCTGGGTTCTGTCACTCGTCGATAAGAAGCGAGATGATGGCTGTTATGCATCCGGAATGCAGGCCGAGCGGATCATACATACCGCAAGGGATGCAAAGGTTTTCAAACTTGGCTTGCATGCAGGGCGGCATCATCGATGAAAACTAAGCTGCCGACGCCGAGCGAGACGCCATTGGCAATTCATTCCACTGAGATTTGGTCTACTAATCGCGAGAGTGCAATTGATGCATCGATTCACACGCGTAAATGACAGCTGGATGTGACGTATGTACTCCGTAGTACTTGACGAAATGATGCATGAGTGCCCGTGTTCCGCGCCTAGTGTCGCTGGGGCTTTCTGAGTAACGTGCATCACCAAGATCTCGTTGAGGTTTGTATCACGGGCTCAGGCACCCGATTACGGCGCGTGGTTCAACTGGCGGTTGGTCAGATTCACGTAAGACGCCACAGCGTACGGAGTAGTTCTGTGGTTGCACGAATGCGTGGCGACCTTGTGGCAAAGGCGTTGACTTTCCATATCATTCCTACATACGGAGTATTTGTTTGACATTTCCGGTTCGTTCATGTCTTGAATCGGCGGCTCGTGGTCTTTCAGGCAGAGACTCAGCAATCGAGTCTGCCACAAGGCCGTCAGATGCGATGAACGACGAGGTGGATGGCACGCAATATCGAAGACACAGCGGGGCAGGGGAGAGTCAAAAGGGGCGTCAGTGCAAGGGATCAATGGATTGTGAACAAGGCGATCATATTGCATTATTTGGCTCGGGATGGCGCCGGAGAGTGGAGAAGAGCGCCCTCGTTGAAGCCCGTTGAGGCCCACGGATGACTGCTGCAGGGGTACAGCCGAACGATTGGTCCACAGCTCGTCTCAGAATTGCATCTCTTCCCGGTACCTGCATCTAGCGCCACTAGTCCTTCCCCTGAGCTAAATTGCCCAACATTGAAGGGAAGAGAGCCAATCTGGTTGGACTTTCCAACCACCGACAAGAGCCAGCTGCATGGCCAGAGAGAGAAACAAACAAACAAAAAAAACCGGATACCAGGCATCGGAGCATTTGGACCTGGGGCGCTCCTGACGAAAACCCAAGAAAAAGAAACGAAAAAAAAAAAAAAAAAAAAGCAAGATGCACTCTGGAGGCAGTCGCCATGTTGTATGTATGTCTGAGTCTTCGTCCAATACGGAGTACCCCGTTAATCAAGTGACGATATGCGGTGCTCATAGCACAGATTAGCGCCGCTCTGGCCGCATCGTCACATCGTCAACGCTTCTTCGATTGTCCTCGTACTTCTTCGTGGTACTGGCTACACGACGTCTGATTGGATGCGCCCGCAAGGCACGCATGGTGCCCACGGTGCCTGGCTTGGGATGCATCGTCTCCACGCTATTGCGGAATGTCTGATCTAAATGCGCCCGTATCACGAGTCCACACCAACGGAATGGCATCAATTAATCTCTTTCTGGCGCAGCCTTGGCGATATCATGTTCCTCTACCATGCCAAGTGCCACGCGGCCCCAGCGAATTACTCCCACGTTGGTGGCCTCCTTCCCGATGATCCTCTTGATGATGGTCTTGGTCCACTGGGTTCATTCTGCGCTGTTGGCATTTGTGTCATTCGTGCCATCTACGGCGTACGGAGCATTGTACTAATCAGACAGGTGGCTGTGCGCCTTCAATTTGTTCTTTTCCTTGGCTCCGATATTTTTTTCATTTGGGCCTGTGGGGTCAGGAGGGGCGGGATTCAATCAAGTATGGAGAGCTCGGTACGAACACTCGGACTGACGAACGTAACGGTATTGTGCAGTACAAGCTGACAACCGCGCAGCACCGCAATCCGTTTCGTCGGTTCTAATCTTGTGGATGCTGACCGAACCTCCTGGCCACGGGCCCTGACCCTTGTTCTTGTTTTGGCCCCATGTCCATGGCCGTCCAACATCACTCAACATTGAACCCACCCCACCCACGACAACGCCGTGGCCGTCGTGTACTACTACTACTAGCTGCATTGGCCTGCATACGACGGCTAGTATTACTCTACCTACATTGTACAATACCTCAATACGGAGCATGTATGTAGTGCGCATGTACAATACGGAGAACATGGTTGGAGAAACTTTCGATGGATGCGCCGCTTCTTCCTTGCCTGCTCCGCCTCCTCTCCTTTCTGGACGGCCTTCATCTAGGCCCTGATTCTCTCTCCATATCTTGGCTTTCTTTTCTCCTTCACTCTCTCTTCTCCCTCAAGTCCATCTGACTATTCACACATTCTTTTTGGCGCGTTTTCTACCGCCGTCCTTGCTATCACAGCTTTATATCGATTCACGACGTCAAGCAGGCTACGTCTCACAGAAAACCACTGACCGTTCATCTCCTTTCGTTCTTTATCTTCGAGTGAGCAAGCTAGGCTACCACTTTTCCATCGCGGAATCGACTTTCGCTCTTTGCCAATAGTCAAGCTTTACGGGATTGAGTACTCCAAGTACAGTCTATCAGATTGCCATTCAATCGAACCGTCGCACGACACCAGACCCTTATCAACCTCTCTACCAATATCATCACCGACAAGATGAAGTCCGCTGTTGCTACTCTTGGCATGTTGGCCGCCGTTGCCTCGGCCTACACTCCCGGCCGACACCACCATCTGCACTTCCCTCGTGCCAATACGACCTCCGCTGACGGCCTGACCACGGTGACTATCAAAACCACTCAGGTTCACACTATTACTAGCTGTGCTCCTACTGTCACCAACTGCCCGGCTCACCCTACCGACGTCGCTACGCTCCCAGAGTCTCAGAAGACCACCGCTACTGTCACCGACACCGTTGTCCTGACCACGATTGTCTGCCCCATCAGCGAGGTCGGCAAGGTCTCATCTTCAATCATAGACAAGGCCTCTACCGGTGGCCTCACTGGCACGACTCTGTCTCCTACTACAAAGGCCTCGCCTGCTCCATCTACGCTTCCCGCCAATTCCACTGCCACCTCTGCCCAGCCAGTTGTGACCTCAAAGACTGTGACCCTTACTCTCGGAACTGGCACGTCCGCCTCCGTTGTCACCTCTACTATCCTCGTCACAGCTTCTCAGCCCAGCGCTCCCACATCTGAAGCAACCGCTGATCCTACTACTCTTGCGCCTACTGGCAGCGACCAAGTGACGACCTTGACTTCTACCACCAAAGTCACGCGTACTGTTACTGTTTCACGAACTCATCCTACCACGTCTGCTGGAGGCAACCCCGGTGGCAACCCCGGTGGCAACCCCGGTGGCAACGGCACCTGTGCTCCCTCAACCGTCACCGTCACTGAGGCCAAGGAGACCGTCACTCTCCCAGCCTCTACCGTCTACGTTACCATTGGCGGCCCTACCACTACCAATGCCGGCAACCCCAAGCCAACTTCTGCTCCCGGCGACGGTGACCAAACCTCATCCGACTGCACTGATGAGACCACAACTCTCCAGAAGACTGTCACCGTTGTCCCCTACCCTACTGGTAATGGCACACACACCAGTGGCTCTCCCAAGCCCTCTGGCGGCTATGCTCGTCTTCGCTAAATCTTAGCTGGTGGCGTTGCGGGACAACGAAGGCCAAAATAAAAGGGCGGATGATGAATTTCATTTTGCTTCTCACTTGTGAGCCATTAGCGTGTCATGGAAGCGGATATCCCAGCGGAATAGTGGGCGAAGTGGCAATTTCCTGTTGAGGCCATCGACCTCATGTTAGGGACGAGGAGGACATAGACGAGGAAGAGACCATTCTCACATCTCGGAAAATTTGGGATCTTTTGTACCATGGATTTTTATGATATCAATTCAACACTCTGCAGAACAAAAAGCTTGCGTCTTGCCTGGAGAGAAACACCGATGGTGCATTGTCTCTCGATTATACTCGAGACGTTGAAGCAACTAGTTACGTGGCATATATTGAGGATTAAAGACATACTGAGCACGACTGGTATGGATCCTTGATGCAATTCCAGAACCACTGGTTGCCCTTTTTTTTATTATTTTGGGGTAGATACTTGGTTTACTATTTATTCTTCGTGTGTATGTACATATGTATTCTATCTGGGTCCTTCTGACCTGGTTTTGAGAAATGAATGGTTTGAAGCTTGGAAACGACATTATGAACGAACGCCTGGTTGCGTCGACTAGAATTTGAATACTGAAGAGTTTGCTATTCTTGTTGGCATCTGTAGGACCCCATGATCGCGGAGTATTATTATCGACGCGACTATTTCGGGCAAGGGCATTTCATTTGTGGGTGTAGCAGTGTGAACATGATGGAATAGCCACGTCGTGTGTGGTCTGTTCTCTTGGTCAGCAGAAAGATGTCGTGCGCATGTCGCCTCGCACTGTGTCCCAGTTTAAATTAAGGTACCTGCCGCCTTATTAGATTACCCTAGGTACCCAGGGAGCTACCGCAGCTATCAAGGGAGCACAGACGGCGGCCCGTCTTGGAGCACAACAGGCATACAGCCTCTCTACTTATCTATGTGCACATTCGCACACATAGCCTTCGTAGTAGCCGACGTTCCTCAGCATATCAAAGTCCACGCCCACGAACTGCGTCAATTGATGCCGAAGCTTCTTCTCGGAGCTGACGATTTCCCCCACCAGATCGAAGCATAAAGAAAAAGCTCGGCTCAGCCAACCAGATGGGCGGCGGTGCCACCGTGAAACCGGGTCAACGCAACACGCGAAGCTGATTGGCACAGCCGCTGCCAACTGCTCACACCTGGGTCCTGTTTTGATCCATTTTCTACCAATCCCCCCTCCCCAGGACGTGAATGACGTTTGACCCCTCACTTGCTTCCCCTCCATTCGAGATTTCCCTCTTTCAACATCTTCTCTTTTTCTCAAGACTCCCTTCCCATTGAATTCCCACGCATCAATCCGCCAACCATGACTCAGCCCCAGGTCTTCTTCGACGTCTCCGCCGACGGTGGTATGTTTCTACAGCGTCCCTGCTCACCGCAATTATGGAACAATCGCTAACTGGCAATGGCATGCCTCTCCGTGTAGCTCCCCTCGGCAAGATCGTCTTCAAGCTCTACAACGATGTAGTCCCCAAGACTGCTGAGAACTTCCGCGCCCTTGCCACTGGTGAGAAGGGCTTTGGATACGCCGGCTCTTCTTTCCACCGTGTCATTCCCGACTTTATGCTTCAGGGCGGTGACTTCACCAACCACAACGTATGTGTTAAAAGCTAGCCGCCAGAGCTACCTGGCTATGCTGGGAACACGTGTGCTGACAATCCACCTCTAGGGCACTGGCGGCAAGTCCATCTATGGCGAAAAGTTTGCCGACGAGAACTTCAGCCTGAAGCACACCAAGCCTGGTTTGCTGTCCATGGCCAACGCCGGTCCTAACACGTACGTCGTAGACCCTGGCCCCTGTTCAAACAGCCAGTTTCAAATGCAATGCTGACTGTGTGATTTCCAGCAACGGATCTCAGTTCTTCATCACCACCGTTGTCACCTCGTGGCTCGATGGAAAGCATGTCGTCTTTGGTGAGGTTGTCGAGGGTATGGACATCGTCAAGAAGATTGAGACTATGGGCAGCGGCTCCGGCAAGACCAAGAAGAAGATTGTCATTGACAAGAGCGGTCAGCTGTAAATTGTCTGGACCCCTTGACTGATTTTTTTTGGATGTGACTAGACTCGTCTGGTGTGTTTCTGGGCTTGGCTCTACAATGAGTTAGCAAGTTACAAAAAATGGTCATCCAGGTATGGAGACTGAATACAACGAGATGGCACTACACAAAATAGAAGCTGCAACGTAATCTCCCGTGATGCCGTGGTGCCTGTTTCATAATGCCCTTCCCGCAGGCTAATGTATCATTTCGTAGAGTGCCATGTCTATCTAGGTACCCAGTCGTTCAATTCGTAAATCCATGTATCCAGTTCCAAGCCAAACCCCATAATACGTCCGAAGAAAAAAGCCAATGCAACCGTCTGTCAACGCCCAAAGAATCCATAAAGAAGCATGTTGCCAATCATCCCGCTATATTCCCAACATTGCAATCAAATATACACAAAAACGTTTCGTTTTTGACTAGTTGGCAAGCAGCTCAGCCCAAAACGACCTGCTCATACGCCCGCTGATCCAAGTGCTTGAGCAGCACCGCTCTCAACGAGGCCTTGCTCCTGGCCAACAGCGGCAGAATACCCTCCGTCTGCTCCAGATTCCCCCGTATACTGTCCACATGGTCACCGAGCTGCACCACAAGCGGGTGAATCTCATCATCGTCCTGGACCCCCTGCTCGCCGTCATCAGCAACCTCGAAAAACAAGGAGAAAAAGCAAAGCCAGAGGGCAACTCACCGTGAACGCACTGCCCGGCTCCGCGCCCGGGTCGCGGCGGCGGCCAAAGACGAACCCGTCGTCGCTGTCCTTGGCGTCGGCCCGCCCGCCGTCCAGCTTGGCCGAGGGCGCGGGCGTCAAAAGATGGGCCTTCTTGAGCAGACTCCTCTGCTCCCTGGCCTGGGCCCTCGCGCCGGCCTCGAGGTTGCGCAGGGTGTCGTAGTCGCGCTCCAGCTCCTCCTCGACGGCGTCCTTCTCCCGGCGGAGGACGTCGAGCGCGTCGAGCGCGGGCTCGAGCTGCCTCTCGAGGCTGAGCTTGCCGTCGAGGACGCTCTCGAAGTTGAGCTCGACCTCGCGGCCGGCGTCGCTCTGCAGGGGCGCGCGGCCGACGTTGGCGGGCATGCTGGCCGGCGGGAAGGGCAGGCCGCGCGCGACCTTGCGCGCGATGCGCTGGGCCACCTGGCGGACGGCCGAGGCCGTGTGCTCGCGGCGGAACTCGGAGTCTGCGAGGCGCTGGAGGATGGGACGCTGCGCGTACTGCAGCGTGTCTGAGACGGCCGTCAGGGAGGCGTTGGCCAGCGGCGTCCACTTGGCCTCGATGGCCGACTGGCGCACGCGTCGGGTGTGGGGGGCGACGTGGACGTAGGGCTTTTCGGGGGACGGCGGGGAAGGGCGAGATGCCTCGATGTTGTCGTCGTTGTCGTCGTCGCGGACTGTCGCTCGGCGGAGGGGGCCGGGTTGGTTCGGCTGGGGGATTCCTCGGCGCCCAATGACGGCTGCGCCCTGGCTGCTTCGTCGCGAGGCATCTGATGCGCGAGGCCTCTTGGACGGTCTCTCGTCTTCGCCTGCGGTGACTCGTCGGCCCGCGGCAGAGCCCCAACTCTCGCGGATTGTGGGCTGTGTTTGTTTGCGCGTGGTGTCGGGCTCGACGTCGCTTTTCCTGGGTCGTCCGCGCTTTTTGAGCTGGTTGGACGCGTTTTGGGGCCGGACGCGTTTGCGCTCGGGGTTTGGCGCCTGTGTATATGTGTTAGTGCTTGCGGAAAGAGAGCGAAGAGCAGTATCGGAGGATAGACACCATTTGGATCGATTGCGCTTGGGGATTTTGCGTTTCTTTATTTGCTGTCCGGCAATGTGGTGAGGTGTAAGTTGGGGTGTGACTGGGATGAGCAATACAAAATGGCGTTTTGCCCGTCAGAGCTGGTGGTGGCCCACATGAGCTTGCATGTTCAGGCAGGGTATTGAGAGGCCGAAACTCCCAGGCGGGACGTGGTGCATGTTGTACGTGCTGACGAGCAGCCGCAGGTCCCAACACTTCAGTAAGAGGACGGATGATGTGAGATTACGGAGTACAGCGAGCTCAATTCAGCAGAATGGCCGAGAGGTCGACTCTCGCTTGGTGTCTAACTACGTACTCCGTACTGTAAAGGTTCACTACTCTTCGCCCCGCCTGCCGTCATGTTCAACCAAGCTCGGGCGAACCATTGGACCAGACTCTACCAGCTTTCCGCTAATTAAAGGCGTCTGGTGCCAGGATATGGACGGCCCAACCAGTAAAGCGGCCCGTAAATGGCATCCCGCGAATTGATTGGGCCCGCACAGGTCAAATTGCCAAAGAGGGCTTCGGCCGTTGCTGAGCTCCGTGTCTCCCTCCCTCCCCATTGATTGATGTCCACAGTCCACCTCCATGCCCGCAAACCCCAGACGTTGACGGCCGCCACGCAACCCAGAACCCTTTTCGCGCAGGCGGTCTCTCCGACTCCGTTTCCACTTCATCTCATTCCATGTCCCCATTTCCCATTTCTTCATCCCTCGACCTTTGTTTCGCTCTTTCATTGCCAACGAGCCTACCTCGAGACGTTTTCATTCCTGCCGCCCAATTATACCGCCAGGAAACCATCCACCCCCGTGGCATCCCGATAAAAAAATAGACGGAAGAAAAAAAGACAAGAAAATCCACAATGCGCGTCTCCGCCTCTGCCATTATCGCGGCCCTGCCGCTCCTGGCGTCCGCCCAGGAAGATCCATTGGCGCAGTACAAAGCGCAATTCCAGACCTTCATGGACAAGATGAGCGGGTACATCCCCAACCCGGGAAAGCATGATCCCGTGGCGGCACTGGAGGCGAAGCTGGGTAGCATGAAGATGTCTACGTTGACCCTCGAGAACTGGAAGGAGACACTATATGAGCCTGTTGCTCCAGGAGCTACAGTTCCCACCGAATGGTGGGTGTTGATTTCCGGCCGTAACAAGACTTGTTTCGGTGAGTTTCTTCTTTTTTTTTTCCCCTTCCCATTCGGCCGCGCGGTCCTTGCACGAGTGTCTTGATGTGCCTCGTTTTGCTGACACCCAAAACTCGCAGGCCATTGCGGCAAGGTTGAGCAGGCTTTCAACGAAACGGCCGCCAAGTTCGCCATCCTCCCCGGCTCTCCGCACATGGGCATGCTCAACTGCGACGACCAGCCCATCCTTTGCAACGCCTGGTCCGCCGGCGCCGGCAGCGTCTGGTCCATCAACATGCTTCCCGCACCCGCCACCGTTGACATCTACAAGAAACGGCTCAACCTTACCTCCACCACCTCCGAGGATCTCGTCAAGCTCAACGGCGCCGAGTCCAAGCAGGCGGCCGGCTTCGTCCCCCTCGACTCGTGGTTCCATCCCTTCAACGGCAAGGCTACCGAGCTCGGCCTCTCCGTCCCCTACGGCTACGTCATGTGGGCGTTTGGCCTCGTCCCAAACTGGCTCTTCATGTTGATCGTCTCCTTTGCCAGTCGCAGCTTCATGGGCAACCGCATGCAGCCCGGTGCCGGCGCCCCTGGTGCGGCACGCCCTGGTGCAGCCGCCGGCCAGGGTCGACCTCAGTAGACGTGCTTTGTTGCGCAAAATTTGAGTCGTTGACGTCGTATTTTACTATTTTCAGCTACACGTGTTAGGAATATGGTATTGTGTGGCGGGGTTGAAACGCTGCATGTGTGAATTTTACGGACATGACTAAAAAAACGGGATATCCATAAACCGGAGGCGGATGTGTAAAATGTCATTTGTGCTTTTTTTCTTGGATGTAGTTTCAATACGTGGCAGGCAAGGCAGGCAGGCGACTTACATGTTCTCTGGGAGGGTGCTCAAAGTAGACCAAAGCAAATAATTAATGCCAGTAGTTTTTTTACGTCTTGCTCGCGCACGCATCCTGCAAGGAGGCCAGGCCCTCCAACACGTCCTTATTGAGCTGGGGATTAGACAATTTGCCGTACTGCAGATCGCTCAGGTCCTCAATGGTCTGGCGTATGGAAGCGACAAGCTCGGCCTCTTCGTCCTCGAGTCGCTGCATCTCGGACTGCATGGCTGCCGCGGCGCCATGGAGATCTGGAATCACGGTGTGGAGGGTATATTTGGAGCGTTTGGCGCCCGACTTGTTCCCAAAGAGCTGTGTATTTTTCTTGTCTTAGCCGGGGGAAAAAATGCTTTCAAGCACTTTGAAAAAAAAAACGTACCGCTCTCTCAATGTCAACCTCTGCGTCGCCGTCGTCGTCCCTGCTTTCCTCCAGCGCTACGCGAAGTACCTCCCGGCGCATGGCTACGCCGCGTCGTGCCTCGTCATCAATGTTCTCTGTGACGGTGTTGATGACGATGTTGCGCTGGGCTTGGAGGTCGCGGAAGAGGAGGCGGACTTGGGGGTGCGCTTGCCACGAGCGTGGGAAGAGGGCGCGGAACTGGTCGAGGGTCTGGATGGATGTAAGAGGCGCTGGGAGGAGGAGGTAGTGCTTCAGGATGTCGGATTCGGTTGGTGCCATTTTGTCTTGTTTTGTTCTATTTGAATGGCGCGTTTTGTCATGGGAGTGTTGGCGAGGCGAGGTTTGGGTTGACGCGATGGCCCTCGTTGAGAGGTGGATGATGGTGTCGGTTTACGGTGGAGTAGCCACACTATCATGTATGTATGCAAGTACAACAAATCACACAAGCCAGAGCCGGAGCCGCTTCAAACATGTATGTGCCTACTCAAGGCACTTGAAAAGTGAATCGTGGATGGATTTCAGGTCACACTCTGATGTCGCAGTGGTTTATTTAATGGAGCGGTTCGCCAATTGCTGCCGAAGAGACGGCGGAACCTGGCCCTTGACTGCCGGCGGTGCGGCGCCAGCCAATCACAGGCAGCCCCGTCGATGGATGCCGTACGGGTGCTGACTCCATGTCCCACAGAAAATCGCGTCGTCGCGTGCGCAGAACTATGAGATGCAGTCAATTAACGCGGCTTCAAATGTTCCTCTCACACAGACAAGCCAGCCGACTGACCTGCTGGCTCGTTCATCCTGTGCTGCCAGCGCCAGCATTGGCCTCTCGCTCCGACCATTTGTGAATAGAGCTGTCGTCGCACAGCAATTCTTTTCATTTTTTCTTTTTCATTTAATTTCTTTTTTTCGTCACTGTCGACTGCGCCTCTAGTTTTCGGCTTGCATTACGAGTATTTTGGCAAATCCTGTACGCCTCAGAAGCCCGCCCCATCCATCATCATCATCACCAGACGCCACAGAGACGCTATCAACGGCCTGTACAGAAGCATCATTACTTGCAACAAACACATCCTCTTCCACCATGGCTCCCGCGCGTCAACAACAGACGCCCCAGTTCAACAAGGATGAAAAGGTTCTCTGCTTCCACATGGACATGCTCTACGAGGCCAAGGTCATGGATGTACAGCCTGGCGAGAAGCCCGGCGACGGCTTCCGCTACAAAGTGCACTACAAGGGCTGGAAGAACACCTGGGACGACTGGGTTCTCGCAGACAGAATCCGGCCCTTTGACGACGAGCACAAGGAGCTGGCGGCCCAGCTTCACGCCCAGGTCAAGAGCAGCATGCAGAAAAACTCCAAGCAACCCAAGAAGAACCTCAAGGGCGGCGACTCGGCCAGAGGCAGTGAGGAACGGGGCTCAGGCGCTCCTCAAGGGGGGAGAGGGGGGAGGAGAGGCAAAGACTGGGAACTAGAGCAGGTGAGAGACTTTTTTTTTTTTTCGTGCAAGCTCGTGGTTATTTTGCGTTTTGGTCTGGCGTGTGCACGGCGCAGCCGTGGTGTGCCGCGAGTGCTGGCCATGTCTACGACGGGCAGGGCGAAGCAAACATCTTGAGCCGCATTTGCCTCGCTTTGCCGTGTTTCTTTGGGCTTTTATGTATGAGAGCGTCTTCTCTTGTCTAGAGGATACCATGTCAGCGCCTCAGACTCATGCTTGGGCGTTTTCTGGTTGCAACAGCCTGGACGGCCCTTGTGGTGCGACCAAACCTGTGCTTGCTTCAACCTAAATCCTCATTCTAGTCCCTTTTGCAGTCTATCGTCGGCCGCCGGCTTGAACTCTCTGGCTAGTGGTTCTTTGATGTCTATACTCGGCCAAAGTATAAACGCCGTGGTATATACATACATATATATATATATATATCGACGAGTTTGTGCCTGGGCTGGACACGGCGACCTGCGCAGCATTTTTATTTTACTCACCCTTTTGCACCCATCTACTTCTGTCCCAAGAAAAGACATTTCGTCTTCAGCCGATTCAGTGGCATCAAAATGCCCCGCTGCGTCGTCTCCCAGGCCCCCAAGCGCCCCAAGGTTGGGCGAGGCGTCAACACCACCAAGGCTTCCAATACAGCCAAAGTCCCCAAGGTCAACAAGATCACCAAGGTCTCAAAGGTCTCCAAGAAGGTCTCCAAGGTCTCCAAGAAGGTCTCCAAAGACGATGGCAAGGGCAAGGGCTGCAAAAGCGCCAGGGCAAAGAAGCTACCAAGTACTGCTCGCCCACCGAGGGAACATGCACGCCAGACATTCCCCCTGTCCAACGTGCGTGGGTGCCCACACGCAGAAGACGACGCAGAGCACGCAGGACACGCAGGGCACGCAGACGCCGCGACTATCGCGCCAGCGCCTCGCCCGGGTCCGCCTGCAACACCTCCGGGCAGCAGACGGAGCAACATTGCCAGCAAAATCAAGCGTCTCCGCATGGCCCCCGATCATCTTTTGCAATTCCCCCAGGTCAATCATCGCTATCTGAGCGCCCAAGGAAGGATCCTGTTTGACAATCGCTACGAAGTGCCCCCCTCCCCTCCCGCAGACTCCCCCAAAAGGCTCCCTAGACACACAAAGGCGGCTCCCAAAGCCACACACGCCGTCGCCCAAGCAGGGAGCGTAGGGGTTAGGAGCCCAACACTTGACCAAAAAGTTTTGACACAAGAGGCAGGCGCTCTAAGAGTTTGAGCCGCAATCATGAGTCGGCGGTCCACTCGTCCGGCGGTGTGTTCCCTTCCATCCGCGCCTCAACCCACTTCATCGGGTGCTTGAACCACGGCGTCCAAGTGGTGCCTGTCCTGCAAACTGCTTTGCAAATTGCACATGTCTTTATTCGGTACTGCCGGTTTGGCATTTTACCGCCACGCGACTAACCAATGCCAATAGGAGGACGCCTTTCACAGCAAACCCATGATCAATCTCCCCGTGCCCGATCACATCCAGGCCATGCTCGTCGACGACTGGGAGAACATTACAAAAAACAACCAGCTTGTGCCTCTCCCGCACCCGAAGCCCGTCACCCGAATCCTCGAGGACTACCTCTCATTTGAGCGGCCCCATCGGGAAGAGGGATCTGCCAGCATGGATATTTTGGTTGAAGTTGTTGCTGGGTTCCGGGAGTACTTCGAAAAGGCACTCAGCAGAATCCTATTGTATCGGTATGGTCCATCAATCAACCAATCTCTTCATGACATTCATCTTGATACATCCACCCTGATATTTGCCTTGTAACCATCACTCTCCGCCCATGTCCCCTGCCACCCCCTAATTCCCGCCTCATTCATAAACCAACTCTATCTCTTGACCAATTTAAAACTAACCCCTCCAAGCTTTGAGCGCCACCAGTACATGGACCTTCGTAAACTATGGGACAATGTAGAATCCACCAAGTACAAAAGTGTCTGCGATGTCTACGGCGCCGAGCACTTATCCCGCCTACTTGGTACGCTTCGCCACAAAAATCCCCCCCCCTTTTTTTTTCTCTCTCTCTCTCTCTACTCTAATGCTAACAATTTCATATTCAAGTTTCCCTGCCCGAGCTTCTAGCCCAAACAAACATGGACCAACAGTCCGTTTCCCGCCTGAGAGAGGAAATCGGCAAATTTACAGTTTGGCTAGGCCGGCACTGCGAGACATACTTTGTGAATGAGTACGAGACCCCGTCGCAGGAGTACGTAGACAAGGCGAGAAGCTTTTAATGTTTCAAAGCGCACAACCCAAAATTGTTCCATTTTTGTCATCAACTCCATGTATACTACATCTCAGGTCCAGGAAGCCCGGGGGGGGGGGGGGGAGGGGGGGGGGGGTAAGGGTAGCGAAATCAATGCTGCTTTTTTAGTCGTACAATATGATACAGTGATTTTGTTTCCCGACGGGCCATATATGCAACAAGTTCTTTTCTTTTTTCTTTCTTTTTCTTCTTCCTCGCGCGAAAATCACATCCTCCTCACCGCCCGCTCGACGTAGAAGCCGGCGTCGGGCGTCCTCGCCCTCCTCACCTCCCCGGCGGTCAGCTTCTCCCGCACCTCCTCCACCTTCACCAGCTCCTTGACCTTGAAGATCATGCCTGCAAACTGCGGCTCCACGGGGTGGAAGACGGTCTGCATGCGCTTGCGCAGCCCCAGCGCCGCGAGGACGCCCCTCGTCCGCTCGGGCAGCCCGATTGCCGAGCGGTGGAGGGTGATTCTGAAGAAGGACATTGTCTTTTCTTCTTCTTCTTCTCCCCTCTTGTCCAGCGTCTCGTCTCGTTTCTTTTCCCCCCTTCTCCTCCCTTTTTGTTTTCTGGGAATTACCTCGCCGCTCTGCTGGCGTAGGTGCTTGCTGTTGGTCCCTCGCGTGGGAAAGGGCAAAAAAGAATTGCGCTCGCGGCTCGACAACCAGTGGGGGGAAGTTGGGACGATTCGCGACTTCTGCAGGTTAGAATTTGTAAACGACAGCTTTTGGTGAGGTGGTTGATAACGTACAGTTACCGCATTGGCTGCCTGCGTCGCGGGTTTGAATGTCGTCCAAGACTTGGTTGGGGGCAATTGTTACGGATGGGACCAAGGACGGACAGATTCAATGTCACGTGGAGTGTCCACTGCTAGATACCCTGTATCGTGCAGTGTGGGGGTGCGCGCATCATACCACCGGTTACATTGATCCATCGGAGCTGTGACGGAGTAACAGATGTAATTTTCGGCGAATCTGCCACGCTACCAGATCGAAAGACCTAGGTAACTTTAACAATTTTATGGTTAATAGATGGAGCTTTCGAGTATCATGTTAGGCGGCCAGGATAGTTCCAATCGATGCACTTCGCAGCTAACAGAATCACAATACACAGAAATTACAAGTCGTGAGTACGGTAGAAAACAAACCAACTTTCATCATGTCTATAGTTTATTACGCGGAAACTAGCTAGTTATGTGCTGCTTCCTAGCCCACATTTATCGAGTTATTACACCCGTAATCACTATATATCCCATCACACCCAATCAAATGCACGTTTAAAAAGAGACCCCGCGCTCATTGCATATTTCCTTTTCAGCACATCTTCAGCACCTTACATCTGAACCTCCACTCTGCCTTCGGCGCCAGGCCGGCCTTCGCGGAGGTTGGGCAGCAAGTACGTAATGTCATCCCAGGGGTGGCGGTACAGACCAGTGCGCAGTCTCTTCTGGTCGAGGTAGTGGGCAATAAGACCAATGCTTCGGCCAAGGACGAAGAGACCGTTGAGAACACCCATTCCGAGATAGTCTTCGGCCTCCTCGGTGGAGAAAGCACCACAGTTGCGGAGTAGATCAACAAAGCAGACAGCAATGCAGCCGTCGACGTTGAGAATCAGATTGTCCTTCTTGGAAGTGGTGACAGTCTCAACAGCAAGAGCATAGTCAAGCAGTTTGTGGTTGGGGAACTTGGATAAAACATACTCCTTGACCAGCTCGACACGCAAATCAGGGTTGTTGCGGGACTTGACTCTGTGGCCAATACCGGGGATGAGCTTGTTGGCCTTGCGCATGCTGTCAACAAACTCTCTGGGGCTCAGACCCTTGTCAAAGGCACGGGTGAATTCTTCAGCAGCACTATCCAAGGCGCCACCGAATCGGGAGCCTATGGTCAACAGACCAGAAACAAGAGCGCTGATCAGGTCCTTGCCGGCGCGAGTAGTAATAATGGTGTTCATGGCACCAGACACGGCAGGACCGTGGTCAGCAGTAAGCATGAGAACCATCTCCAGGAACTTGGAGGCGTAGTCAGGGAGACGGCGACGGAACCATAGCAGAGACATGACACCACCGATGCCGATATCCTCCTTGAAGACGTCAGAGATAGGCATACCGGCGTAGAGGAGCTCTTGGCCTCGATCATCGGAAATGGTGGAGATGAAGGCAGCCGGTTTTCGAATGAGACCCAGCTCCTGGGCCCAGGAGTAGTCGATGGGAATCTTAGGAACAACGGGTTCGGCCTGGGGTACAATTGTACCCTGCTTGACAAGCTTGTCGTAGACTTGCTTGAGGACAGCAGGCATCTCCTCGAAAGTGTTCGGGACGTGGAAACCAGCCTCGCGCATAGTCTTGTTTTTGGTGGCGGCAGTCTCACGCTGAGAGTTGGCGAAAGAGCCAGCATGACCGAACTGGACCTCGGTCTTGAACATGCTGGCACAAGTACCAATGGCCCAAGCGACAATGGGTTTGGTGATGATGCCCTGCTCGACGGCCTCTATGACCTTGTACTCTTCAACACCACCTACTTCACCGAGCAAGACCAGAATCTTGCAGTCGGGGTCGGCCTGATATCGGAGCATGTGGTCGATGAAGGTGGTTCCCGGGTACCTGTCACCACCAATGGCAATACCCTCGTAAACACCATCGGTGTTCTGGGCAATAATGTTGTTGAGTTCGTTGGACATGCCACCAGACTTGGAGACATAACCGACGGAGCCCTTGCGGTAGAGCTTGGAGGCCACAATATTATCCATCATACCGCCAGTGTTTCCAATCTTGAAACTACCAGGCTTGATACCACCAACAGTGGCAGGGCCAATAATAGTGACACCCTTCTTCTTGGCAGCATGGGCAATCTCACGAGCTCGCTATCACATTGTCAGCAAAATAGATGACGTGAATTGGGATTTTGGCGAGGTAATGGCTTCAACGGTTTGAGAGAAGACAGTCAATACCCCATCAGGCACAGAAACTTACTCGCTCTGGAACACCCTCAGCAATGATGGCAATGGTCTTGATCTGGGGGTACTGCATGAGCTCCATGGTAGAGCTGTAGACGCTTCGGGAAGAAGCAAAATTGACGACGACGTCAACGTCGGGGTGCTTGGCCATGGCCTTGTCAGGCTGCTGGTAGACGGGTAGCAAGGTCTCGCTGGTGCCCCAGTACATCTTGCTAACAAACTGACCGCCAAAAGTATAGATAATACCAGCAACCGAAGGGGTCTTGCGCTTGCAGATGAAGTCAAAGTCCAGCATGCCCTGGACGGCACGGGGCTGGAGACCATAGACAAAGCATCGGGTCTTGTCGTTGAAGAGAGCGTGCTCAGGAAGAGGGCTCAGAGGTCGGCTGGGAGCAGCGAAACGCTGAATATGGTCATTGGCAGAGAGCAGGCCCTTGGAGCCATTTGCGCCATTATTCGTCGCTTGAGCCATGGCTGGACGTGAATGTCGTCCGTGTCAGGAACGTGGGATGGTGGAGGACGAGAAAGTGGTGACGGCGGGGAGAAGTCGGCGATTTTCAGGTGCGGGCCACTGGTGAGTTCTGGTCAGCAACGAGTATAGCTTTATTGAGGCGCGGCTGTGCGAACCCCCTGGAAGATTTTGCAATTGCAAAAGGGCGATGGTGAGATGAAGAGAGGGAGAAAGCGGCGAGAAAGTCCAAGACGGTAAAGTCAATGGGGGGATGGAGGAGGAAGAAGGTGGGATCTCAGGAGAGGAGAGCGAGAGCGCAAGGCGAGGAGCTTTCTGGATGCTGAATAGTGAAACGATTGCCTGGGCGGGCAAAGACTAGAGCAGTCTGCATGTGGCCTTCTAAAGCTGCCAGGCTCCTCAGCACCGGCTGCACCGCCGTTGGCTGACGCTGTTGCTTCCATGCTCTGAAGTCAATCGTCTGCGGGTTACTCAAGCAGGCCGGGCCAACTAGAATATGTTGTGGGGCAGCAGATTCGACCAGACTCTGCAGAAGCCAGGGGACACAACAGCTCCAGAGTGCTAGGCGTCCCCCACCGTCCAACGGAGGAGGCACTTGTCCGTCACGGCGACGCGACTTGGAGGGAACCTTGAAAGCACGTTAAAAAAAAGAAGTGAAACAAACTTACCGATTGACGTAGTAACTATTTTCCCCGGGCGCAGTTTGCAACCCTTATTGCCTTGTAATGCGTGGAGATTTTGAAGCGAGTACGGGAAGTGTAAGCAGGAGAATAAGTGAGCGCCTCTTTTCTGAACAGCTCCAGACGTCGACGTACGGTCGAATCTTGCGCAGCAACTATGAACGTCAAGCCCGGGCTTCCCAAGCTCCAAGCTCTCCCAGACAGGTACAACTTCGAAAGCGGAGCGGTGCGTCAAAGTATCGGCGCGAGTGTCGGGGGCGTCAGCGAATAGAGTCTGGTGGGATGAGGATGGGCCCAGAAAATGAGTTGGGGCGGCGTTATTATTTTGTTGTCCCCCTTTTGCGCCTGGTTGTTTGGCTTCTGGTCGACTCTTGCTAATCTGTTGAATCGTCTTGGTGTGACTATTGAGGCTGGGAAAGTGAAAGTGGCGGACCCTTGTCCCGCCGCAGCTACCAGCGAGCCCCAGAAAAAGCGTAGCCCCGAGTACCGGTACCTTTGCCAAATTCAAGGCCGCAGCCGCCGTTTTCGGGGAATTTCAACGCGCTGCCCGACACTCGAGCACCAGACTTGAGAACTTCGTTAGAAAAAGCGAAACATCAATCGTCCACCGCTGCGGTTTGCTGTCCTGAACCAATTACCTGCCCTGTCCCTAGTGTTTGGTAATAATGCCTAAGCTCGCTTCCACTCACGAGTCACACCCACCAAGCCGCGTTTCGGACCCCGAACCTGAATCCCAAGCCATAACTAGCAGCCAGACATAGCTCGCTGCTTACATGTCAAACGGTACATGTATGCTTATCCCGCTTATTCGGGGCTTTCAGCCAGACGTTTTCAGACGCTGCTGCCAGCCACTTGCTGCTGCAAGTTCACTACCAAATGAGTAAGTTATATAGAGTGCCAGACCGGAAGTCATGCGTAATTAACGTAGGCTGGCGGTATAGTTATGACGATTCCTGCGAGAATCGTCGCTTAGGGATGATGGCAGTGCACGAGGGTTGGAGGGGTGAATGTCGTCTCCTGCGGCATGCGGCATGCGTTCCATTTCGGCAGGGTACGGAGTTTGTCCAAATGCTGGCCCCCACCCTGTTGTTTAGTTGTTCCGTCGACGACCGCTTGATGTTCCCAGTCTTGGGTCTGTAATTCAACACGGCAGAAGAAGGCGTCCGTGCTGCGAGTTGCGAGCTGCGAGGTGACACGGGAGATGGCGCTCAGAATCCGGGCACCACAAGACTTCTTGGTCTGTTGACCGCGCTGCAACGTCGGAGTTGCCCCGTTGCTTTTGAGTCGACAGCTTCTGGGTTTGCCCAAGTCTTCCGCAGCCGTCACTCCTGGCTTGATGGCTTGCAGCATTTGCCTCTCCCATCTAATTTCGAAGCCAGTCGACATCGGAATAACAGAAAGAGGTGAAGCCAGCCGCCAGGGTCCTGACAGGATTTGGGTGACGTGCGAACTCTTGTGGGCCGCCTCAACTGCGCTGAATAGTGCCAGATGCCCCGAGTGGCCCCCACTTGGCACCTCTCAACCGCTGGGGCATGCCCGAATTGAATGTACCGGTACTCGCGGTCAGTGTGTGTCGGTGGTCTCACATTCATCGCTTCTCGTACTCCGTACTCAAGCTAAGGCTCAGAAGCTGCTGGGGATGGCTGCGTCACCCCAATGTTTTTTTTTTTCGTCGCGGTGGCCAACGGTACTTCGTATCAAATCACCTTGGGGCCACCGTCAGTATGCCCGCCAAAATAGCCCACCGCCATTGCTGCCAGGGCTTGGTCGTCGTCTCAAAAGCAATGAAGCAGTGTGATCCTTCACCGCACTTCAGTGTTCAGGAAAATGGTGCTCCGGGCACTGTGTTCACCGTAATCCGTAGTCGCCAGGTAGGGCCTGGACGGACAGTGGCACCACGCAGTGGTGTGGTTCCATGTACTCCGTATGTGTGATGTCGCCGGTGGAGGCACCTGGGAATGGCCGTGATGGGAGTCCTCCAGCAGTGAGTGGCCCAGACTTGAGCTTGATGTATTGCGGGGCCTGCGGCAGGCACGAAGAGGCACTTGCCTTCCTTCCCGTTGCCCCTCTCGATTGAGCACTCCAGCACTTGCAGACGCTCCGTCTACCACCGCCGCCGCCCGCATCCTGGCTGGAGCTTTCCAACACTGAGCCCAAAATTTTGAAAGCTGACTTCGGCCTCGACCTTGACTGTCACACCCTCTCCGCCATTTTCATCTTCGCTCCAGATAATCGGACCTGTTCCCTGGGGTTCTTGTCAAGATCTCTTTTCTTTTGCAACCAGCCCAGTCTGCAATTGCAACTGCGAACTTTCTCCCGCTTCGCTCCCAACGTCCAGCTTGAGCTTGCCTCTGCATTGGTATGTGCAGCCCAACCCACCTTCGTCGGATCTGTGCGAGGTGTTGAGCAAAGGGTTCCCCTCAACGCCATTCACTTCTGCGCTGCGCAACTCGTACCTTTTCGCCAGTGTCTCCCGAAGCCAGAAACAAATCACTTGCTAACGGCTTTCGCAGAAGGATATTTCAGATCGAGCGCTCTAGGACAGAGACACCCCGAACATCTCCTATTCCACACCAATTCGTCTTCGCCGCAGCTCACCATGTCCGCCAAGGCAATTCTCGAGGCCGACGGCAAGGCCATCCTCAACTACCACCTCACTCGGGCTTCCGTCATCAAGCCCACCCCTCTTCCCAGGCCAACCAAGCACAACCCTCCTCCCAAACTGGCCTCTCTGCACTTCCCTGAGGATGCCGGCGTTGAGGATGTCCTGGAGCAGGCTGAGGCCACATATCCTTGGCTGCTCCACGACGGTGCCAGGTTCGTCGCGAAGCCCGATCAACTTATCAAGCGCCGAGGCAAGAGTGGTCTTCTGGCTCTGAACAAGACTTGGCCCGAAGCGAAGGCCTGGATCGCTGAGCGAGCTGGAAAGGAGCAGAAGGTCGAGCACACCACTGGTGTCTTGAGACAATTCCTGGTCGAGCCCTTCGTTCCTCACCCTCAGGATACCGAGTACTACATCAACATCAACTCCGAGCGTCGTGTAAGTGAACTCTTTTCTTTTCCTGTCCATTCTGCCAAAGAATCCAAATTAGGCCTAGGCTTCCGAGTGGTTGTGGCTCATGGGACGCTGGCACTGTCGTGGATTCGAGGGCATCCCACCCCTCCAGCAAGAATATTTGGCACGCATTTGCCCATTTTTGTCGCAATCAGCAAACCCGGATTTTAAAATGGTGTTTTTTTTGGTTGAATATTGTGTGCTGGTCAAAGAGCGGCAGCTGCCCATCTTATATAGAAGGGGGTAGTGGGTTCTGGCGGCGGCCTACACCGGTCGCTCACTACCCATCTCCAGGGCGGACGGGCGAACGGATGTCACGACAGAGAGGGTCCACGGTTACCTTTACAAATCCTAACCCCTGCGGTCCTCAATGCCCACAATGGACTCTACAGCGTTCCTAGCTTGAGCACATATCTCTATTGGACTATTTCTTTCCTATTTCCGTTTTAGGCATGTTAGATGCTAACTTTTTGATTGCCTCTCTAGGGTGACTGGATTCTCTTCACCCACGAGGGTGGTGTTGATGTTGGCAACGTCGATGAAAAAGCCAAGAGCCTGTTGATTCCGGTCGATCTTGCAGAGTTCCCTTCAAATGAGGAAATTGCCAAAGCCCTCCTCGAGCAGGTTCCTAAAGGCGTCCACAATGTCCTTGTTGATTTTATCAGCCGACTGTACGCTGTGTACGTTGACTGCCAGTTCACATACCTCGAAATCAACCCCTTGGTTGTGATTCCCAACGAGGACAAGACTTCTGCTGTTGTCCACTTCCTCGATTTGGCTGCCAAGTTGGACCAGACTGCCGACTTTGAGTGTGGTGTCAAGTGGGCTATTGCTCGCTCTCCTGCTGCCCTTGGTCTTACCAACGTTGCTCCCGCCAACGGCGAAAAGGTCAACATTGATGCTGGTCCTCCCATCGAGTTCCCTGCTCCGTTCGGTCGTGAGCTGACCAAGGAGGAGGCTTATATTGCTGAGATGGACGCCAAGACGGGTGCCTCTCTCAAGCTTACTGTCCTCAACCCCAGCGGCCGTATCTGGACCCTGGTTGCTGGTGGTGGTGCCTCTGTCGTCTACGCCGATGCCATCGCCTCTGCTGGCTTCGCTGACGAGCTGGCCAACTATGGTGAATACTCTGGTGCTCCCACTGAGTCTCAGACTTACCACTATGCCCGCACAGTCCTGGACCTGATGCTCCGCGCTCCCATGTCCGACAAGGGCAAAGTCCTCTTCATTGGAGGTGGCATTGCCAACTTTACCAACGTTGCCAGCACCTTCAAAGGTGTCATCCGGGCTCTGCGTGACTACGCTACCCAGCTGAACGAGCACGACGTCCAGATCTGGGTCCGTCGTGCCGGACCCAACTACCAGGAAGGTCTCAAGAATATGAAGGCCGCCACTCAGGAGCTGGGCCTCAACGCCAAGATCTTCGGCCCTGAGATGCACGTTTCCGGTATCGTGCCGCTGGCTCTCATCCCCGGCAAGTGGGAGGAAAGCAAGGCCGAAGAATTCAGGGGTTGAATACGTAATTCACGAAAGATAAATAAGATATATGAAGCATAGGGGTGGTGATTGGAGATTATGTGCGGGCATGGGGTGTGCAGCGAAAGGGAAGATCATAGATGGTAACGCTAATTGGTACCTCGTGTTGTTGTATTTTGCAAGCTAGACTACGGAAACATCTGAGCTATTCAATATTAGGCCTTGACCGCTGCCTGGACAGACGGCAAGGGGCATGTATGGGCTACGAGACGGACAAGGGGACGGCTCAAAACAAACGATAATCAAAACCATGCACTTACATATCGTGCTTGCTGCCTTGTCATGTAGTATACCTAGTAGCTGTGTGACTTCCATTGCCACACGTGCACGTACAGATATGATTGGATTGCAAGATCCCAGAACAAAAAGCATTGCTTATTGCCCCGAATCCAATCCTATCCCAAACAATGCCAGTGGTCCGTTATCGAACGCGGACCATGCAGTACAATACTCCGTACGCCAGTTGAAGATGTATCACCCCTGCAAATGAATGCATGACATCTTCGTCGCCTCTCCCGCCGCTCCCGCCGCCACTTCTTGCCACAAACATGATGCATATGTTGAACGGCTACGTGCATGTCTTGCCGAAAAGAAAAGAAAAATATCCACAAACACCACAAAAAATTAAAGCAACCAGATCTTTTTACATGCAAACACCCTATCCGCCCCGGAAAGGAAAAAAACAACAGCCTTCTCCATCCTGTACGCTTTTCGCAAAACATGACATGTCAACTTCTACTACATTTTTCCTCTCTTCAACACGCTTCGCCCGACCCTCGTTTCATTCTGCTGCGCCCATGCCCCCCTCTCAGGCGTCCCCCTCGCCCTTCCCCCGCGGCAAAAAACACAGACACAGCTTCGATTCCCTTCCCGCAACGCCGCCGGTTTCTCTTGGCGGCATGATGTCGCGGAAGGTGCGAGGCTGCCCGCCGTCCCTTTTGTCACGAGGGAGTGAGCCAAGCGGGGGCCGCCTACGTGACTGACGTCTTGTTTGCCCGCTTGCCTGTGAATGTTTAGTACGGAGTGATACGTGGGAAACCGGGCCGGTTCTTTTTTTTTTTTGTGTGTGTGTGTGTGTGTGTGCGTGCGTGTATGTTCGCAGGGTGTGTGTGGTTGACGCGTATATTTCACTTTGGGCTGGGGACCAGCCCTCCCAGTGAACCTTTTTTTTTTCCGCACTTATATATATGATGAGAAAGGCGAGAGGGAGTGGGAAAGAAAGAAAAAAAATCAAATCTCCCAATTTCATGAAAAATTTCTAATCTTGAAGCTGAAAGCTGAAAAACCTGATCGGATATCGCTTACACATACAACACACACAAACCTACTTGCTTCACATCAACACGAATACCACCACCCGGGGCAGCCCTACACGGACAAGCCATGTCTTCTTGCTGCATTTCTTGTTGCCGCGCCCCCGATTTTGGCACCCACGAATTTTGTGTGCCTTGCGATACGGGCTCTGCGTGCACTACTCCTTACTCGCGAGACATGTCCCTCGAGGACGACGGATATCAGCGGCCCCTGTATGGGCATGTCGGGACGGATGAGACTCACAAGGAGGCCAAAGAGGTTGGAGAGAAGGATGAGAAGAACAAGGAAACACAGGAAAAGTAATTGGTGTTGAGAAACGGAAGTACAAGGCGAATTTACAGCATGATGTCAGAGTGATGTACTATTTGCAACGGACTGCAAGCTAAGTATATGGTGCAATCATAGGAGTTACTGGGACAACAAACAATATGTATACAGAATGCAAAGAGGATATAACCTGGTGCTTTCCGCCAATTCCCACATTTCTATATACACCTTCGCTGGTCTATATGCGTCTAGACTGCTGTGAATCACACAAACAACATTGCAATCAGCGGCACCACAGCAGCCAACATCATCGGGGTATGGAGAACAGCACTGCTGTCTTTCTTGTCACCGGTAGAGCTGCCGGTATTGTTACTGGTCGCATCAATGCTGCCAGTTTCAGCCTTGTTGCTGCCAGCCATGTTGAACTGGTCATCAGGTACGGGAACGACCTTCAAGCCCGTGATTTCCTTGCCCTCGGAATCCTTGACAGTCATCTTGACGTTGAAGTCGGAGATCTTGACGATCTTACCACTGGGCTTCGGGCTGATGCCGTTGTCGATGTACTGCTGAGCGCCCGGAGGTGGGACCGGAGCGGTGAAGTTGGAATCAAAGCCATTCTTGGTAAGAAGCGATTTGGCGCACGTGGGAGGAGTAATATCCTTCTTGGCAGCCTTCTGCGTCTGAACGGATTTCCAGTCAATTGTAGCCCATGCCGCCTTGAGACGGTTGTAGTCGCCCAAGATGTTGAGAGTGGTTCCATTGATCGAGACAAGACCGTAATTGTTTGACTCCAATGTCCACTCGTAGACAACACCGCCAGAGAACGTGGGTGCCATTTTGTCGCTGTACATGGCGCGAGTCTCATTCCAGTGACGGGTAGGGGGCTCAATACAACCATACTCGCTGAAAAACACCGGGACGGAAGACTTGGCGAAGCCTTCGGTCAGCTTGTCGAATGTAGAGCTTTCATAGGTAGCCTTGATGCTGCACCAGCTGTAGGAGTTCAGAGCGAAAACGTCGGCACGCGTCATGTCGTCTGACTTGCCATCGGTGCTGCATTGCATGTAGTTCCAGGTATCCCAAAGGACATCGCGAACATCAGCAGCAGAGTAACCAACCGGAATTTGGCGCTTGAGGTTCTTCTTGATGTAGTTCTTCAAGTCGCGTGTGACGGCACGAAGATACTGTGGAACGTACTTGGCTGACTCAATGTTGTTGATCACTTCATTGCCAGAGAAGAAAAGCAGGGTGTTGGGATAGTTGGCGAAGGCTTCGACCACTGCAAATGTGTGATTGAGATAGGCGGAATAGTAAGTTTCCCAGGGCTTACCAGAGTCCAGGGCCTGACCAACAAGAGGAGAGTTGACGTCGAGAATCATGTACATGCCAGCCTATGGTGGCGTCGTCAGCCAACCAACGAAATCCCACGGCTAACGTGGTAACTCACAGCATTGAAGATACTAGCACACAGGTCGTGATTCTTGTTCGGGTTTAAGTTGTAGACACGGATAGCATTGACGCCCATGACCTGCATGAGGGCAGCATCTCGCAGGCAGGCATCGGGGTTGCTGAGAGGGTCGGGACTGTCCAACTTGAAGCCGGCACTGCCACCAGGCTGATAAGCGACACCTACGATCTGAAACCTGTCGCCAGTCTTACTGTTGTAGAACTCGTTGCCTTTGACCTCTAGCTGTGGAACGGCGGCGACAAACGGCGCGGCGAGCGCGACGAGAGCGGATTGAATCTAAGACGAAGCCTGTGGTCAGCTTTGCATGAACTCTGGGGCGATTGTCGATCTTGTTATCGGAACCAGTAACAATTGACAATTTTAGGGCTTGCTGCGACAACACGGCGTCCATGGACAGTGCCATATTCAATACATACACGCATGGTTGGATGCAGTTGCTGATAATACTGGTGAACACAAATCAAGATGCGAAGGATTGGTCAAGTACAGAAATATAGCAAAATGCAACAATATGGTGGGCGGGAAAGAGCTGGGGGGCTCTTTAAGGGGACAATGAAAAGAACCAAACTATTTAGCAAGGAAGGAACGAAAAATGAGTGTCGGCCTGCAGTGAGGCAAAACTAGTGAATACGAGCAGGAATGGGAAAGGGAAAGGCCTCGTCGGTGAAGAACTGACGATGGGGTCATATAAGCGGGAATGGTGCTTCCCATGTGGTCCATGTCATGTCGCTTGCTCCTGCCTCACATCAATCAGTGATATGACTATGGGTCCAGATACTCTCATGCACTCCCACTTCTAAACACCAAAGTAAACCCAATGCCATGACTCTCATGACCATTCCCTCGCTAGTACGAAACAAGAGAACCGGGGCCCGATGACACCGTCCAGATACACGAGACTGTCACAAGCCCTGGACGCTCGTCCATGCAATATCTGTTCCTACGGTTGCTACCACTCAATTTACCAACGTCAACACCTCTCTTGTCCTATCATAATCCAGGATTCACGATTCACAATTGCTCTGACGCTAGCGCGTGGAACTGGACCAGGGGTAAAGGTCCTCGGGGTCAAGTACTATGTACATACAATTAATTGCTTCATCATTTCTTGCGTCCCGCAATACAATGATTGTCCACTCTCGCTGCCCTTGACCCGTCTAATGCTCTGGATAGACCTAATACAACCGCCGTGATATTCACCAACATCGTTGAAGAAGTTCAATGTTGGCCTAGAGCCCCTTCAACGTTGCTCAGCCACACCCGACCCAGCAATTATCAACCCGTGTCCAGGGGACGTGCCACTCGACCCGGGTACTCCGTACGCTGATTTTTTTCCTTCACGTCCATTCTCATGAGCTTCAATGACGGTGAGCGCCCCGCAAACAAGCACGAAATAACCCTGCGTTGCCATCACGCCGCCCTTGTATTTCGCCGACTGGAACTCTGGCAGCCCGACACGCTTTTGTCTGCCGGTCTTCCGTTTCGCTACTTTCCCAAAGTCACCGTATTGGGTCGAGGTTTATTTGTCAATCATGGACACTTGGGGCATTGGTCCCATGTTGTGGTGTAGACTTCAACAGCCTGTTGACAGCACAAACAGCCGGCTGAACAACATGACCACTCCGAAGACCCATACAGCGCTAAGTCACCGCGACAGAGGCCAGGACTCAGCCACTGTGACGAAACCTGAATACCTTGCGCGACTCCAATGGCGTGGAGTTTGAGGCTGTGTTTTTGACGAGATCTCAGGGCAATATACATATATATGTAGTTCATATGGATACTAAGCCTCCAGTGCAGAAGACAGGATTTTACCACATGGGTCCTCTTGCATGTTAGCACTCCCAAAATGCACCCTCTCATCAATACACCAAGTGACTTGGGAATAAACATAGACATCAATGCAACGTCGAAGCTGGGCGACATAATGGCTAGCCGAGGATAATGTCACGATAAACTTGGGTGCTACCCTATAGCAGGCCAACCTAAGAGACAATCTATGTAAGTTATATGACTGGGATCATGCCTAGCGACAAGGATCTTGGAGGGAGGGAAGGAGTCTATAGTATTACTCCGTACTTTGGCCTGTTATCGCCCTGCGCACCGATGACTACCTCTAAGTATTAAGTAGGTACATAGTATGTAGTAGGTATTCATTCAAGAATCATGGTTGTGGAGGATAAACGGAGGGAAAGAGCCATCCGCGCTGGAATCGAGAAAGCAAGGTGCCATCTCGTTGGAATGTCATGCTAAGCCCCCATGCCATCATCCCAATCCCCAAGTTGGAGGGGCACTCGAGTTCACAGACCGCTTTCCCAATCCAGACACCCACGTCAAACCAGGTACCGCTGCCGACCAAAAAAAACAACCATCATTCAGTCCATTCTCCAGATCTGTACAACCATTGTCATATCATTCTCATGCCCCGCGTCCACCGCATATTCGGCGCCCTAATAGTCCAAACTACCCGAGCCCACAACTGCCGCCAATTCCTTACAATGGCCACTCGTACGTGCAGAGCTGTCATCACCCAATAGAACATCCATGGCGGCTAACCTTCACCAGCACCGCTGGACCGCCGCCCAATCATCATCTCCGGCCCATCAGGCGTCGGCAAAGGCACGCTGTACAACCGTCTCTTCGCCCAACACCCAGACACATTCTGCCTGTCCGTCTCGCACACCACTCGCACCCCACGGCCCGGCGAAGCCAACGGTGTGGACTACCACTACGTGTCTATGGGCGACTTTGAAGATCTCATTGCCAAGGACGGGTTCGTGGAGCACGCCCAATTTGGGGGCAATCGCTATGGAACGAGCAAGATGACTATTGAGGATCAAACTAAGAAGGGAAAGGTTGTGTTGCTCGATATCGAAATGGAGGTTCGTCTATTCAATCAAGAATGAACGCGGGATGCTGATTGAGGGGCGCATGCTGACTTGAAGAGTAGGGGGTTAAGCAGATTAAGCAATCCAGCATCGCTGCTCGGTATATTTTTATTGCTCCTCCGTCGCTCGAGACCCTGGAAGCGCGTCTCCGGGGCCGTGGCACCGAGAACGAGGCAAGTATCCAGAAGAGACTGAACCAGGCGAACAATGAACTTGAGTTTTCCAAGACTCCGGGTGTTCATGACAAGATCATTATCAATGATGATCTCGACAAGGCTTACAATGAGCTTGAGGAGTACATCTACCAATCCTCGGATTAATGACCCTGACGAACGATACGCTAGAGATGATATATACTGGTACGAACACGACGTTTCAAAAGCGTGAAGTAATAATAGGCATGGCACTTACATCAGAAGGAGCCAATACACAATGTACCTTACAACAAGATTTATGCAATGCTCTAGATGTATATAAGATGCATAGACAAAACCTGTCACACAGCCCAAGCTTGCAGGGAGTCAATATTTTTTCCCCCATACAGCGTTTCATTTTCTCGGGTGACGAAGCCAACTTTAGCTATACTTGGCGTGCAAGGTATGAGGTCTGATTAAAGACTAAGAAATGGTAAAAAGAGCTCGAGGTGAGTGCTAGTAAAGACAATAAAAACACGTATAAAATAGACTTGGGCCCATGAATTGCGGGGGGCCATTAAATTCGGTGCCAGAGCTCACATCAACTCAACCCGGCTCGATTCTGGCATATCGAGACTGATTGCTCCGGATCCGTAGGTTGGTCATATCTCTGCCTTTCTGCTAGGCGCCACCCACAACCCCTTTATAAAACCAAACAAAGGCTCTTGCTGGCAAGTCCTAGGTCGCACCACAATATGACGATGTGACCAACCCTCCCCAGACAAAGGATATCACTGCCCTTTTTGCTTCCACATGACACCGTGAGAAATATTTAAGTTCGTAAGAAAATAGTCGGCCGCAAGCCCCCTTAAGCTGCCAAGAGACGCCGTTGCTCCCTCGCCAGTACAAGATCAAGCAGAAACATTGGCTTAGTAGCCATTCATGGCCATTCTTTGCGAGCTGCGGCTCAATTCTCGGTCTGCAGCAGGGCTGATGGGTCTGCTGCTTGCGCCGCCACCATGCGCACTGCTCTCCTTGAGGGCCAACAGCTGCTTCGCACGGAAGGTCTCGTAATGGATCTGAGAAGTAGTCTCGATAAGATCCTGGAGATGGGTTCGGAGAAGGAAGTTGCGGAGGTAAACAAATTCGCAATGGTTCTCGTCCTCGACGTTGATGACACCCCATCGATTCTGGCGACCGCGGACCTGCTTGCCATCAATCATAATGGACTTTTCGGAGCCAACAACAGCAAATGGAACGAGACCCTATTTCATAATTTAGATTCTGTTGTTTCCGTCCAACATTTAGCAAAACTTACCTTGATCTGCCCGTTCAGGGAACGCTCCTCATCATCAAACTCTTCATTGTCATATGGGTACATCTTAAGGTTGTGGAAAGAAAATTCCTCCTTGATGCGTTCCTTGAAAGCCTGGCGCTCCTCAACCGTCAATGTATCGGCTTTGGCAATGACGGGAACGACGTTGACGACATCGGACAGCTTCTTCAAGACAACAATATCAATGGGCTTCAGTGAGTGGCCTGAAGGCTGGATGAAGAACAAGCAGCAATGAATGCGGGTGTCCTGAATATAGCGTTCTCGCTGAGCAGTGAGCTCCTTTCGTAGGTAGGCGGAGTGCTGGTCCTTGATATACTTGACAATGGGGTCCCAGCAGCGGTCGTTGTTGACCAGGTCGCCATAACCGGGGGTATCGACAATGTTGAGTCTCAATCGAACGCCGTTCTCCTCAATGATGTGGGAAACGCTCTGAATCTCGGTGGTAGAGCGAATAGTCTCATCAGGCTGCAGACGACCCTTGGAGTCGATGAGGTGCGAAGCGAAGATGGTGTTGATCAGGGTTGACTTGCCCAGACCAGTCTGGCCTTCAGAGATAACAAAGGGTTAGCTTTATTTCCGCAATCTGTCCAGCTCCCGGGTTCACCCTCGCCACGTACCAACGCAAATAACGTTAAACTGGAAACCACGCTTCAACAGCTTCTTCTCAATCTGGGAAGTAATGCTGTCGAAACCGACGTGGCTCTTGGGGAAGATGGTGTTCGCGGCAGCCATTGTGTAGATCTAGTAGGCGGGGGGACACCAGATGCACTAAGGAGGTACGGCGATGGCTGTTGAAATCGAGACGTAAAAATCTGGACCCTATTCCAAGAAATCTGGAGGAACTCTGCAGGATGGACGAAAGACTGCGAAATACGACGGCAGACGTGCACGGTCAAGGATAGAGTGCAAGTCGACTGGAGTTTTGGAGGTGGTCGTTGACAGATCCAGAGAAGGGGTAACTTTCGGGGCGCTTGGCTGACTTGGCGTCCCTGCCAATCCAAAGCGATAATTTCAATGACCCAAAGAAGGTACAGGGACTAAGAAAGGGGGAAGGGGCATCTGGGGACATTGCCTCTGGAGCTTGCAGTTGACCCACATTCGGTCAGTGCATTGGAGGTACTTGATTGGCCGGCAATGATTGACCAAAGCCACCACAGAGAAAGCTTTCGGCAGACTTTTGATGGAAGTGACACGCGAATTTGCGATGTGGTGGGCTGACAAATAAAGTTGTGAGAGCTTCAAGATCTGGCCCAACGATACTGGAACGATACTTGCGAGGACCTGCAGACGTGAATCATTTAGTATCATTGCTTGGTCATCAAGAAATCCTCGAGTCTCCCGATCACCAGCGACCACATACTCATCGACTACCATCTCGAATCGACGTGAAGTCTGTCCGGCTTCAATAATTCTCAAAGATGGCTGCTGCTACTGTATCAATGCTTTCCCGTCTGCCCTTCCCGACAGTTGCCTCTGCTCCACGCTGGGCTACGTTCTATACCCGATTCTTCAACCCCCGACTCTTCCCTACACTCTCGGTTGCTGTGCCGGGAGTCAGCTTGAACATTCCCACCTTGCTGGGCGACATTTGGGAATCAGTTCTACGCGCGGTACCCAAGAACAAAGTGTCACATTCTCGTAAGCGACACAGACAAATGGCTGGCAAGGCTCTGAAGGATGTGAACAGCCTGTGCAAATGCCCTGGCTGTGGAGAGACCAAGAGAACGCACCGACTATGCCAGAGATGTCTCGAAGGTGCGTTGGTACGAGTTTTTGCCTTTTTTTGCATATGCTAACGATATCGCCAGACATGAGAAGGATATGGCGTGACGACTACCCGACGAACAAACCCTTTTAGGCAGATGGGAGGATAGAGGGGATTCATGTGACAACTGTATCAAAAGCCTTGTATATCAATTTCAGTCAGGTCTGCATGCTATTGGCGTTTGGCTAGGATAGCCTTGTATACTGTATATAGATACTGCAGATAAAAAACAATCATTTTCGACTTTTGGTGGACTTTACGATTTAACCTGAAAAGCAAGGGTTTGCATCCTGTACCCATTTTGCCGACGTCATTAATAAACTTAGGAGTTGCTTTTATTTGTAGTTTAAACGAGGGAATATGTTTAAAATATCTGTCAGCCTCGTAATACAGGTAAGGTGCAGAATACTGTTGTGGGATGAGAGCCCAGGTTGTAGCTTAACCCATAGCCTCGACCGTACAAAATCCTGCCCCACCATGACCGATGTCAAAAGCATCCTCCTACATCCAACTCAAGATCACGGCACGCCAAGCGTTGTGGTCACCCGTGTTAGAGAAGATGGTGAGCACCTCTCACACTTTTGACTTTCGCGCAACTACTGACCATAACATGTAGTCGAAGCAGTATCTGACAACCCATACTGTGGATGATGGTATGCCTGCACACTGCCCCGCCATCACTGAAGTCGCGAGGTTGGGACGCACTTTTCCACACTAGTAGCTAACACCAAGTGTTATAGCTCATATTACGGATATATTTTCAATAGCTACGACACCGAAGGCGGTACTGTCAGCCGGTGGATCATCAACGCTCCATGTGCACGACACAACAGACCCTTCATTCCCTTTGAAGCAGTCCATCCCTAACGCGCACAAACTCGGTTGCCACCACATCAGCGCATCAAGAAATGGAAAGGTTGCAGCAAGTGTAGGCTTCGGAGGAGAGGTGAAACTTTGGGCGTTAAACCAAGACACTGGCGAGTGGTCAAACAGCGGCGAAATCACTGGACCGGCAGTCAAACCAGGTGAGGTGTGGGCGGTAGCACTCAGCGAGGATGGGTCATATCTGGCCAGCACAACAAATGACGGACGTATCAACGTCTGGGATATTACAGACGAGAAAAACGCCAAGATTATGGAATATGAAACAGGAAGCGCTGGGTCAGGCAGCTTTGGCATGAGCGTCGATCTCAGTAGAGACGGCAAATACACTGCCAGCGGTCACCAAAACGGAGCAGTGTACATTTTCAACAATGACACGGGGAGAATTTTGTATTCTCTTTCAGGTATGTGATGCTGGAAAAAGAGCCAGAGAAAAAGAAGCTGACATAGAGCTATGTAGGGCTCTCAAAACCTGTTCGAGCAGTAGCCTTCTCGCCAGCAAGTTCGAGACTTGCTGCCGCGGGTGACGCAGGAATCATTGCCCTGTATGATATGAAGCACGGTGAACATGTGGGCAATTTGACCGGCCATTCTTCATGGATCACGACTATTGACTGGAGTGATACGGGCGAATTCTTGCTCAGCGGATCAATGGATGGCAAAGTCAAGGTATGGTCGATTGAGCGAAGTGCTTGTGTGGCCACCCACAGCGAGACAGATAAGGCATTGTGGACGGCGCGATGGCTTCCCAAGACTGGGAAGAGTGAGATGTTCTGCACGGCCGGTGCGAACAGAAGCCTGTCTTTCTATCGCGAAGCGACTGGAGCTTAATGGAAGACACACGATGTCAAATGTTTCACTGCCATTGATGAAAATGAATGACTTCGATCACCTTAGTTTCTCTCCCTTGGCGCCTGTGAAGCTGCTCCATCACGTGATGGCGTTCCAGTCTCGCGTTGCCCCGCCAGAATCAGCCCCCCCGCCCCAAGTTACTGTAGCTGCTACAACCGTCATAGCCATGCACCCACCCACTCCCGCTTATTTGGGCTTCAGCTGAACCGTTAATCAAGTCCACAAACATTACCCTTTCTTTCCAGCAAAATTCGAATAATTACGACCCTAGAAGTATTCGTCCTGTTGTTTCGGAGCATAGGAATAATTCCATACTAGAAAAATCATATAATACCACATATCGTCCCATACTCTAGCACCGGGACCTGGCATCACATCATGCCTACTACTCGACGATCAACCCGCGGCCGCACTGGGCCTGCAAAAGGTCAATCAACGATCAGCTTCGCCAATAAGGTCACAAAGAGCGTACCAAAAGATATCAAGAACAAGTTGGTAACACCGACAACTACCAAGATTGAAGTCCCGGAGAGAAGAAAGCCAGTACAGGAACATGTCGAGGAAGTAGTAGACGATAAAGTGGAAGATCAGGAAGAGGATGATCAAGAGGAGGCAGAGCTCAAGGAGGAAGTTCTGGTGAAGACAGAGGCTGAGTTGAAGGCTGAGAAGCTCACCGACTCGCAGATCGATAAATACTGGAAAGGCATTGAGAAGGAACGCAAGGCACCGAGAGTGCATCAAGAAGGATTGTCTGTGAATGACAAGGTTTTGCGATACTTTGATGTCTGCTCTCAATATGGGGTAATCATCCGTTTGACCTTGCTTTCGTCTTGACAGGAGCCTGCTGATGACTAACTGATGTGTAGCCTTGCATCGGAATCGATCGCATGAAGCGGTGGCAAAGAGCCGAGGGGCTTGGCCTGCGGCCTCCCATCGAGGTTCTCTCCGTGTTACTGAAAGAGGAGAAGAAATCTAACAAAGAGGCGGAAACGGCACAGATGGATCATATTCTTAACTCGATTGCTGTTGGATCATAGCCTCTGTTTGCAACTATTACGAACGAGGTTGAAATAACGGAGAACGGGAGGCGTTGGTGGCGTGTGTGTTTGTTTTTAACGAATGTTATGTATTCTATTGCGCTGGTCTATTTAAACCCGCCATGTATCAGACCAATGACTTGGCCATGACTCGAAAACAATCTATGTTTCCGGGTTGAATGTCTTTGATGCTAGATCTAATACCATATACTTCTTGTTCTATGGTGAGGAAACGGTTCTTTGCCCGCGGCTTCTAATTCTTTCATGCGGTCGTAAAGGAAGAAATCAATCAAAATAGCATTGACGTATGTGTCTGGATGTGCTCGAACGATTTCACGCCGTATCAATTCGACGCACCATATACTGCACGCTGCGAGCATCGATTTAGCGGATAAACGCGCACCATTCTAGGGTTGATATATAGTTACCTCTCAACTGCACCTCCCAGCGATCTCCACTTTTGAACATCTTTCTGTCCCTGATGGCCGCCGCCACTGGCGGACTGCAGTACAATGCGCCTAGAGTAATCAAAATCTGGGGGATGCGGTAGTCCGCAAACATGGTGATCTTGTCAATGTCTCGAAATTTGCCGTACGACTGGCCCTCAAAGCAGGCCCATATATCGGCGACTAGAATCTGAGCCCGCTTCAAGAACCTCACAGGTTTGTTTCTGCCTTCGAAGTAGTGCTCGTCACGGAAACATGAAAAGTCTCGGGCCAAGAGATTGACAAGTTCGGCTGCTGAGCCGTTGGCTGCGGATATGACGTTTGCGAAGGAGCAGTTGTATCGCTGAATGGAGGGTTAGAACTATTCATGCCTTTTCATCTTTAGTACGGGACGTTTGTCCGAGGCCCACCTCATATAATACTCTGCCGCTTTCTCTAAGGCAGTCTAGTCGTTCTTGCAGCAGCGGCATTTCCTCTTCTGTGGACGATCTGAAGATGTGGCGAAGGGACTCTAAGTTGCATTCCTGCTCGTCTTGCCAATAGTGAGGGTCAGTGATTGGAATGTCTTATCACCGGATGTCAGTACGTTGCTGGGCCTTGAAACGTGACATTGGCAACTCGCCTTCTTCCAAAGCCCTCTGGATAGCTGCGACAAGACTCCAATACCCAGTCCACCTCCTCCCGTGATACTCGATAGCAAACCTCTCATCGTCCGGCAACTCAGACCAGAAGGAGAAATTCAGCAGATCCATGGTGAAAATGAAGGCTACCGAGGTCTCGTCTTTTGCCTTGGGATGAAGCTCGTGCTCTGACCAAGTGGCCGTTGAGTAGTGCTTCTTCTGCATCTGGGCGTATATCGTCTGCGCGGCGGCCTTGGTAGCCCGCATATCAATGGCCATGTCGATGCCTTGGTTGTAGACATACTCGGCCCCGTCTAGAACACCTGTATCCGCCTCTTCCTTCACGACAAGTTTGCCCTGCAGGTGCTGGCGGAGCAGTTCGAGGAGCTCAGGGTCCGCTTCATCATCAGACATTTTTTTTGGTGAGAGTCGAGTCAAATGCCGGTGTGAAAGGGACGATGGCTGCTCCGTTATACAATGGGCCTAGCATACGTGCATTCAAAAGAAGAAGGAAAAGAGCAAACGCAACTGTCGAGATGACCGGAAATTACTGTATGTATTCAGTGATTTGGTGGTGTTGCAGATTGCATGGACGGGAAGGGGGAAAATCCGTAGAAGTTGGTTCCTGGTGGTCACTCGCCCAATCGGGCTTCTCGGTCGCAAAAAGGGACGTCATGGTCGCAGAAGACTCTCAGCTCTCTCGTTTTAGCGCCCATTACAAATATCGAATTGCGGTTCAGAACAGGTTAAGCTCAGGGCCAATTGAGCAACCTCAGCGGTCATAGCTACAATATACATGTAGCACGTCGCCAAGGGATCGCAAATTAAGACAAATGCGTCGCCATGCAGGATACGTTCTTCGTCTTTGCTGATGCGTGATGGATTCTGCAGAGTGACAGTCAAGCGAGAACACTGGCGAAAGGGATAGCACTTCACGACAAAGCAAAACAGCCAATCAGCACCGCCTATTTTGTTTCCGGGACCCACATGGGGAACGATCCCTGGCACATCCGACATGATTCAATTGGTCGCAACTTGTCGCTGGCATTCAAGCGTCAGCCGCAAGCGCTCATCAGCAGTCTGATCAAACAGGGTCTCGAGAAACACGACCGCTACCGACTATGCTCTCCGTCCGACATTGAATAAATTCTCGCATGCTCTATCCCCCATCCGATCGCGACGTCGTCTCTTCAACCATCGAATTGATCTTGCCGAGAGGCGACAGCGGCCATGGAGGCTTCGATCCAAGCCAGTGAACCTGCCGCGCCGCTGGCAGCTGTGGCAGCTGGGCCAGCTGATCCTGTCCCAGGTCAAGCAGTTGGAAAGACTGTTAACGCCCAAGAACAACAATCACAACTTCAGCAGCAGCCTCAGCAGCAGCCCCAACTTTCCCAAGCCTCTCAACAAACCGCTGCGCAAGCTCCGGCCCAGAATCAGCAAGCCCTCTCCAGCCAACAGAACTTCACAACCCAACATCGCCCGCGAGTGATGGCACGAGACAGATACAACCACCAGTCGCTCGGGGCCTCCCTGAACTCATCCGTGAAACAGGTATGTCGATTCTGGGTACCTTACAACCATATTGTATTCCTGGTGTTGTTTGTGATAGAGGTGCATACCGTCGCATGACTCGTGTGACAATGATAACCTTCTCTCGTTGGGTACTGCCATATTCGAGAAAAGCCAATAGATTCTGGGAGAGAACTTGAGGTGAAAGCTGACACTGATATTTCCCAGGCTCGAGTCTTGATGGTCGGTGCAGGAGGCATCGGATGCGAATTACTCAAGAATCTGGCTCTCACGGGCTTCTCAGAAATTCACATTGTCGACCTCGATACAATTGACCTGTCGAACCTGAATCGACAATTCCTATTTCGACAGGAGCATATAAAGAAATCGAAAGCTCTGGTACATATAACACACCGTCTAGGGTCGATACCATGGGATGAAAAGCTAACGGCTGGGTAGGTTGCTAAGGAAGTCGCCGAGAAGTTCAATCCAAACGTCAAAATCGTCGCCCACCACGCCAACATTAAAGATGGAAATTTCAATGTTTCGTGGTTTCGAAAATTTAGCATCGTATTCAACGCACTGGATAACTTGGAAGCTCGACGACATGTCAACAAAATGTGCCTTGCTGCGGATGTGCCTTTGATAGAAAGCGGCACCACTGGTTTTAATGGCCAAGTTCAAGTTATTAAAAAGGGTGTAACGGCATGCTATGATTGCACTGCTAAGGAGACACCCAAAACATTCCCCGTCTGCACGATCCGAAGCACGCCGAGTCAGCCCATTCATTGTATTGTCTGGGGCAAGAGCTATCTTATGAAGTAGGTGAAGACCATCACACAGCCAGAAAGTTGTGGATTGCTAACTGCTCTTACAGCGAAATATTCGGCGTCAGTGAAGACCAATCTGCGTTTGATCATTCGGAGGATGCGGAGAACGGTAAGTGTGCTACTGTTCCGGATGGCTACAAGTTCTGACCTTTAATTCCAATATCACTAGCCCACGAGATAGAAGAGCTCAAGAAAGAGTCCGAGGCTTTAGAAAATATCCGTGACGCGGTTGGCACTGCAAATTTCCCCCAATTACTCTTTGATAAAGTCTTCAACAGCGACATCGAGCGATTGCGATCGGTCGAGGACATGTGGAAGTCACGGAGAAAACCTGCGCCTCTGAATTACGACACTGTTTTCAATCAGGCTACGGATGCTATCGCATCAAAGGACGATATTCTGAGCGATGACCAGCGAGCGTGGACCCTCGAAGAGAATCTTGTTGTGTTCAGGGACAGTCTGGATCGCTTGAGCAAGCGAATGCTGGACCTCAAAAAGAACAAAGACCTATCTGGTCCTGAGCCAACGATTAGCTTCGATAAGGACGATATTGATGCACTGGATTTTGTGGCTTCATGCGCCAACATCAGATCAACTATTTTTGGAATTGATCGTAAATCACGATTCGATATTAAGGAAATGGCGGGAAATATTATCCCAGCCATTGCCACTACAAACGCCATTGTCGCTGGTCTATGCATCCTTGAAGCATTCAAAGTCCTTAAGGGAGACTATGGACAGGCTAAAGAGGTAGGATTGGAAAGGGACATGTCAGTTATACAGCCAGACCAGATGCTGACTATTTTTTTTTAGGTGTTTTTGCAACCCTTTGCCCCCACTAGGCTTCTCGGCTCAGATACTTCGCGAAAGCCCAACCCAGATTGCCCTGTGTGCAGTGCTTTCAATGTCACTATCAAGGTTGATCTTTCTAGGGCAACCCTGAACGATGTTGTAGAGGATATTATCAAGAAGCAGCTCGGGCTTGAAGAGAAGGAATTTGTCCTCAGTAACGAAGTTGGTATCGTGTACGATGCGGATGAGACTGATAATCTACCGAAGAAGCTTTCAGATCTTGGTATGTACATCTGCTGCATTTTTTTTTTGGAGAAGACGTTGGATAACTAACTAACCTTTGAATAAGGCATCAAAGGAGGAAGCTTCCTTACCGTCATTGACGAAGATGACGATGAGCCGTTGGTTAATATTGTGATCAATATTGAAGAAGGGTATGTGGTTTTGGATAAATTTAGTAATACACAGACTCTAACTGTCCCCAGTGCTGTTGAGGCCCAGGATAAGCCTGTTGAGGTCCACTTGGACAAGCAACCTGAGATTCCTCAGAAGCCCAAGAAGGCCTTAATTGCGACTAACGGCGGTCCTAACGGCATCCAGCAAAACGGCAAGCCTTCAGACCTAGATGCGCAAAGCAGGGCTCTTAAAAGAGCTCATTCAGGTGATGATGCGCAAAGCCGGGTTTTCAAACGAGCTCATCTAGACGACAATACGGAAGGCGGGACTCTCAAACGAACTCATCCAGGCGACGATGCGCAGCCGGCCAAAAAAGCGAGGATTGCCGGTGCCGAGGACGATGATGTTGTGCTTGTACAAGACGATGCTGGTGCAATTGTCATTCCTGACGACTGAGGTGGCATTGTTACAGACGACAATGTCGGAGTTTGCCCTTCTGCTCTCTGTTTCACGCGGCACTCAACCCTCCATCAAGGTTGAGAACACAGTTATTAGCAAATCCATTGGAAGCCAAGAAAACCGCGGCATCCGCTACCTCAGCAGGATGTGCTACGCGGTTGAGCGGCGTATCTTTTAAATACGCCTGTTGCAGCTCTGGTTTCAGATCTAAAAGGGAGGCATCATTGGTTATGTTAGTTTTAATTATTCAGCTTGTTTTTTTTCTCCCAGGTTGGCATTTGGCGACATCAAGATGAGGATGGACGCTGGGAAGGGCATCTGGACAGAACGGGGGAGGAAGTTCTTACGATCCCACATAGAGCTCTGGACCCAGCCCGGTAGGAGAGCGTTTACACGGATAGATCTGGCGGCCATTTCCCTGCACAGAGCACGGGTGAAAGCTGCATTGACCGAGGTTAGCCAGGCGGCTACTTTCTTCTTCTTCTTTTTATTTTATTTTCTGCAGTGTAAAAGTAGGCATCTCGCGAAGAAGGGGGCGTGGAAAGGGTATGTAGAAATGAGGAATGAATATTATGCACCTTGGACGTACCCACTACGCCTGCCTTGGAAGCGGAATACGCAGTAACACCAAGGCCGGATTTCGTAGCCATCAAGCTGGAGACGTTGATGATGCAGCCTGCCTTTTTCATTAGAACTCGCACGACACGTGTGCTGCTGCTGCATTGTACTCGTGGCGGGTTTGCGTCCTCACCGTTTGGCCGAACGCTGGCGTGCTTACACACAAGCATGGTGGACAGCAGATTCGTATCAAGTATACTGGCGAGCTCTTCATCAGGCGTCCTCTTCAAAAGCGTAGTCTGAGAAATACCCGCGCAGTTGACGAGGACATCCAGCGGCCCAACCGCCTCGGCGTGCTGCTTGGCCCTTTGGTAAGCTTTGACACCACGTCCATGGCGGAAACGGGCAACCACAGCGACGCTTACTTGGGAGGCACGAGGGTCAAAAACATGCTTTATGCTCGCCCTGTCGGCGACGTCTAGCCTTATGAAGCGGTGGCTAGTAGGCGTGTCGGATGGCGAATTTTGGCCGTGTGATGCAGTGTAGGGTGTGAGCTGGGGCTCTAGTTTGGCTCGGGCTTGGAGGGCCGTCCTGCCGAGGAGAGATACGACTGCTCCCTGGGCGGCGAAGGCCTGGGCTATGTGGGCGCCTATTGTGCCGGTGGCTCCGACGACGACGGCGTGTTTGCCCGCGAGGGGGATCATGGTTAGGGCTGATATGCGCTGCGATTTGGATGTATGGTGGTGAGTGGTTGTGAACTTGTGGTTGTGGTTGAGCTTGGTGCTGGATCGGGTTAGTCTACGGATGGAGCCGTAGGAGGTGGGAGTTTGAAGCCGAGCAGCGGACAGTGCTCTGTCGCTCTCTCTTCTTGGCCATGAATACTGAGGCAGTTGGATTCGTTGCTTGCTTTACAGGTTTACACTTGGGCCCTCTGACATTCTCACATGATGGGACAGGGGAGCACGGAGGACTACGGAGGTGTACTCGGTGGCACCAAGATGTAGTTATGTAGCCGCCGAGTTTGACGACGGCTGAGGAACCGTGACATTGTGTTGCATTGTTGCAGTTACCCCTGGACTAGCTCGGTTGACTTGGCCGTTGCCCACATGCACGCTGTCATATTCGTCAAGCAACAAGTACGTACTCGAGGATTGCAGTTTGTCAATTCAAAGCAGCCTCCAGGGCCGGCTGCCGGTCAACAAACTGACTGGACCCCTCAGCAACGCTGAAGAGGCGTGGCCACGGGCTTACGGGGCTGGTTGACCGCCTACTTTAAGCACTTAAGTACTTAAAAGTAAGTATTAAGTACTTAGCTACAGTGGGTGTACATGTACCGACCACAGGTGGTCCAGTCACCAGGCCGGGTGTTAAGTGGTGCTGGTGGGAATCTCGAGGGCTCTATTATTCAAAGACGCAGACCCTGGAATTGCAGACTCTGGTGTCTGGTCCAATTGAATGTCTCCATTTTTCCAACCCGCCAGTCAGTTACCATCCAGTGTTCATCACTTCTACTCTTTCGCATTCTGCCCTCACTCGTCTCTCCTTTGGTTGCGTGCCGTCTGGCTCCAGAGGGTTACCCTACGCTCTTTTCTCCTTTGAACCTCAATGTCGACCGTCTGAGTCTAGCCAGCGTACCCCCAATTGACGACAATCCGAGCCCCCATCTGCCGCTCATTACTTGCGAATCCCGACCATGAGCGGCACGCGACGCGATGCCCCGCCACCTACGACGTCTCCTGTCCCCAAGGTCGACAATGCCCCTGATGCGGGGTTGAGGAGTATCAATCACTGTGAGTATGACCGAATGATAGACATGGACGAGAGGGCGAGCGGCTGCATCTTTGGGAAAGGGGAATGAATGAATACCTCGCGCGGGGTGTGAGCTTTGGATTCGAGTTCGAGGGGCACCGCTGGGGCTAACGACTTGCATGTAGACAAGCGCGCTCTTCCACGATGGCGATATAATCTTCGGCAACAGGCTATCCCGTTGATTCGATGGGAGACGCCGTATCTGGCTTGGATGCAGGAGAAGCTGAGGACGCCTGCTCTGGATAGTTACTTCGCCATCACAGCCAACTTGGGCACCCATACTTTTTTCATGATTGGCTTGCCGATATGTTTCTGGTGTGGTTGGGCATCTCTAGGCAAGGGGTACGTGGAAATTTTCTCTTTACTTTTGTTCTACTTTGTACTGACGTTGTTTTCAGCCTGGTCCATATGCTTGCTCTTGGTGTCTTTTGGACAGGCTTCATCAAGGACTTTTACTCTCTGCCCCGACCGCTCTCGCCGCCGCTCAATCGAATCACCATGTCTGGATCTGCTGCTCTGGAATACGGGTTTCCCTCAACGCATAGCGCCAATGCACTCTCTGTGGCTGTATACGGACTCCTCAGCTTGCACAGTCCCGACAACGCTTTACCCCCGACGGCCAAGATCATTTTGGAATGCCTCTCCTATTTTTATGCGGCGTCCATCGTTTTCGGTCGCTTATACTGTGGCATGCATGGGTTTCTGGATGTTTTGGTCGGTTCCACCATTGGTGCTGGCATTGGTCTTGTCGAATTTTACCACGGCCCCTCCTTTGATGCCTTTATGCACTCTAGCTCCTGGATTGCTCCTGTAGTTGCAGGTCTTGTCATTATTATCTTTGTGCGCATACACCCTGAGCCGGCGGATGATTGCCCCTGCTTTGACGACAGCGTTGCCTTTGCCGGAGTCGTGATAGGCGTTGAATTTGGAACTTGGACATATGGCAAGATCCCGTCCGATCCGTGGGAGACTAATGCCTACGGCGATGGAACCATTGACGTCGCACCCTTGGGTCTATGGATCAACGTTGCGCGAATTGTATTTGGAGTTTTGGTAATTTTCGCCTGGAGGGAAACCATGAAGCCTGCTCTGCTCAAATTTCTCCCTCATCTCTTCCGTCTTATAGAGAAGCTTGGCTGGGATCTGCCACGGAGATACTTCATACCCGCCAGTGAATACAAGTCGGTGCCTCCAGGATCTCGTCTGGATACACTGTTCCCCAAGGCCTCTGACTTTCCTCGAATGGTTGAAGGCATCCGACATCCCACGACCCGTGGGCGATCCGTTTCTATTGGCCCCCAAAGCGCTGCGGATGCGTATGAGGCGTTGGCATACCGGGAACGAAGACGCAGAGAAAGCATCAGCAGCAATCAAAGTTTACGAAGCAAATCTAGTAATATGGATCTTCAGGGCAAGGATGAGGACCACTCTGGGAAAGGGGCCCAGACATCAGGAGTGCAGAAGCCTAATTCCCATGGTCATGAGAAGGTAGATGGTGAAGTATTGATATTAAGTGGGGAGGAGAACGGTGACGTTGCCGAGGAGAATAAGCTTGATGATGAGGAAATGTTTTCACGTTTGGTCCGCCCACGTGTGAGGTACGATGTTGAAGTGGTAACGAAATTAGTAGTTTATACGGGTAAGTTGACGAAATTGTTCTCAACCGCCTCTGTTGATGATGGAAGGGGCTGTAGGTTGGCTGACTGTACACAGGAATTGCATGGTTTGCGACGGCGCAAATCCCAATCATGTTTGAGTATGCCGGTCTAGGGACGAACCACCTCCGACTTCAGACGCAATGAGATGAGTGCGTTCACTTTATGATGTGAGTTTATTTCCTCATGAAGGGGGAACTTGTTTATGGGATTCTTGGTGGGAGGCCGGGTTGGTGAGCGGGCTGCCGACCTACGGCCGTCCTAATGAATGTAGTAGTAAATAGCGTTGTCCATGATAGATGTTGCATACCCATATTATCATGATAAGATTATACAATATACTTTGTACTACGAGGAAGTCGAAATATTTCGAATGACTTTTCTTTTCCAATTTACTCTATATTTACGATACATATGTACCTCCGAGGAACGTTGTATGAAGTTATCCTGCACTCTGTAAAGGGACTAGCTCCTTGGCGGCTGGTTTTGTGGGGAGGTTTGAGGCAGGGGTTTTAATGGACAACACGAACTGGCGCGGTCGACGCGTTAGTTAACGGCTCACTCGTAGTCGAGCCGCGGGCTTCACCCAGCTTTTATCAGTGTCGAATCTGCCTAGCACAACGACGAGCCCTTGCAAGCTTCATTGCCGAATTATAAAGACGCGGCGATTCATTGGCAGAAACGTATAAATCAGACACCATGTCAGACTTTGAAGATGAGATGGACGTCGACGCCCCCGCCACGTCCAAGGACGTGATTTTCTCCTCGGAAGCTACCAAGGGCAAGCGAAGTACAGCAAACCTTCCAGTCGAAGCCGAAGACAGTTTACCATGGTTCGTTGCTACAGCCCTGTACAGCTCCCAATCAGTCTCTAAACGCAGCCCAGGATCGAAAAATACCGACCCGTAACCCTCGACGACGTCTCCGGCCACCAAGATATCCTCGCCACCATCAACAAATTCGTCGACTCCAACCGCCTCCCTCACCTGCTCCTCTACGGACCCCCGGGGACGGGGAAGACGTCGACAATCCTAGCCCTCGCTCGGCGCATCTACGGGGCCGCCAACATGCGCCAAATGGTGCTGGAGCTCAACGCCTCGGACGACCGAGGCATCGACGTGGTCCGCGAGCAAATCAAGACCTTTGCCAGTACCAAGCAAATCTTTACCATGGGTGCCTCGGCAAAGTCCTCGATTGCCGGGTTCAAGCTGATTATCCTGGACGAGGCGGATGCCATGACCAACACGGCGCAGATGGCGCTGCGACGAATCATGGAGAAGTACACTGTCAATACGAGATTCTGCATCATTGCGAATTACTCGCACAAGCTGAGTCCCGCGCTTCTCAGTAGGTGTACGAGGTTTAGATTCAGCCCGCTCAAGGAGGGGGACATTCGGGTCCTGGTGGAAAAGGTCGTTGAGGAGGAGAATGTGCAGATCGGCGGGGAGGCGGTGGACGCGCTGGTCAAACTCAGCAAGGGTGATATGAGAAGGGCGTTGAATGTGCTGCAGGCTTGCCATGCTTCAAGTACGTTGTCACGAGCACTTTTGGGATTTTTGAATTGCGTTTTCTTCATTTTTTTGCTGATTGTGATTTTGGCAGGTACACCTCTTCGGGCGAAGAATGCGCCCAAGATTCCAGAGAGCGAGATCAAGCGCGATATGATTACGACGGAGACGATATACAACTGTATTGCGGCACCACCGCCAGATGCTATCAAGGAGATTGTGACGACGCTGTTGAATACGTCGGATGTGATGAGCTGTCTGAGCACGATGAATGCCCTCAAGGTGACGAGGGGCGTGGCGCTGGCAGACATCATTACGGCGCTATCGGAGGAATTGGCCAAGCTGGAGGTTAGCCCGGAGGTGATGATTTCGTGGTTGGATGGGTTGGCGGATGTTGAGCATAGAGTTGCGGGTGGCGGTAGTGAGACGGTGCAGACTGGTGCTGTTGTCGGGGTCGTGAGGAGGGGTGTCGAGCTGACGGGGAGATGACCATACGGAAGGATGGTAAATGGATGATTTGATGATATCAAGTTCAGACGGGATGGCAAGGCGATTGCAAGTGCTGTACCGCATCTAGAGTCTAGCGTTGGACTCCGCGGACTACATGTTGTATGTGGCTGTCTATTGCGTACATTAAAGTCTGGAGTCATTTGCTCCGGACATGGCTCCCAAGACTAGCTACGGCGAAGAATACTTTCATGCAAAAAGGAGAGACGGGGAGAAAGAGAAGCGAAAGAAGTCAATATTCAGGAGATATTTGGTGCATGTCATTGACCTCGGTTCACGCACACGAGGCTGACGGCCACTCGGACCCCCACACTCTCCCTCCCCCCCGCCATCACGCCAATGGCCAAGCTCCGGACTCAGCTAGCTCCAAACTATCATTCACGTAGCACAACGAACCATTGAACTTCAACTTCGAAACACCACGATACTCCTTCGCCTGCCATCTCGTCGTCTGGGTCCCAATTCTCTGCAACAACCTTCTACCACACCTGATCCTACCCCCCTGAACGCAGTACGCAGCGTCCAAGTTTCCAAGCACCCGTCAAGCTCGACGGCGGACCCGACTGACTACTGAATATCGAACCCTCGTCACAACGAACTTTCCCATAATCCTACGTCCAACCCAATTGAGACAGTGAAACAACCCGACCACCGTACAATGGCGGCTGTCAGCCCCAGCGAGGGCTACTCTGACACCCAAGGCACACCGAGCTCCCTTCCCGGCAGCCACGTCATACCCATGATTGCCCCCAGCGAGAAGAATGTCCACAAGATCCCGCCCATCTTGCCGCGCGAGAGAGTCTTTCCAATCCAAATCGGTAGCGAACTCTTCAAATTATCCGGAGCATCGCTCTCTTCAGATGGTGCGTCACCATAGCTTCTCTCCATCTCATCCAAACTTCTAACTCGGCAACACCATGCCCAACAGCGCCGTCCTACTTTTCGCAATACTTTCTCTGCCAGGTCAAGCAAGCCGAAGAGCACGGAGACGACATAGGAAGCGCCATTCGCACGCTATATATTGATCGCGACCCAGAGACGTTTCGCGACATTGCGCTCCATCTGCAGGGCTACCACGTCATGCCTCGCGACGGCACGCATTTCGTACGCCTCTTTGCTGATGCGCAATTCTACAGCCGTACGCCCCTTCACCCTTTACCCTCACGTGTTCAAGCCAAAAGCCTAAATCAGCTATTCACCACGAACACATGAACAGTCCCCAAGCTCATATCGCAGCTTTACGAAGAAAGCATCTTCATCTCCATCGGGCACCGAGAATTCCAAATCCCTCGCGACCTCCTTACCGACCCGCGCAACTCGCCAAACTACTTCTCCCTCGGCTTCGCCTTCTTCTTCTCCCGCCCAGACAACCTCTTCCCCGGCCTCGACCGCGAGGGTCTCATCCGGCCGCCGTCCATCCTGCCGCCCACGGTGCCGAACCGCAACGCCGACACCTTTGCCGACCTCCTGCGCCTGCTGCGCGGGTACCCCATCAACATCCGCGATGAGACGCACCGGCGCGAACTCCTCCGCGACGCCCGATACTTCCACTTCAAAGGCCTGGAGCAGCAACTCCTCCCGCACTCCATAGCGTACAACTCGGTCCGCGGCCACGACGAAATCACTCTTCGCCTGGAGAACGTCCAAAAGAGCGGCATCAGCATCCTCCAGGACCACCAGGCAGATGTCCCCGACGAAGACGGCATCAACGCCGGCGTCAACGCCGGCGTGAACTACGCGCGGCCCTACGTCGATGACAAGCCCGCCGAGCTGGTGCTCGAGATTGCCAACGAATCAAGCAGGATCCACTTCCTCCGCGACGGTCCGCGCCTCGAGCTCTTCAGGGACACAAAGACCCGCGTCGCCAAGCTGCTCGAGGTCATCGCTACGAAGCTGAACCTACCGCCCACCACACAGCCGCTAGGCCTGCTCATGGCCTCGGGCGGCGCGTCCTCGCAGCCCGCCACGCCCGGCAACACCCTGCTCAGCGAGGACTTGGTCCGGGTTATGCTGGGCCCCGACGCCGCCATCACCCTGGACGGCAATGAGTACGACCCCAGCTTCACCAGCGGCCCCGATTCCGACGACGCCAACGGCAACGCAGCCGGTCCGAGGAAGCGTAGGAGGATCACGGACGGCAGCGACAATAGCGAGACGTGGACCGTGGCCACGGGCCAGTGGAGGCTGCGGATACAAGCTAGCAGCGGCGGCAAGAGCGCCGTGGAGTGTGTCTTTGCCGCTGTCAAACTAGACTGTTTCTCTGACGAGAGGGGTCGGAATTCCCGCAAGTCGTTTCTGGTGTCGTAGCCGCGTGGACACACACACACACATAAACGGGCACACCGGAATTTGGAAGAGAGAAAGCCCCTGAAATATAGATGGCATTCCTGCTGCCCACCGGAAACTGGAGTTTAAAGGGGGACTGTACACATCGTTTGGATATTAAAGCGCGGGGGTGGGGGAATTGGAAAGAGCCGTATAGCTCGAACAGACGGGGCTTGTCGACGGCGTTGGTGGCAAAGTCCATGTTTTTCTGACACGGGGGTCACCATACCAAGCGCGGGAGGGCGTGTGTATCCATATAATCAACACTTTTCAGAGGAACAAATTTCCCATCATGTAACTCGACGGTATATTTTGAACGACTCAATAAGTCTCAGCACGCAACAAGCACAAAAACGCAACTGGGCTGCCCAGGCACCCAGCGGAACATCATGACATGACTTGTGATATTATGATGTCAACACCCACGCTCCACTAGTACCAATGAAGGAGATACCTACAACATGCCATGCATCCCAAGAAGAAGATAAAAAGAAGAGGGAAAAAGTCCAACGCCCATCGCCATGCCTGCCAAACAGTCCAATGCAATTATCAACATACACAACCCCAAACACGCTTGCCGGCCCCGATAACCCCCATCACCACCATGCTTCATTCATGACTTGAATCTCGGCGTAGCCTTTACCGTAGGAGCACTAACATCCCTCTTAGCCGGACGTCCCCGCGGCCCCGTCGCGACGGCTGCTACCTTTTTCCTTGGCGCAGCGGTCCCCTGCGCGGCACTCCTCGCTCGTCCCCTTCGCTCACGAATCTTGGCCAGCGCCTGCTCCCGCGTCATAGTCGGCGTCATGGCGGGGTCGTTGGAGTCAAAACTGGCGTTGCTGCCGTGTGAGGGTGTCCGCAGCCGCTCGTTGAACGACGAACTGGACCGGGCAGTTTCTTCTCGCAGAGGAATCGTTGTTGTGACGGTGAAGGAGGCTGTAGATGTGTGTGGGCGAGGTTCTGGGGACCCGGCGGGAGAGTAGCTCTGTTCTACGGATCCAACTGCTTCTTCCCTTGCCGGTTCTTCGTCCGCAACTACTGGGATACTGGGAATAGGAGGCAAAGGTGCCGACTGAGCATCGTCGTGCGGCGCGTCGAGAAGAAAATCTAGCGAGTTGCGCTCCTGCGCAAGAAGAGCAAATGAAGGAGGATCAACGGATGGTGTTCTGGCGTACATTCGGGGGCTGTGCCCTACTTCTGTGCTTGGCAACGGTTCGTCTGCTTGAGCTTCCTCCTCAATGGCAGGCTCAACAGCTACAGCGCACCTTTCCTGTGCTTGCATGGCTGCCGCTTCTTGCTCTGAAACCGTGCGGAAGATGCCTTCTTTCGGACAAAAGATGGTGCTTCGTCGTGGCTCTTTTCTGGACTTGATGCGCTGTTGTTCGGGTTCGACCTCGGGCTCGACCAGAGGCTCTTCTTGCTCTGGCTCTCTTGCTGGTTCGGGTTGGGGTTCTTGCCGATATTCCTCCAATCGCGCTGAGTTTCGCAGGGAACCGCGATGGGAGCTTCCATGCGAATTACGAGATGGCGCTCGTCGCGAATGTGGCGAATGCGGCGAATGCGGCGAATGCGACTCTTCTTTTACGACAACTGGGTGCTGTTCTTCTCCCTGCTCAACCGATACGCGTCGTCGCTTTTGCGGGGCCTCGATGCTCATTCTCGCATTATTGGTCTTGGAGCAAGGGCAGCAACGCATCTGACATTCAGCCTGAAGAAACTCAATCATCTCCTGGGCCCTCTCCGCGCGCTGTCTCTCCCAAAGAAGCTGCGTATTAAGCTCCTCAATCTCCATCTCGCTCGCGACAGAGGACATAATCTCCATAGTTGACAATGAAACTCGAGGCGCCGCCCGTCCACTCTGTCGTTTAGCGGGAATGGTCTTCTTCTTTGGCGACGAAAACTCGTCGGTGAGATCCTGAGACGGCGGTAGCGGGAGCCGGCCTTCGGCAGCAATGCGAGCTACTTCCTCGTTCTTAGCGGCCGTCTTGAAAGCATCTCGTTCTTGCTCCACGATCTTGATACGCTCGAGTGCCTTGTCCAGCTGCTCCTGAACGCCAACAATCTGGTACCGCGCAGTGAAAGCTTCCTGTTCCCTAATTTTGCTTCGCTCCTTTTCGCGCTGGAGGCTCTCCTCAACGGATTTGACTGAACTCCTGGCCGACTTGAGCTCCTCCTGCAATTTGACGATTGTAGACTGGCTCTTGAAGTTTTCTTTTCTCGCTCGTCGGATTTCCTTTTCCCACAGAGCCTGTGTATGTGCATGTGTTTCCTTGGCACGGCCATAGTTGTCCTGCGTGCCAGTCAGTCCTGACGGAGCTGCAACAACTCGGGAGCTGTACGTCAACCTACCATGACGGTTTCCAGTCTCTCTCCCACTTTCCTCTCACGCTCCTTTCCTTCCTCAATATCCTTCCTTAGAAGCATTAACTCATCCCGCATCCTCTTCAATTCCGCCTCTGCCTCCTCCCGTCCCACCACGGCTCGTTTCAGAGCTGCATCCGCCGTCTTGCGCTCCATTTGCTTCGATTGCATCGCGATACTGAGGTTGTTAAACTGATGGATCTTCTCGTGCACAGAACTGTCTCTGGCCTCGCCTCGACCCGAAGAGAATATTGAGTCACAGCGATTTACTCGGTCGGGAGTCACGGCCTGGAGGGGCCCCCCGGCGGGGGAACCAGGCATACTCAAGCTCGTATCCATTGACAAAACGGCTTTTATTTCGTGGTGTTCTTCTGTCGAATGTTTCGAATGTTCCGCTAGCATCCCGTCGTCTCCGTTTCATTCGGAGATGCTCGACGTTTGCTCAGTAGCTCAGCAGTTGCGGGAAGCAATGTAGTCACGGCGGTTAAAATTGCGGGTGGGATGATGTGGCGTTGTGCTGTTTACAGTTTCGTAAACTAGGCCCTATCTTATCAGTTGCCGTAGTAACGACATCACGTGACGAAAAAAATCATTCACAGCCAAACGGACGCCGTTAGTGGATTTCAAGTTGTTCATAAAGTGTGTACATTGTTTTTCATTATGCCGGTTGCATTCATTTACTAGCTGTAATAAAATGTGTTTTCCATTCAGGGAATTTCGCTCGTGAAGATCGTCTCTGGGGCTGCTGAACCGCCGTGGGAGTCAAGCTTTGTACGGAGGAGTATGCCACATCATCTCGGCCAATCACAGCAGCTACAATATGTGAAGCACATGCACGAGATAATCATCCCAGCTTGAATCGATGTATTGCATTCCAATTGAAGCATTATATTTCAAAAGTATAGATCCAGCCCATGTTAATAGCAAACTAACCATCTATAGTACGCGGCTAATACCGACAGTTTCACGCCACGTAGTAAAATCCTTAAAACCCGGTCCCAATCGGGTAGTCAAAAAGTGCCACTTGTCAAGTTGTCACAGCCCTGCTTCAACACTCCCTTGCTTACACCTACGTCACATGCCGTCTTCATACATCTCCCATTTATCCCCCGCAGCCTCTATTCTCCTGGTCGACAACTATCAATGCTGAGGTGACCGCGCGCCCTTCAAACTCAACCGCTACCAGCATGGCCGATGCCGAGCTTCGCCAGCGAAAGGCCGCCGGCCCAGCCTCCGATGACACACGCCCCAAATCATCTGAGCCGGAGCCAAAACCAAAATCTAGACGCCGCCTCGACGACGACGACGACGAGTACAGTCCCTGGGTGGACATTCTCCGCGTCCTATCTTTCCTCCTCGTCGCATCATGCGGCTTGAGCTACGTGATTAGCGGAGGCGAAAGCCTCTTCTGGGGCATGAAGGACAAGCCCCAGTACCTGCGTGTCGGGTGGTGGAAGTCCCAATTCGTAAGATGACCCCCCCTCATCCCGGGTGTTCAAACCCTCTCCTCATGAGCGGAAACTAATTCGTCTGTTTTCTTGCCTCAAGTCTGGGCCAATCTACCTCACCGAAAAGGAACTGCTGGCGTACGACGGCAGCGACGCCGAAAAACCACTGTACTTGGCCATCAACGGCACCATCTACGACGTCTCCAGCAACCGCAGGATGTACGGCCCCGGCGGCTCCTACAGCGTCTTTACGGGCCACGACGCTGCGCGCGGGTTTGTTACAGGGTGCTTCGCAGAGGACCGTACGGCTGATCTGAGGGGCTTGGAAGAGATGTTTCTGCCGGTGGACGACCCAGAGGTGGACAAATACTTCACCACGGCGGAGATGGAGAAGATGCGTGAGGAGGAGCTGGCCGCGGCCAGGGAGAAGGCGCACGGGGCGCTGCAGCACTGGGTCAAATTCTTCGCCAACAGTAAGAAGTATCATCGGGTGGGGTATGTCAAGAGGGAGGAAGGGTGGCTGGAGAAGTTGCCGAGGAGACAGCTGTGTGCGCAGGCGCAGAAAAGGAGACAGAAGAGGGTGCGTAAGCAGACTTGAGAAAATACAGCGTCGATTCTGTCATGACGTGATGCGAAGGTAGTTGTGGGAGGAATACTTTGCACGTCACATTTTGGAGAGATCATTTTACGATGAAATATCTGCTTTCGTTTCCCCGAGGTCCTACTGTCAGAGTAGTGTATGCCGGGTGATATGGTATGCAAAGAGTTGCAGCACTCCCAGATCCTCTCTAGTGGGAGATTCAGATGTTAAAAGACAAGAAAACTAATATTGGCTGCTCGGCAGCAAGGTATAAACAAGGCAAAAAGTATTAATATCCATCATCCATCAGGACCATCACGCCGCGTGACGTCGTCATCCCCACCCCCAATGCCATCAATTAAACCCAGAGTTTACAAGAACATGAATCCAACACCGAGGGCTATCAGTAGGGTGCTCGGTACAGCCAGGTTAATACCAGCACTAAGCGGAGCAGACTGTGTTGGGGACTGGTTTCCAACAGGGGTGGGAATGTTTTCAGAGCCAGGAGTAGTTGATCCTCCTTCGCCACTGCCGGAGCCGCCGTTAGGACCACCGCCAGGGGTGACGCCTTGTGCAGACTTGGCCAGGAGCCGGTAGTTCTCCAGAGACCGGCTACCGTTTGCGCTGGTGTTCTCATTGATGACCATTGACATGCCGTTTTGGCAATGGCGGCCCTGCACACAAACTACCCAGATGGGCGCGGTGCTGTTGACCATGACGGTATAGACGGGAATCATGCCCTTTTCGATGCTAGCCTTGGCAGGTTGGAAACCGGAGTCGAAGCCGGTCACGTTGGCATTGCTGCGGGAGATGGGTTGGCACTGCTGGTCGAAGGACGTCTGCATGGCGTTGTGGTTGCCATCCCAGAACTGGAATTGGACCATGTCGCCTTTCTGGGCGACAATCTTATCAGGGTAGAATTTTAGGCCAGTCTCGTTTGTGGCCATGTTTTTTCCGACATCGACTTTATGGACTTGTACGGCTGGACGGGGTCAGATTTTTTGTCATGAAGAAAATCGTTTCTACATGAGCGGCGTTCTTACCTTGAGCAACACTTAGCAGTGTGGCCAGAGCGAGAGTTGTGAACTGCATTTTGATGAAGGGGATTGCCGACTTGGGAGATTTCAAGTCGATATCGTTGAACCTTTTTCGAGTCGAACGAATGCTGTAATCACTCTTTCCAGAGAGCAATATTCGGAATCGTTTCGGTAACCAAAAGAGTGTTTAGTGTATGTAAAGGACTAGCCTTTTCGAAATAAATAGAACCAGTGAATGTGGTAAGAGATATGTTGTCTATATTAAAAGTAACACAGTTGGACAAGAAATTCACACAACAGGGAAAGACAAGTAAAGTAGTGCCCCAAAACTTGAAGACTGCTGGCCGCTGGAACACGGAAAGGAAAAGTGAAACTAGAGAAAGAGATCAAAGAGTGCGAAAGTGGAAACGGCGTGAATTTAAGACATGGTGTGATCGTCCCATTCTACTCATTGTCCCGAGGCGTCGTACGCACGACGTTGAGAGAAACATGAATCTCGGCGTGGCTCGCCCTGGTTGTCCCGAACTCTGAATCTGACAACAGGATGGTGAGTTTCCGGACAGGGTCTCCTGTCTCGGAATGGGAGAGTGACAGATTTCTCATGGGGCTGTTGAGGCGGGCAGAGAAGGGGCGAAGACAAGACCTATGGCATGTTTGAAGGCGGCAGTAGTCAGGCTGAGAAGTGTTTGGCTAGTGTAACATTGAAGGCATGGTGGTGATGGCGCCGCCTCTGACCGGGCATTACTCTTGCAGTAGTTTCTGCGAGAGCCCCCCTTGAAGCGACCAGCAACTTGTCTTTTTCTTGAGCTGTTGGGCATCATTCATATTCAGGTTGATTTTCCATCGACCTGTGGCTGTATTAGAGCTGCACTACGAGTCTCAACACGTTTATCCAGAACAAACCAGCTGCCCATCTTGGCGACACGATTCAACGGCCCTACAACAGCTGGCAACGCTTGGGGATTCGAAGCAGCCACGGAACCACAGAGCCCGAACAAGTCCATGGCCATGGTGAGGCTCTGCCAAGGAGGTCTGATGTCGGATGCGCGCCGCATGTTGAAGTGGCTCCGACAGACGCGAGACGGCCCCGGTTTCAGTCCCGCAGGAGTCAGGAACCGCAGCTGCGACGCGACACATGTGGCCGCACCTAACGAATCAGGCACGTTCGAAAGCCATCACGCCCAGACGGGTAAGCCTTCGAAATGAAAATATTTGTCCGGAATTGGGCTGACGGCAGACGCCAAGGCGGCCAAGGCGGCCGACCTAGTATGAAGAAAATCATCTCTTGCATATGAAGTGCAGGTTGTTATGCTGCGCCTGCCCGTGGATTGGATGAAGTCGACTGGCCGCAGCCTCGGAGGTGTCGCGGCCCGGAGACGCAGTGGGCCTGGCTTGCGGCTTGCCGTAATTATGACAGGAACACTGAAGCCTTGGAACTCCATGAAACCATCACGACTGGCTTGCGTTGCTCCATCTGCCACATGTTGGCTCATCTGGGAGAATGGAAAATACGTGTATTCATGCAGTCTTGTTCACAGAGCTGTATAACTATGCAGTCATCATACGCAGAATACCCGCACTTGCCTCCGTCGTAGAACCGACGTCTTTGCGAACCAACCCCGCGTTAAATAGGCCTCCAATCCTCAACCACGTAGATACTGCTACACAGAACGCCTCGAGCTTCGCCGACGGAACAGTGTCGTTTCAGACACCCAGCCACAGCGGCGGTGAGCCTGGAGAAACACCGCCATCATAATCAATTATCTCTCAAACACGATTTGCCGTAGTTCATTCGTCCTTAAGCATCTTCCTCCCAATGACGCGTCTGAGTGATCAGCGTACAATTAGAAGATCCAATAAGTTGGGACGAAGCGTTTCGAGATTTGCGGCCGCCGCCCAAGGCTAGGAACGATTATGCCGAAATAATAAACGGGCGGCGCAAGAAAACCCAAAAATAGTAGCACATTTTGAATCAGTCTACTCGTCCTTCAATGACATGCTTGCGACTCTTATGTCCATTGATTATCTCATGTACTGCTCCACCCTCTTACGTGCGAGCCAGCTTTTGCCGAAATCTTTGTCGTTGTCGTCAATAAGTATGTCTTGTCGATACCTAACGAAGGACGTTCAAGGCTCATGCGTCGCACACGGAATGGACGAATTCGGTATTAGGCCTCGTTTTACTTCCGAGCCGTGAACAGATATCAGGCGGCTAACAAAAGCCGGACAAAACCCATAATCGAGATGGCTGACGGCGCACCATTCTTCAAAGCGCCGCTGAAGCATCAATCGGCCAAAAAAAGTTTGCCTCATGCTCCTGGTCAATGACCACGGACTTGACGACCAGTAACGGTTGGCAACGCCGCGCGAGTGCTGCATGACTGAGAGCCAACATGAAGAGAATATCAGTCGCTCTCCTGCATCAGGGCAGGGACTTCAACAGTTCATAGATCCAGCAACAGTTGCGGTGCAATCTTTTCCAAATCGTCCACCTCCAAAACCGTCAGTCGAACCCGAGTACTGGGCCAGTAGACAAAACTTACCTCCAAGAAGCCGGCATTTTTCTCCACAGCTGCTCTAGCAATAGCTTCTCTCACAAAGATATCCATGTATTTGCCAACAGCCGCATTCGCATCACGAGATATTCTTGTAGAGTCCTTAGCGAAGAACTCATGCAAGATGCGGGTCAGTAGGTCCCTGGGTATCGATTTCTCGGGCGGTGGTGCGTCATCGGTATCAATTCGTGCGTCCTGGGCTTCGGCCTGGTCGTCTGAAGACTCGAACGGATCGCTAGCTTCGGAGGATGCCGTCTCAGTCGACTGACTTCGGCCCGTGGCACCCTTGGGCCGTCCTCGGCCGCGAGTGGAAGATCCTCTTGGAGGCATCATGGAACTAAAATGTCGTCGCAGCCGTGAACCAAGAACGAGCCATAGACACGGTGGCACTACTGAGATCAGTCGTTGCCGAGGGTAGCGACACGATTAATATGTTGAAACAGAAACGCGTCTAGACTCCAGTGTGACAGCATTAGTCATCAACAGGCCCTCCGAAGTGCGAGCAATTGGTTATATGCCACGTCATAGAAAACTATACTCACGCGCAACCAGGATTTAATATTAACCGTGACCACGAGTACAACCACGCAAATATGTAGTAACATCAAGGGAAATTGCATTGGTGTATAAATTACAGCGACCTAGAAAAAGCTCGGCAGAGCCGAAGGACAAATACGCCATGCCGATGCCAGTCTAACCCGCAAAGAGCATCTGTTGCACAGAAACACAAGGAACATTTTCTTTGTCCCAACTTCCCTCTCTGCCAGAGCCCACATCTCCATTTTTATCTGTCGGCAGTCATCGCATCAAGCCCACCGATTACGAACCAGTCTCCCATCTCTCCAGCGTAAACTAGTCTATACAGGAATTAAGGAAAATTGTTTAACCAGAGCCGCCCTTGAAGGCCTTTCCGAAGAGGATGAGCTGGAGCTGATCGTAGATAGACAGGACACCAGCACCGGCAACACCACGGAGAATGTTGGCACCGGCACCGTTAAACAGGGACTTGACACCGTTCTTGGCAATGATCTGGCGGGCAGCATCGAGGGAGTTCTTGTACTTGACAGCCTCACCAGAGGTCATCATCATGCGACGACGGATGGTGTCCAGAGGGTAGGCAGCGATACCGGCACCAGTGGTGACACACCAACCGAGCATGAAAGAGGCAAGGAAGTTGTTGGCGAGGTTACCGACCAGGAGAACAGGCTTGATAGAGTCGTACATGCCGAAGTACAGACCACGGTAGACAATGATACCAGCGACGGAGGGCATGAAACCACGGTACAGACCGGCAACACCGTCAGAGGCGAGGGTCTTGCGGTAGACATCGACGAGGCCGTTGAACTGACGCTCACCACCAGACTTGGCGGACTTGGCGTCGTTGGCAAGACGGGTACGGGCATAATCCAGAGAGTAGACGAAAAGCATAGAAGTGGCACCAGCAGCCTGCAAGTTTTGTCAGCAGTTGGACTAGAATAAAATGGATCAGGTTTCAACATACACCGCCAGAGGCCAAGTTACCGGCCATCCACATGGCATAACCATCACGCTCCTTCTTGAAGCCGAACATCTTCTTGAACTTGTCGCGGAAAGCGAAGTTCAGAGCCTGAGTAGGGAAGTATCGGATGACGTTGGCAGTGTTGCCACGCCACAAGGACATGACACCCTCATCAGCCATGGTACGCTTAAAGCAGTCGGTGATGCCATTGTAGCGGCGATCAAGACGACCAGCCTTGATCATTTCATCCTGGTTCTGGATCAGGAGCTTGACACGCTCGATGGGGGCAGCGGCGGTCTTCGAGACGGCGGCAGAGACACCACCCACTGTGAGACAATTAGTATCTGTAGGTATGAAGTGTGGGATGTCTTTGTGTTTGCAAGAGATAAGCACTTGGCGGCACGACCACAGTTGTTGTGACAGCGCTCATCGGCTTGCGTCCGCAAATTCTAAATGTAGAAACGTACTCAAGAAGTCGGCCACGAAGGGCTGTGGACACATGATAGGTTAGCCAATGTCTGATTCCATGTGACGATGAAAATTTCTGCCCCGGAATAGCCGTTGAGCGAAACGAGAGACGGCGCAGGCGACGGCAGGGAACGGATACGACGCATCGACAATCGCAACATGAAGGCCGGGCCATGGTTATTCAATTGATCGTAGACGCCCAATTGAATATCACAAAGGTCGTCCGCATTTCTGCCCAGGCTACCCCTATCGCAAGCGCGGCATTTCACGGACCAAGGGGGGAATCGCAGAAAGGGGCAGGGTTGCTTACCGGCATGCCCAAGACCTTCTGAGGCTGTTCACCAGACATTTTGACGGTTGTACTTTATCTGAAGACAAGACAAAGGACTGAGGGGAGATGGATGAAGGAGAGAAGGAAAGGGAAGGTGTACGGGCAGTCGAGCGAAATAAATTCTGCACCGGCTGGCGGACGGGTTTGGGGGGAGAGGAAAAAAATTGCGGCGGAGCCTGGACGGGGACTGGTTTTGAGCGAATCTACCCGGACGGCGCTAGAGCCAGCAGTTGGATCCTCAGGTACCCAGGAGAGTACCCTAATTACGCTATGCAGCTACGTACCTTCCCAGGTACCCTCGCCCTTGACCCCAGGGTGCTGGCTCGTTTTCCACGGCAACAGCGCGCTTCGTGCTTCTTGGCAGCCTCAGGCCCGAAGGAGTAAGTACTGGCACCGAGGTACGGGGTACAAGCGCTGTACCTGGGAGGTACTTGTGAGAATTGCTGTGGCTCAGGCCTGGCCGTGCCTGCGGTCGAGAGGTACTTGCCAAATACAACGGTCTGCGGCTGGTTGCACTGGCGCTCGCCTCAAGTCCCTCAAGTCACTTGAATCTCACGTTGTAAAGTCCCTGTCTCGAGAGATGGAGCCTCGCGAGGCCTGAGATCCGGTTCAGCCCGAACTTTTTTCTCAGACACCTGGCCTTGATTGTGACCAGACGCCTGGAGCCTCACGGCTGGCTACACGGTCCAGTTGCTTGTCTGGGCGACCCCGGCCAACCACGTCCAGCTGTTAAAAAAAAAGAAGCGCAGGCTGTGCCAACCATCGCGAGCTGGGCAATTGACAATGCTTGGGTTAAAGGAACGCGCATGTGAGAGAGAGTCACTGGTCTTTTACTGTTCCCCATGCCCCTACTCCAGATTCCAGACTCCTGGATCGGGCCCCTTCCAAAGTCTCGATTTTGCTTACGGCGATACGGAGTACCGGAACTGCACAAACACCACTGTGAGCCCTACCATCCATCACTGGTGCCAACGTCTATGCGTGACGATGCCTGGACCTCATGACCGTCGATTCTTCCACTGCTCTATGACTCGGCTTTGTCCTCCTCGACCCAGCCATGCCCCCTCTTCTTGATGCCTCCTACGCATCAACCATGGCATCGTGGCATAATGTGCACATGAAGAGAGAAACTATGTAGTAATTGCATTGGCCATTGGTCCCTTGGCCAGCCAGGTGAGTCGCGCAAATTGCATCGTCGGCTCGTGGCGACGGTGCGACTCGGATAAGGAACAGTGGTGAACCACCATGACCGACTGTCATCCCGTGGCCGTATCCACAACTTCAATGTTGCCCCAGGGAGGCGAGCCTGGGCTAAAACAAACCAGACCAGGCTTGACTTTTTCCAGTCATCTTGTTGTCCTCCAGGTACGGAGTAAAAGTATGGGGCATTACTCCGTACAACAATCGCAGACACGGAGTATGGAGTCCATGTCCCTTGGGCCGACAGGAGTACATGACAAGTACATGCCCGTGCATGGTAGCATCCGAGCCGCCACATGGAGCCTCCGAGGCTCAACTTGAAGTTTTTCCCTTGGACCCTCCACTCTACCCCCGACGCCAATCGACTCAAGATGCAAAATACAATAGGAGACATTCGCTGAAATGGACTATGCTACGGAGTGCGCGCCATTACTCCCACTCTAAATAAAGACATTACTCGTCCTGTCTTCATTTGCCCTGTGGAGCAATCCCTGTTCTGGAATATCAAGTTCGGCTGACCCAGCGTCCAGCGGAACACCCGACAATTGAAATCCGTGATAGCCTTGTCTGGCGTCTTTCGGCATTCGATAGATCTTGCGCTCTTTTGTCGCTACCACTTCCTCTAATTGACTTTCTATTGACCTTCATTCTAGTAAACCTTTCTCATCGACACAACGCTCCGGGTGATGTCGACGGGATGCAACTCTCAAGACCTAGCTGTGCTTGAGCGAGGCGTGGTCTCTGGTCAAGAAACCCACAAGTAACAACTGTTCCATTTAGATACATGCTCTACGGATGCTCATTCGTTTTGTTCAATACTATGCCGAGTAGATGCTCAGGACTAATCCCAGGACCTGGTTTCTCTCCTTCAACAACGCACATCATGACCCCGGTACTACTGCTCCATGAAGCTTTTACAGAGATTATTCCAGTGCAGCCGATATTGTAGGGTGCGTCTATTCAGCGTGCGAGATGAACAGTATTGTACTTAGAATGGAGACGTACTCCCTGTCCCTGACTGATCCACTACCTGCCCAGGCATATAAACCGAGGCAGGCACGAACGTTGAAGCCTGTTCCTGTACGGAGCAGAGGATGATGCAATTGAACAAATTCTGTGATCCGCAGTAGGCAGCTGGAACTGCCTCATCCATAACTAAGGCTCTGATACAGAACATGGCAGGTGTGTGGACGCCTAGTCTAACCAGTCATGAGTATCATCAACAGCTTACCAGGCGAGCCTTCGTACAACAGCGAGCTACATCTCATACTTGATATGATGATAGATAATAGCCTACAGTGAGAGTCACAAGCATTCGATCAGGCTAGTCGTCATGGCGGAACAAAGAGTCGTCAAATTCTTCTGGCCACAGACTGTAGTACAGAAGACATGACTACAAGTCGTCCAATGTCCAACTAGACCATCACAGGAGACGCTATTCACAAGGCCGAGAGGAGCAATTTGATATTGTTTCAAGATCTTTCATTCCATTGTCGTATGCTAAAGCACAATTCCGGTCCCAAGGTATGGTATAATACCGAGTATGAATTCGTCCCAACCAGGCTTTTTATCTGCCGTTGAAAAAAAACCGTCCACTCTAATGACTGCTGAGATGGTTGCGGGCCACTCAGACACCGTTACTCCAGACACACAACGTTTTTTCCTTGCCGATTTTAGGAACCACCGACAGCGCGGGCTAGATAATGTCAGCATTTCATACTTGCATCTCTCCGAATCTCGGGTATTTCGAGTGGCTCATGGGTGTGGTGCATACTGTAGATCTTCATTTTGCTGTGGGTGACAACGGGCTTGATGAGGCCCTTCTCCTCGAGGTCAGCAAGGCACTTGCGAGCCAGAGAACCGTTGACCTTCATTCTGTCGACGAGGGTGGCGACAGTGACCAGACGGTAGGACTGGACATCCTTGTAGAGCTTCTCGGATGTCGTCTTGTCGAGAAGGACGGCGTGCTGAGCCTTGTCCTTGACCTTGCCCTTCGACCACTTCTTCTTTTGCTTCTTAGCTCCAGCAGCAGGCGCCTATAAATTCGCGAGCAGAATCCTGTATCAGCATTTCGATATTCTCTTCGAAAAATACCATCTCCTCTCGTTCAGGCTCATGATAGAAACATAGCGCCTCTAGAGGGACGGGGGGAGGGGATCTCGCTTGGCGTACCATTTTGATCTGTTGTGCTTGACGTTGACGGGAGTGTGGAGGAGAAAGGGGATTTTTTCACCAACTTGAAGCCAAAGTCATTCCCACTCGGAGTGGCGGGCGAAGCGGCCCCCCTCTGTTACGCAGCTGGATTGGAGTTTCGCCCAGGGCAGGCTTGCCCTAACACAACAAGTGCGTATGGTACGTACCGAAATTTTTGCGCAACCTGATTCGTCAGCCGCACCCACCACCAAAATTTCCCAAGCCCTACTCTCGCTCGCAGCCGAAAGGGACGCAGCCCATTCTCCAAACCCTCCCGAAAAAAATACCATCTCGCCAACCTGCAATACTAACCCGCAGTCCGCCCGCCAGATCGAGGATATATTTTCGACTGCAACACAGCCAAAATGTCTGACGGTGGCGATATCGAGGTCGAGAACACTGTCGTCTCTGACGTCCTCCCCAAGGATGTTGTCAAGGAGGTCGGCAACATCAAGTTGTTCAACAAGTGGGACTACGATGTCGAGGTTCGCGACATCTCTCTGACGTACGTTACGATACCACATGGGGTTTTTTTTCCGGGACTGGAAGGAATGGATTTTGGGCTCAATGGAGGAATTTAATGCTGATGGATTCTATCTGCGAACAGTGACTACATTTCCCTGCGAAACCCCGTCTATGTCACCCACTCTGCTGGCCGATATGCCGTCAAGCGATTCCGCAAGGCCAACTGCCCCATCATTGAGCGATTGACCAACTCACTCATGATGCACGGCCGCAACAACGGCAAGAAGCTGATGGCTGTCCGCATTGTCGCCCACGCTTTCGAGATTGTACGTTTTTTTCCCAACCCCGCGACGCCGGTATAAATAAACGGTCATGTCATGATAGCCTGTTCGGCATGATTTTCCCCCTTGAAACATGTACACAGGGACTAGAAGAATAAGGCGTTATCAGTCTAACACGGCGCATTTTTAGATCCACCTCATGACCGACCAGAACCCCATCCAGGTCGCCGTCGACGCCATCGTCAACTGCGGTCCCCGCGAAGACTCTACCCGAATTGGCTCCGCCGGTACCGTCCGACGACAAGCTGTCGATGTTTCTCCTCTCCGCCGTGTCAACCAAGCCATTGCCCTGCTCACCACTGGTGCCCGTGAGGCCGCTTTCCGCAACGTCAAGTCGATTGCCGAGTGCCTCGCCGAAGAGCTGATCAATGCCGCAAAGGGCAGCAGCAACTCCTACGCTATCAAGAAGAAGGACGAGTTGGAGCGTGTAGCCAAGAGCAACCGATAAATTACCTTTTGCTACTCGGAGAAGAGGGGAAAGGATTTATTTGGTATTGTCTGGAAAGAAGGAAAAGGCGGGGATGTGGGGGATTTTCATGGCGTGGTTCTGGCATCCTTGAAGAATTGCATTTGTGCGTTTCGGGTCTGGGAACGCGTAACGGCTATGGATTTGTCACAAATCGCTCTAGAGTCTCAATAAAAAGTTGGCTCGGAAAGAGTGTAAATGAATTTAACGCCCTTTGCACCTGTACCATACACCGCTCTTGGTGAATGCAAATCCCAATTTCCATATTTAGTCACGTTAAGGAGTAGGAGGGATAGCAGAGTGCTAATGTTGGATTTGAATTGCTCTAGTGGCCAAATGAATTGCCAACGGAGCCCGCATCCAGGCCTCAACCTGATAACCGAAAGACTATGTAGTCTCGTCTAAAATCTAAAATGCGGACATGACATCAGACATCGTAATTTGTTAAATGCAGCTCGCTCACCAACGTGTTGACGTGGCGCAAATGTCCCTAAATACGGACCCCTTTGGGGCTGACCTCCAACCGTTTAAACATGCCGACGTGAGGGATTCCTTCTTCCCACCACTTGCCCATGCCCTTGTCGACCCGGAAACCCAACTTTGCCCACGTTCCCACACTCTGCTCCTGGGCATGAACACAGACAAGACCACCCCACTTGGGTATCTCTGTCTCGGTCGATGCACCCATCTGCTCGAGGCCCAACTCGGTGATGCTCGGGTCGAAGAACGACGGGTTGGACCGCAGCCACGACAGGGCCGTTTGAACGAGAAGTCCGGAGAGGCCGTTGCCCCGGTATTCCTTGACGACAGCTAGTCGGCCTAGTTTGATGTACGGTTCCCTTCCGTCGTGGAAGGATGTCGGGCGGTCTAATCCAGAATTTGCTGACAGGGAGCTGATATCAGGTGTGCCGTGTTCCTTCTTATTCCGCAGCTGGCCGTTCCAGTATTCACCTCCAATCTTGGGGTGGTTTGCATGGGGGAACGGGACCAGGCGAATGGTCCCGATGGGCGTCGTTCGAGTTGAACTTTTGCGTGGCTGGATGACATTTCCATCCTCATCCCGTACCTCTGTTTCTTCCGTCTTGTTGACACTGGCGTATACTACCCAGTGGCAGGATCGGGAATCGTCACTGTCTTGCTCATTCTCCAGGGGCACGTTTTGCTCTTGTACAAAGACGCTCTCGCGGACCTCCATGGCGTCTATGAAGACTTTTGGTATACTTGGTGGTTGCTCGTTGTGTGGTTTTCCCGGCTCCAAGCCCTCGAGCTTGCTAGGCTCTAGCAGCGAGATGAAGGGTGTGCCCATTGTCGCCGAGTGGGCATGTATGTCTCGGTATGTAGCTTCGGGTTTGCAAGATGCAAGAGAGAGAGAGAGAGAGAGAGAGAATGACCGTGTGGGATTTGGCAGAAAAACCTATAATCGATAAACAGCTCGAGTGTAAATCAATTTTGGTGCCCGTGAATATCTGATGCCCGTTGTAAAGTAAAAGAAGGCGTGCTTCTGCGCGGGGACTTTGCAGGCCCAAATGATGTGATGTTGATGTGCACTTTTGAGGGGGGCTGATTAGATATGAGGATCAGCGCCATGGAAGGTTGCAAGGCGACAAGGGGTCTGGTGGTAACGAATGATATTGTGCACCAATCAACAATACGGAGTCCTTTGTTCGAACGAGCCTCGCAGAGTTTGTGCTTTATTGTCCAATGGTGTAAATATAATGCCTCTCTGGCAATGAGCAGAGACGTCTTGGTCTGTTGCTGGTGGCTTACCGCCTCTCACGGAATGTGGGCACTATTGTTTCAATGTTGGGCAAAAAGCGCTCTCGTCCAAGTATGGAGAACGGAGTACCGCGACTTGATGAGTACAGGCAAGGTGGAGCGAACCTGCATTGATTAATGGATTCATGGCATTGACGTGGGCTCGCATCTCGTGTGTCGGTTCACGCAATAAGATTATTTATCAAGGAGCATCCGGGGAATCTCCGCCATGATCCCACATCGGCCGGGGATGGATGACTGTCACGGCATACAAGTCTTGGGAGTTGCTCTGCAGAGAGAGGGTGTTTTGTTTCGTTGATTGTGAAAGGTTATAGATATAACACACTGGCCTAAAGCTCATGAGCATGGTGCAGTTTCAAGCTACCTTTACATGGCTGACTGGCTTTGGCACACTCGGACACTGGCCTTGGGTATGGGTCGAAGTTTTTTTCCAATATGGCCAACTACAATATCCGGTAGCAGAACCTATTTGGCCACTTTCCAGCATGCACTAGCATATAACAGTATACAATCGTGTATTGACCAGACATGATCGTATTTGATGCTAGGCTGGCGGCCCACCCGGCCGGATACCTTTGGCCTTACTGGATAATATTCCACTTCGCTGTTGCAGGTATAATGCAAGATCCAATTGACTAAAGTACTAAGTACCTAGGTACCTGGGCAGGTCTCGGATACCTAAGCTTGGCAGGGCAGAGGGCGTAACTTCAGAAAAGTGTCGCCAAACCACACTTTAAAAACCCGCTTCCCTTGCCCAGAGTCTGAAGTGATTTTTTTTTTTCTTACAGTTAGATGGACGCTAAACAGGGGACATGGAATTATTGTGGTGATCATTTCATGAGGTCCTACAGCACAATGGCTTTTTACTGTCCACAGTTGACATTGAGCAGTGGGAACGGCCGGTTCATGCATTCACGGTTCATGTCGCGTATGACCCGCCAACCGCTCATTAGAAAGTTTATTTTCTACAAGACCTGCATTGTCCCTGGCACGCTGTCTCCAACGCCGGACAACGTAGTAGTGAATCCCATATCCCATCAGTGCCATCGTCGACCAACCTTGCGATGTGTAGGGTAGTCAGTCCCATTACTGCACACCTACGACCTTGACCTACTTAGGTACTTAGGTACAGACGGGTCCCACACCCGGGTCTTCAACCACAGGCGCAAACATTGAACGCAGAACCACATGGCCGGGGAAAGCTAACGTGTCTCGTGCAGAGCCTCAGACACGTTATGTATTCCGTGACACTTGTGACACTTGTGACACTTGTGACACCGTGACACTCTGTCTCTTGTTGGTAACGTCGGAGTGCGTGTTCGAGAGTCAGAAGTGCATGAAAATACTACTCATCTGAACGCCCCTGCGGACTGGTCTTGTTGGGTCGATATGGCTGGCTGGCTGCCCCACCGCAGCACGACAAGCGGCGGGCCGTGCACCAGAGCACCAGAGGACGAGAGGGCATCTGGACGAGAGAAGGGCCTCAGGGGTCGACGAATCCGGGGCGGGGGGCTTGCGGCACCTGGCGCGCTGGCGTGCTGGTGTGCACATGCGCTGGCTAGAACCGTCAATCATCATCGATATCACAAAAAGAGATATGGACCCTCATCTCGACAAAGTACTAGACTTCTGTACTCCGTACTTTCTTTTCTTCAGCCAGAATCTGCGCACTCAAATATTGCCCCCTTCTGGTTTCGTAGCCTCGCATGTTGATTATCGTCCTCTTTTTTGCATTTTTTTTCCACACCAACGCTCCCCCCCTTTCGCATTGCTGACTTTTGTGGTATTTCCCGACACAAAGTAGTTCTTCGAGTACTGGCAGAGTGAGGTTGCCCAGTTTGGACTGGGCGCCGGTGATAATCGATAAAGAACCCTGCTAGTCAACGCTTGTCTTCAGGGGTTTGCCTGCGCACCCCAAAGCATAAGAGCCAAGGTGGCAAGCACCCTCGCCCAGGTGCATGGCTAAGGTCCAAAGGACCCCAGCCGTCGGTGAGTTATCTCGTGTGCCTTTCGGCCTCCCCAACCCCTAAGGCTTTTTTTTTTTCTTAAAAAATCAAATCAATGACAAGCGTGAACAGTCCGCCGATCGAGGACCATTGATGCTGTCGCCCTGCCCCTGAGCAGCGAGTGCGTTCGGTGTAAGCCTGGCAGCCGCATTCGCAACCCGTTGGTCTCCCCATCAATTGTCCCGGGCTCCAACATTCAAAGCTTTACCGATTACGATATCGCCCATCGCCAGATTGCCTCGGCGCAGGTGAGCGCCAACGCTGGAGTTCGATGCCCTGGCAGCCTCTCCCTCGGATCGCATTTGCTGTTGCGACATTCCCCTTTGCTGCTGAGAGTCCGGCCGACCTGCCGCTTGAAATTGGCGATGAGCTCTACATTATCGAGGAGACGCCAGACGGAAACTGGCTGCGGGGGTACTTGGTCGCGCCGCCGAGCTTGCTTGCCGGCCTAACTTCGGTCAAGGGACAAACTCTGGAAGCTCGAGTGTTCAGTGGCATCTTTCCCCGTAGCTGTGTTGAAGTTCGAGAAATGCTAGGGGAATCCGACGAGCGGGACGACCAAGACCAGGACCAAGAATCCCATGCAGACGAAAACCCAGATACAGGAAGCCCCCGACCTGCTAGTGACTCAGCCAAGAGCGGCATCACCGGGGGCGAGCCCAGGAAAGCTACTTCTCCCATCAATGCTGTTGTTGGCCCGGACAAGGGACGAAAACCATTGTCAGAACTAAGCAATGGCACTTTGGAGAATCTATCCGCACCTGTGAAGCGAGACCCAACCGCGCCAAAACCCGCCGCACCGGTTCCCTTACTAAAAATTGGGGACGAAACCCCGACATCTGCAGAGGAGCCTTTAATTGACGAGATTGCATCGTGTCTGAGAGAGTGGCATTCCAAGAATCTTCACGAGCTCCTCCTCTCTAGACAATACCGGGACCTAGACAAGCTCTCCGAGCTTATTACTAGCCTCAACCTCAACAGACAGCAATTCTTGTACAATGTTCTCACCTCTCATGAATACGACCGTCTACGAGAGAAGACAGTATGGGATTTGGTGCGAGTGAACAAGCTCTGTGGAGGCGAAGTCATTGTTCGTGATCCAGTCGAACGTGGGCGTATTCTGACTGGAGATGATTCTGTTGTTGGGATAACTCGACTTCAGTCTGTCATGACTCTTCTCGATGAGCCGCCGCAGCCAACTCTCGAACTGACTAGCCTCCACCATCTGCTCCTTGACGTCAAGGGCTTCGCTGGATCGTCATCTGAAGCCACAACCTTGGTGGTTTACCTGGTCACGAAGCCACAGTTTGAAGCCCTATCGACCCTATCGGAGTCATTCGCCGTTGATGTCCCTGCGGGCGGCACAATTGGCGGTATCGCCCAAGAGTCAGCATCGCGAACTCTCTTTATTGATCTTTCCGCTCACGATATAGGCGACTCAACGTCGGCCGAATCTGATTTGTATTTAGTAGTAAAGGTTCTTGCTTCGCAGCAGGTGCTGCCAGACAAGCCAATCTCAAGGTCTGGAACGGCCACAGAAGGATCATTTCCAAGAGAAAACTCCAAAACCCCTACTTCTAGCGTATCCAAATCCACTAGGCGAAGCTTGATGTGGGGGAGCAAGCCTGGACGTTCTACTCTCTCTCGAGGCTCAGTCCTCCCCAAAAAGGAATCTTTTGAGCAGCAAGGCCCGCGCCCCGTGACGACATCGGATGGTTATGGGCCTCCTAGCACGGCTAGCTCAAAGAATGGAACAGGCAATCCAGAAGTAGCCCAAACAGTACAACGCACTGTTGGAGTTGGCATCTTGAAAGTGAACTCGATAATGAAGCAAGGGGAAGAGGTTGAGCAGCTTGTTAATATCTGGTCACCGGTGAATGGTCGGGCATCAACGGAAAGGGATATGGATGACGACTTTGATCCACTCATCCTGGAGCTCATGGACAATGCCGCAGGACGATATGAAAGGTCACGTAGAGGTGAAAGGCTACAAGTCTCCCTGCAAGCATTCGACCACCCTGACGCAGACGCCCTGATCAAAGCGACACCGACACTATTATCTGGCATTTGCCAAACGAATAGAATGGGCTTCTCTGGAGCCCCAACGAAGCCAAGATCTGATATTTATCTCACAATCAACACAGCTTCTTTGGCACGCCAGCATCTGTTATCTCGATATGGAGGAAGCGCAACCACTATGCCCTCTGGAATCCAAGGCAACAACTTCCAAGTTACCGTAGAGGTTCGTGCACCTTCTGGTCAGCGATTCGAAAACTCCATCTATGCTGGCTCCAACAAGGACCCAGTGACGACGTTCAAGACTGCAGCTGCAGAACGAGGAGAAGCCTGGAACCAGACACTCAGACTTTCATTGTCGCCGGCTGATGTATCCACGGCACACGTTGTCATGTTCTTGTGTGACGTGCCCGGCCCTCCTTTCGCTGTCGCCCATATGCCCTTGTGGGATAGACAGGCATTCATCCGGGATGGCCGCCATGGGCTGCTTCTCTATAAGATAGATGAAAACACTTCAACAGCCCAAGCAGGCCCAACCGGCAAGGGTGGGTATTTATCCGTGCCTTGGGCTCCTCGAGGGAGGGACGAACACTCTGAAAATGTAACGGGTCCGTTGGCCGTGTTGAACGTCAATACATTTCTCTGCAGCACACGATTCTCCCAGGACAGAATCATCCTTGGCCTTGTCAAATGGAAAGATTTGCCAGGAGAAGAAGTTTCCGCAGTCTTGAGACAGTTGATGTTTGTACCTGAAATTGAGGTGGTCAAACTGCTCAGCGACGTGCTTGACGGACTGTTCGGAATTCTGGTCCAACACTCCGGGAACAACGAGTTTGAAGACCTGGTTTTCACTGCATTGGTCAGAGTCTTAGGCATTGTGCATGATCGTCGATTCAATCTAGGCCCTCTGGTTGATCAATATGCAGAAACTCAGTTCAACTACCCCTTTGCTACTTCGGGCCTCGTCAGTTCATTTGCGCGTCTGCTAGACAAGCCAACTGAGCCAGAAACCTCTCGAAATCTTCGGTCTACATTTAAGGTTGTTAGGCACATTTTGAAGTTCATCACTCATGCTCGAAAGCAGCAAAAGGTCAAGGAAGCGGGCATCGGAATCACATCTTCACCACAAGGGTTCACTCGACAGCTTCGTTCCATTTTCAAGGCTCTCGACCGCATGATGCGAAATCCTGCCCCTGTTCTTGTTGGTAGTCAAACATTGGCAGTGCAACACTTTCACACTTGGCTGCCGGAGCTTACGGGCTTGCTGAATACCGAGGAGATCACCCACATTGCCATTGACTTCATGGATTCTTGCACTCAAGTCAAGGGCAAATTGATCTTGTACAAATTGGTTCTCGTCATCAACTATTCCAAGCTGGAGCTTTTTGCCCACCCAGATCAAAAGTCTGCACTGTGTGCCAACACGGTCCGCTGGATATCGCCGCATTGGGGCCATGTTGAAGAAGTCACGGAACAGTGGCGGGAGCAGGTGCGTCTCTGCTGCTCTGTGATTGCTAGCCAGGCCGATTACTTGGGCCCCGAAATACCGGATCATATACCGAGGATCATCGATTCGTACCTGTCGTTGTTATCGTTGCCCCCGAAACCCCGAAAGCGACTCTCGCTCCTCTTCCCATCGGCCTACCCTTTCCCCTCGAGGCCTGTTTCTGCTAATCTCACATTCGACGAGAGCCTGGCAGAACTGTCCGCAATTCTCTCTGCCATATCCAATTCCACCGCCGGGATGCAGCTTGAGTTGGCGGCCGAGGCTGATCAGGGTACCATCTTGGAGAACTTGCTGCGCGTGCATATGAGCATACTCTCAGGCGAAGCTTTCCCCGCCGGCTGGCTCAGTCTGCACATCTTCCATCACAAGTCGACTATGCGCACTCTACAGTACGTGGCCACCCTCATGCTGGAATCGTTCCTACCAGACCCTGATGAGGCCGAGACTTTCAATATGGAGCTGTGGAAACTATTCTTTACAACACTCCTCAAATTGGTGGGTAGCACGTCTCTGGCGTTGGAAACGTTCCCGGAACAGAAGAGAAGGGCTGTTTGGAAAATCGCCGGTGATGTGAGAGAGCATGGTGCCGAGCTTCTGCGAACAACATGGGAAGCCATTGGCTGGGAGACCACTATTGACGAGCAAAACCGCTACGGCCTCTCCAAGATTGGAGGATACCAAGTGCAATACGTCCCCGCCTTGGTTGGACCGATCGTCGAGTTGTGCCTGAGCGTTCACGAGGGTTTGCGACGAATGGCAGTTGAAGTTTTGCAGACAATGATTGTTAGCGAATGGGCGCTTAGCGAAGACTTGACTGTTATTCAAACGGAGATGATTGACAGCTTGGATCAGTTCTTCAAGTCCAAACCCCTGACAGAGAGCATACTACAGAAGCTCTTCATTGGCGAGGTGTTGGAGCGGTTTCAACCGCTGTCCGAAATTCCAGACGAGCCACTGTACGCCGCAGTTCGAGAACTTGTATCCACTTTGGACGAGTTTCTCGATCTGCTCGTTGCGGTTCACGGAGGAGACGACAGTGGAGAGGCAACAAGCATCATCAATCGTTTAAGACTAATGGAGTTTCTTCGTGATATGCAAAAGGAGGAAATTTTTGTTCGCTACGTGCACCAGCTTGCGACTCTGCAGGCGGAGAGCCGAAACCACGCCGAAGCCGGTCTTGCATTGCGCCTTCATGCGGATCTTTATGAATGGGATCCAACTAGACAAGTGACAGCTCTGGAAGAGCCAGAGTTCCCAGCGCAGACACAGTTTGAACGCAAGGAGAAGATCTATTTTGATATGGTTAAGCACTTTGAAGAGGGCGAGTCATGGAGCAATGCCCTAACTGCGTACAAGGAGCTACAGACACAATACGAGACCAATGTCTTTGACTTTGCGAAACTCGCTAGGACAGAGCGCGCTATCGCCACCATCTACGACACCATTTCCAAGAGCGAAAAACTGATACCGAGATATTTCAAAGTTGTATACAAGGGGTTGGGTTTCCCATCTGGTGTTCGGGACAAGGAGTTTATTTATGAAGGAGCTCCAACGGAACGTGCGGCGGCCTTTACCGATCGAATGCAGGAACAATACCCTTCAGCTCAGATTGTGACATCAGGGCGCATTGACGAAGTGGAAGGACAGTTCTTGATCGTATCTTCAGTAACCCCACACCGGGACATGTCTCATCAAGTATTTCAAAGAGCGCGTGTTCCCCAAGTCATTCGTGACTTCCTAGTGTCTTCGCATCCCCAGAGCTTCTCCTTTACAACCAAGCGTAGCACGGCTGGTGCGGTAGAGAACCACTATGCAGAGAAGACCGTTTTCGTCACTGCCGAGCCTTTCCCGACTATTCTGCGTCGCAGTGAGATCATTGAGACTCATGAGATTAGACTCGATGCTCACGAAACAGCTTTAGAGCGCATCGTGCGGAAGACACAGGAGATGACGGCTCTTGAGCGCCGACTATCAGATGGAGAGGAGGAAGTGGGACAACTTTTGCTGGATGCGACATCTATTTCCGTAAATCCGTCATCTGAGCAAAGCGTAATGTGTTATCGCGGGCTGCTTCCCGAACCTGAAGAGGAGGAGGAGGACGACGACGAGAACGAGGACGATGAGCCAGAGCTGGAGCCACATGACCTTGCAATCAAGATGGCGCTTGTGGACCATGCCATGATGATCAAGAGGGTTTTGGCCCTATTTGCCAGAAGCAACAACCCAATGCTGTCTCAGAAACAAGAAGAACTCCAACGATGTAAGTCAACCTTTGATTCGGCATGAACTGATTACCATCTAACATGTAGCCAGTTTTCGAAGTAACGTATGAGCCAGAGATTGCATTGTTTGCTCCTCCTCCTCCAACGCCTCGCGAAACAGTTTCGACCCCGTCGACAACTTTCCGAGGCACTTTTCCGCCAGTCGATGAAGGCCCTTCGCAGTGGGCACATATTGCCACGCCCTTGAACGGCACCAAAGCCGAGGAGACGTCCATTGTTCGCCAGGTATCACTTCGACAGCGAAGTGCCAGACTAAGCTTCTTGCCTGGGCGACGACAGCATCATCAACAACAACAGCAACAGCAACAACCATCGCCAACAAAGCAGGAGGGTGACGAAGCTCCTGAAATGGAAACCGCCCCTGGAAGCCCAGAGTCCAAGATGTCAACCAGCAGAAGCCGAAGCTTTAGTAAGAGCAGCCGACGACAGAGCATTTTTAAGCCACCGTCTGTGGACGAAAGCTTGCAAGATGCCGTGAATGGGAGTGGACGACGAGGCAGCTCAGCTAGCAAGGGAAGCGTGGATAGAAAGAGCAGCAGCATTGACGAGTTTGTAACGGAAGCAGAATATCCCGTGGTTAAAAGATCCGGAAGCATGAGGAAGAGATTAAGTCTTTTTAAGATGGGGATCAAAAGCAACAAGCATGGAGGGACGATGAGGAGCGTCGACGAGGAGTAGGAGAGCACGCCCAACGGGCGCTATTTGCATGGGGGAGATGGACGAAAAGAATAGGCGCCGCAAAGAACGGTGCCACAGGTGTGAACAATGTATAACATAATATTAGACACCACAGGCAGGAGGAGATCGTATACAAAGGAGGGACTGGATGCGAAGCGGGGGAGATGATACCACTGACTATCTTTCTATCTTTTATTTTCCTTTTCTTTGTGCACGTGGAGGAGAATCTATCCTAGGTGTTCTGGATACCACCGCGTGGCGATGCATATAATTCTGAAACAATGATGGGGGATTTCCATTTCCAAGACTAAAAAATACCAACGGCTGTGTATTTCAAACATGGTCTAGCTTATATGCGCATTTGCGAGCCAAAAAGAAAAATAGACAAAGTACACAGCTTCCTCTGCCATGTTTGCAGCTAGGCATTATGCAATCGTTGTGCAAAGTGGGTAGATGTCATGTACGTTGTTTCATGCATGCTATCCCATAAAGACGCAGGTCGTCGAAGCAGTCTGGTTAAACACCCCTCCGTCCAACGACTCAATTTCTCCTACCAATGCCCCATTGCCCTTGCTGCCGTCGAGGTCCCTCGTTCTAGGGAAACATGGCCAATCAGCTTCCGTCTTGCTTCCCATCTCCTTGAGCCAGCCTGCGCGAGGGTCCTTGCTACCCGCTGAATGAAACCAACTTTAGCCTTGTGACTATGTCTCTATGCCGCCGGTACCTCGTGTGCTTCAAGCCCCGGCATGGATGCAGAGATTGTTCGTACCCCCCCGCGCGGCTACTCGGTCTGTAATGCGTCCCCCTGCGGCTCTTCGTCCCCGGCGGGCTAGTAGTATTTGCCGGGGTGAATTGCGGAGCGGGCGGAACCGGGGCCGGAGCTCGTGGGACCCACGTCCCAATGAGGCAATTACATCAAAAGGGCTCCAAGGACTCACTGCCTCACCAAGGGGAAGTATCTACGCCATTTTTTTCTGAATCAGCTCAAGGATCTAAAGTGTGCCAAAGGCGGTGCTGCATAAGTCTACTGTATGGAACAGCGTGGTCAAGGGCAAAGAGCAAGTACGCATGCCATCTGCGTTGCGTTGGTGGCATGCGCGGTTCAAGGGGGTCGAAAGGTCCGCGGCTGCCCTGAAAATGCAACTAGTAAAGGGCAATGTTGCGCAGCTTGGACCATTTCACACTTCACAAATGACCACGCCAAAATTTTGGCTGTCAAAAATGTCCTGGTCCTTTGTTTTCCCTGCGCTTCGGACAAAGGTGTCATGCATGTGAAGCCTCCAGACTGACTGTTTACCCTAGACACCGGCGCTTTCACGAATTCTGCTGGCCTAAGAAGAGCAGGGGGACTAGTAGTTATGGCTTTTCTTTTCTCTTCTTCTTTCATTATTCATTTACATCTTAGAGTAGTATATAAGTTACCAGGTTGGGCAATGGACTGGTTAATATACGTCTTACGAGGTATTGTGGATGGCACTTCTGAGATTGAGGTCTTGGTATAAAGCGCGAGGTGTACTTGCCAATTTTGCTATGATGAGTGGGGATCAGGAGGATAAAATGGCAAATAATAGCTTACATTATGTGGATCGTGAGTATTGCCAGAAGCCGCAGAGGGACTACTGAGAACCGAGGCATAGAAACATCACACTGAGAGTTGTGGACACTGGTGGATATCCAAAGTATATTATATATATGTGTGTGTATGTATATATGTAGTTGACTTTTGCGTACTAAGATCTATCTGATGCAAAGCACAGTAGGACATGACAAAGTTAAATAAACTGATAGGTAAAATTAAAACATAGGGACGGTAGTTAGGATTATATTTACACGCAAGTGAAAGTCGACAAGAGCGGGCATGTAATTGTACCATGTGAAACCATCACTCCCGTGTCGAGCCGCACGAGGACTCCTGTTTCTCAAGTCTCATAAGACAACATTTGGCCAATGTCCTTACTCGTCGCGCTTCTGGAGACGGTACTCGAGAGCACGCTTGTGGCTGGCCTTGCTCTGGGTGAAAGCAACAGCGCCACCGAAAGGCCCGGCAAGAGCCTGGTTGCGAATACGAAGAATGCAGACGTTCTTCACGCCGCCAGCCTCACCTGTGCATGCGCAATCCTGGGGAATCTGGACCTGCATAGCGTAGTCGGTGTTGGTAGCGATGGACAGGCCGGAGATACCGGATCCTGGGACATCACGGACGACTCTGGCGGTCTTGAATTTCTTGGGGTCCTTGCCACCAGACTCGCAGTCAACGGCGGCAGTCGTGGGCCCAGCGCCATCCTGGTTGATCTAGATGGGTAGTGTCAGGTTAGTTCAGATGAAGGTGAAATTTTCCGCGCAACGAAAGTGTGACAAACCTGTCGGTAAACCACGTTGACAATGCCATTCTCATCAGCAGTGGGAAGACCAGACTTCGCACCCTGGCCGCGCATATCGGCATTCATAGTTTCCGTCGGGTAGGTCTTTCGGGAGCCGCCGAAGCCCAGAGTACCGACGATGGGAAGGTTGGCAATGCCCTGGAAGAGATTGCCCATCATATTCATTTCGTTGTCGCGGCGTTCCTTGGGGGTCAAGAGGCCCTGGAGATTGTCCTCGACGCCAACCGAGTCGGAAGCACCCTTGTTCCTGGGCGGCGCGTTGCCCTTGCCCATGAAGTTGGCGATGACGGCATTAGGGTCGACATTACCGGAGCCCTGGGTCCAACCGAGAGGACCATACTTGCCCGAGGCGATTTCGTTGTCACGGATGATGCAAGTGTCAGCCTGAGCGCCGCAAGAATTGACGACGCAGTTGCGAGGGGTGCCGTCAGCAACTGTTGGGAGTCTTGTCAGTTACGCTGAAAGCTTTGGGAAGGGTGATGAATGAAAAAGAGAGGCCATCTTACCACCGAGACCGGGCATGATGACACCATTGGCGCCGGCGATGGATCGGATAACACCGTGGCCGGAGACGGTGGTGGCAGCCACGGCAGCGAAGACAATTGAGTAACGCATTTTGGGTTATAAGAGGGAGTTAAGATGGGCTATTAAATCGGGCGTGACGAGTCACCAGGACTATTAATAAGAGGAGAACGAAGGAAGTAACGAACGGAGAGCTGTGAAGGGTTGATGGGAGTACAGAATGGATTTATCACGGCCTTGGGGGTTAGTGTTGTATATATAGCCCTACCCGTCGATACATATGTCTTGGACCTGGCTGGGGGACAAGAATAGTACAACATGGTGCTGGTGTAGTTTTGCCACGATGAGCTAGCAGTTAGATTGCACGCTCGTGCCCTCTCAGACCATGGCATGTAAATCGCCGTCACCGCAGCGCGGGACGCTGGTAGCCTCGCCGCAGGAAATGCTGGACATTGAAAGACAAGCTTTGCGCTTAGACGCCTTACTGATCACTGGGTCCAAAAGAGATGCCCGGCGCGAGGTCCAAAAACAGGGCTCGGGAACCCAAGGCCCTGGATACCCCGAGGACTGGAGATCGAAAAAAGAGGCATCTAACGAGACGCCTGAAACCACACGATTAGACTCCCACCGCAGACCGGGGGGGGGGGGGGGGGGGGGTGTTTTGGTGTGGTGGCGGTAGCGGCCACTAAACATCAGGCCAATGACGGACCACACCGGTCTGCGGAAAAGGTTATTATATTGAAGCAAAACAAGGCGGTGCCAACACCGTCCGTTGGTGCGTGTGTTTCGATTTGTTTCGTCTTTTCGTATTTCACGAATCTGGACGTCGACGTTGCACGATCGGTGTGTAACACTTCGCTCCGTCCCGACAAGCGGGTCTTTCGGACAAGACGCATGGCAGTGAGACCTGGCATGTGATTGTTCTTTCGCCTAGATACTACTAGGTAGGTCGACATGATGGGATTACAGGTTGCTGCCGACATCTGGACCGTCGTGATGGAAAGATTCAATGACGAAAATAGAGCCGGTGTAGAATGAGATGTGGGATTTAGTTACGGCAGTCATGGCAGGCCCGCAGCCACCGCCGCTACAGGATGTGGCGTTTCGAGATGACATGGCCTGACTTCTGTGCTAGACGCGGAGTTCGGGACATTGTTGGAGGCTGCAGAAGGCTGAAGACGTTGGGATCCAGCACTCCAAGGGTGATCAAATGCAACTTCCAAGGCCGTGGGGGTGGAGGGGCGGTGCGAGGGCGAAAGAGAAGGTGCGAGGGCGCAGGGCCACCGTTCTTGCCTATCTACCTAGGTAGGTATTTATGCAATATTTTTGGTAGACAAAGACATGGCACTACATGCGACATGGAGCATTGACTCTTCATGTCCATGTAAGTCGGTTTCCCAGCTGCTCCTTCCTTCTCTACGGAGTATGACATGTGGACTGTCCATTGGTCCATGGTGGAACTTTTGTTGTCCAAACTTGAATCCATTCGCCGGGAATCATGTTGCAATTGATGTCAACATTGTCTGCATCACGGTGCAGATAACCGCACAGCCGTGGGCACCTCGGACACATTGACCCCCTTGTGCCTGTGGCGTAGCATCTTGATCGTGCAGGGGTTTTTACGTGCATATTTGGCTTGGACCATCGTGGGCCATCTTAGCCCTCTTGGCGCTGCCAGGCACAGGTGGATAGATACTATATCTGGACCCCGCTTGACCGATTTGGACGCTATTCAAGGCTGCGGGGCACGTGAGTTTTGACCTTTGTGAAACGAACCGCTCGCCCGCTGTGCCTGATATGGACTTCGCGCTCAGCCAGCCACGTGATGCCCGTCACTTTAAGCTTTCCAACATCACCAAGCGGAAATTACACGGATCGCAGTTGGCAATAGCCTCCCTTTTCAGCCATGTTCAGGCCTCTCTGGCATTGACGTCTTTTCACCTTCTTCACACCTCTCCAGGGCGTCTACTCACCCTCCCATTACCTGTTCGTGTAACCCTACTTGTCTGGTCACCCCTACCAGTTGGTCGTGATCCTGGTTTCAACATCAGCCCGGTTCTCGCTGCTGACTTACACCGTCTCGTCTTTTGCTGCTGAACGCGATGGCTCGGGCCTCTCGCTTACGGGACTTCAATACAAGGCAAAGTCTATTCGGTTTAATCTTGATTAGCCTCGCGTGTTTGCGGCCGCTATAGTGTCTTGGCGCATCGTCTTGACGACCGAGGGCGACGGTGACGCTGTGCTTTGGTCGATGCCATCATGCCGCCCGCAAATCCGCCAAACCCGCTTCTCAACGTGCAAGAAATAGCCCGCTGGATTCTTTTCCCTCGTTGAATATTTAATACTTTGACTCTGGACCTCATCCTCACTTTTCCGTTTCCCTCCCTCATCAGCCAACTTCTGCTTCCCCTTTCCATTCTTTAATACAACATCAAACCGGCCTAGCGCTGCCCAACAACCTTCGTTGCCCTTTTTCTAATTTCATTAATCACAACTTTTACATATATTCAAAATGAGATTCTCCATCGTTTCCGCTGTCATCGCCTCCGCCGGCCTCGTCGCCGCCGCCCCTGCCTCGGAGCCCGGCAAGCGTGAGATGAACTTGGGTGGTATTCCTGGGTCCGGCCTTATTGGCGGCAGCGGCTCTGGCGCTGCCAACGGCGTCACCGATGCCTTCCAGCAAGCCCTCGCCTTGTTGTTCGGAGCTGGTGATGCTGTCCTCAACAACCCCCTCGACGCCGTCACCAAGTTGTTCACAAACCCTACCCAGGCTCCGGCTGATATCGCCAAGAACCTCATGGGCTCTGTTACCGGCCTTGCCAAGGGTGCTGGAAATGTTGTTACCGCCATTCCCAAGGGTGTCGGCCAGGACATGGCCAAGGCCAGCGGCAAGACCAACTAGAGACTTGTTTTTTAGCATCTAGACTGCTCACAGTACGTCTCATCACCTACCATGACAGCTACAGCACGAGAAATGGAGTCTAACAAAAAATAGAGTCATAGTGTGAAGCAGTTGAGTGAGATGGGAGTCGCGTCACCGCAAATGGCGGCCTTTTTTGTTTCATATTATTCTCTCTGGCACCGAGTGTGTGGATTTCTGCACTCAAATGATTGTCTTACTGTATAATCACAACTTGACGTTGTATAAAACTGCGGTTTATATAATATAGAAATGTCACGTCTGTCCTACTTCCAGTGGTTTTTGTTGAACCATTTCCTGGCCATGCGTGTGAATATGGGGCCCATCTCGCGGCGATAATCCGTGGGCGCTCGGGATATTAAAGTGATCGACGTCGTGCCGGAGCAGTTCGTACATTTACTACGTAATTATACCTTGTTCTAGGGCTGGTTGTGGGGTCCGTCAAACAGGGTCTTTTGCAACCTTTTGCAAGGATTGTAGCCAGTCGCACACTCGGCTCAAGCTGGAGGCACCACAAGACCAGTTTGCCTGTGCTCAGTGTTTGGTGGCAGGCCCAACTTGCATCTAATTACATGGGACGCATTGCTTCTTTTAGAATCTCTTCAAGCTTGTTTATCCGAGCCAGTCTCGGCTTTGTCTGCAAACTGTCCGGGGGACTGTCATAAACGGCATCGACCGTTTCGGGTGGAGAATTTGTTTCATGGGCTCGAGCTGCCGTGATGCTTGCGAGCACCAGCTTGTCGAAAACACCATCAAAGCACGCGGGAATGTCAACAACCGTGTCTCCGGAGTTACCTACCACGGAAATGACTACGTCCTTGCTCCCAGTAACGATTCCAATAACCTGTTCTGCGACCAGGGTTGTCTGTATTGGTCTGTGACAAGGGCTTAGTGAGGGCTTGGAGCATCATGGTTCATATTCATCTAATAACGAACTTTAGTATTAAAGGTCCTTGGTCTTATCAAGGCCTGGTGGGACCAAATAGCTCTATTTACGCAAGAAGTCGGCGAGAGCCCTGTGCTCTAGGCCTCGTGATCGTAGCCCTCCGTGTAACCGTGTGACATGGTCTCTCTGTTCGCCTCTGTCAGAGTGGTTATCGGGGTTGACCACTCGGCTATGGGAAGCAAAGATCCCAGTCAAGCGACTCTTGGCCGAATATCCTTGATATCCAGCTAATAAGCGTGCCCTCTTGGCTCTCTCCTGTAGCCTTTGACAGCATCCCTAGGAAAAGCAGAGGGAGGGAAAAGGGAAAAAAAAGATGACCATAATGTCGGCTCTCCCACGTTTCCTTGAGAAACCGCTTCTCAGCACCCGCAGCCCTCAGCTCCCTCTCATTAACCGCCATCATCAGCACAACCGTCATCGTCGCTAGCCGTATCTGTCCAAGCATCTCCGAAACGGGCCGCCGAGAACCTAGATGCTCTCGGTGGAGCGGTTCTAGACACAGCCTGGTGTCGAGAACCAATACAGTCCTAACGAAAACGGGAGAAGAAACACTGCAAGTAAACTTCTTGTTCAACGCTGCAAGCGCTCCTGCAGCTAAAGGAGAAGCAATCCACATGCGAAAGATGGAGACCGCGATTCACAGAATCTCTCTGAGAATAGCCCAGGTAACAAGTGTAAGACAGTGGAGGCAGCGTCAAGGATGTTGGTGTATGGGAAGGGAGAGAGCCACGGGAAGTGACCTCATTCTGATTGTAAAAACAAGTAGATCTCTTACTGTTCTTGACTTGGTACAGCCCAATACTGAGTTACCAGATGTTGTGCCTGCACGATGCCTGTATCATGCTTGTATTATCATTTGACATGGGAGGGAAACAAAGAAGAAAAATTAGTAAAACAAGTAGTGCTTCTTCCATCTTTCTCTTTTCTTGAGCTGACACTGTCGGTTAGATAGGCCTGGTGGATTCGCCTCGAGTGAGACTGAGAAGAGATTGCAAGAAAAGAACTGGATTGAGACGTTGGAAGCTCTGGAGCCGCTTAAATTTGATAATGGTTCTCGGTCATAAGAACGCACCGCTAATTCAAGTCTAGAGATGACTTGCTACCGGACGAATGATGGTACAATCACGGTGGTGGCAGGGCCCTTTTGACCACATCGTCACCACTAGGACATAAACGATGCTCTTTGATGTTTGACAAAAAACAGGAAGTATTTATATGGTTCTTCGAAGTGACCATCTGCCACACCTGTAGTACCCTAATCCCGTCGCCATCACGTTCCACCCTAATATACACCTCCCAAGACCGGTATATACAAAATCCCCGCTCAGCTCATACCATGCAAGCCACAGCCCTTCATATAGCCGTCAACTCTTCCAACCGCCTTTCTAGCTCGGGAACCTGCCGCAATTTGACTTCCAACTCCTCCTTCTCATCCTCCAATCTTAATCGTTTATCAGCATCCAACCTTGTAAACACGTACTTGCCCTGCCCATCAAACTGAAGAATATGTGTGTGGTACTTCCACAAGCTCCTTCTGTGACTGACAGTCATGAGCGTGATGCCCAGAGCCTTGGCATTGTCGTACATAATCTTTTCTGTTTCAAGCGTAACACTACTCGTGCACTCATCCAGGATGGCGTACTTGGGGCGATGGTAGAAGAGGCGAGCCATGGCAACGCGCTGCTGTAGCCCGCCAGACAATACGTCACGCCATTCCGCTTCGGCGTCCCAGCCTTCGGGGTACAGGTCGACGAGGTGCTCGAGCTCGAGAAGTTTCAAAATGGACATGAGATCTGCGTCGGTGACGCTGCGGGCGCGCATTTGGCGCAGGGAATCGGGGTAGATGACCTGTTGGCGCAGAGAGCCGCGCGAGAGGTATGGGCGCTGGGGCAGGTAGAAGATTGCGTGGAAAGGAGGTTTGTAGACAGTGCCGCCGTAGACGGGCCAGAGGCCGCCGAGAATACGGAAGAGTGAGGATTTTCCACAGCCGTTGGGGCCGACGACAAGCAGGTGGTCGCCTTGGGAGAGGGAGAACGATAGGGCTTTAACAAGGACATCGCCGTTTGGTGAGATGATTGGTCTGAGAACATGTCAGTATGCTAGTCCATAAAATGGGCAGCCAGTGCGTGGCAACTTACACATCGATGAACTTAATGTCTTCGCTCTCGTGAACGGTCCCTCGTCCCCGCAGAACAGCCTCGTTATCTTCGGTACCGCTGGATGAGACAAGTCTCTTCTCAAAATGGCCCGACTGAATATCGTCCATGACATCCAGCAGCGAAGCAACGCGCGACGTATAACCAGCCAACTCCATGATTTCTCTGTAAGAGAACATGATACGGCCGAAGGCGTCTGAGGCGGAGAGCAGCATGCGTCTGTTGGTAACAAACGACTCGGTCCTGTCGCCCATGTTCATCGCAACCTGGCCGGGCAACTTGACAAAAACGGGAACACTGCAAAGAAGCAGACCCAATGCACCCCAGAAATACTTGATGACAAAGTCCTCCATGAATCCGTGGTAGAACCGCCGCCTCAAAATGTAGTTAACATGCTTGATCAGCGTAAAGTAGCCCTTGTCTAGAGTGTCTTTTTCGGCGACATGACCACCATATAGGGCAACTTCCTCGCTATAGTCTATCAAACGCGAATGTTGAAAGCGAAACTCTCCTTCTAGTCTGGCTTCGTCGGCGACGTATTTGCCGAATGGTGGCGTGAGGACTCTCATCATGTTGGCGGAAAGCTGAACGAGGAGTGACATGAAGACCACTCCCTCGCCACCAACACTCTTAGAGAGGGACCATGTGTAAATGGTCTGAAGAAATGTTAGCAGTCTCCTCATTCATCCCTTGATCCCCAATTTTTGACATACCATATCTAACAGTGGCTTGGCCAAGTTGCTATACAGTTCCGCCAGGCTGTTGGAGAACTTGGAAACGTCCACGGCAATCAGCTGATCCGGATTCTTTATCCGGTCATCAAGGGCTGAGATGCCGTAAAACGTCAAGTTGGACAGGTATTTGTCGTGGATATACTGCGTTAACCTGGTCCTGTACTTGAGCGACAGCTCTGCTTGGTGATATGACAACTAGCCACGTCAATCAGCACACATCTATCAACGGCATGAACCTATCAGAACCTACCATGGAGTTCGTAAAAGTAGCCGGCACAGCAATCAACATCCACCAAAGAATCCTGGTCATGAACTCCTTTCCATTGCCCTTGACCAACGCCTTCACAATGGCACCATCCATCTCAGCTACCCTCAAACTAATCAGCGTTCTCAGCACCAGAAAAAAACTATGGCTAATCAGCATCCTCGTTTCCGTGCTACGCCATCCCGGAACCACAATTTTGAGCAGCCGCAGCAACGACCGGAAGAACTGGCGATCGAGCGCTACCTTCTTTTTTGGCGTCTCTTCGCCACTGGTCGAAACAGTGGCGCGGCGGGCTTCGCGCTGAGCTGCTTCGCGTACCGACGCAGCTTTCTGCTCCGAAATGGCATGGCGCACGCGGTTGACGAGGGCAACGAAGAGAGTGATCCAGATGGCGCGCGAGATGCGAGTTCGGTTGGACAGGTAGAGTCGTGTGAGTTCCGTGACGATGTTGCGAATGGTGTGGTCCCCCGAGAGGGAGAGCTTTGATTGAGACGCCATGGCCGGAGCGGGAACACAACGAAGGACCGTCGTCTATGCCAAGACAGCTCGCGTGTGCTTCTTGCTGCGTGGAGTAGTAACGGCAGGGCGGTCACGTTCGGCGCATTTGGCATTTGCGAGGACGGCGACGAACGAAGCTTGACGCTCGCAGGAGGAAGCACCCAAGCGACCCCCCAGAGCTGAATTCAAGGATCAAACACCTTGGGGACCTGTCTTTGGAGCTGTTCCCCGGGATCAGGGAAATTGAATGCAGAAAGGAAAAGAGGTTTGCAACACCAGGAATATGGTTGTTGGAAAGCATGTGGTCGGACTTGGCATCCACTACCCCAGCTCTCCCTCGGTCCCAGACTCTACTCCAGCCAGTGATGGCGGGATACGGGGAATTCCAGCCACAGAATACGCTTCCCGCTGCCAGCCGGGCATGTGAAAGCACCCACCAGCCACAAGGACAGCTTGCAGCGTCAACGGGCTGTCTACAGCACCAGCCACACTTGTGCTTTTTTTTTTTTTGGCTTTGCCTGATGCCCCTCTACCCCAAATCTTGAAAATCCGCCACCAACACCGTTCATTCGCAAGTTCTCCTGATCAAGCCTTATCCTCCGAAAGAAGGCAAACATTCGACCAGTTTAATCCCCCTATTCTCGGTACTCCTTGACCTGAATACACCCATATCTTCCAGCTCTATACACAAGAAATCTGCCCAGCATGTCCGACGACGAAAACCTCTCCATCTATGACGAAATCGAAATCGAAGACATGACCTTTGACGAAGCCCTCCAGCTATACCACTACCCTTGCCCCTGCGGCGACCGCTTCCAGATTGCCCTGGACGACCTACGCGACGAGCAGGACATTGCAGTTTGTCCCAGTTGCAGCCTGATGATCCGCGTTATTTTCGACCTGGTGAGACCCGCCCCCCAACCACACTCACTATACCTCGATTTGTGAACGGATGGCTTTCTTGTCGTGGTTTTCGCGCATCAGTCTTCCCGGATGCTAACCCTATTTCAGGACGATTTACCGAAACCACCACCTTCTGGAAACGGAGCACAAGTTCCTATCGCTGCTTAGACATGCCGTTAGGATGAAAACGAGGAACTCGCAAGCATCTGAAGGGCATCATTAAGCAGAGCCGTCAACGTTCCTAGAACCTACTCGCGGGCGAACCCAATCTGTTGGTCGTCCAACACATTTGCCGAGATCGCTGTAACCCCCAGCCCGAATCGAGTCATCTCGTTGCGCCAATGTCCAGTGGGAGGCAACAAGTATTTGCCCACCCGATTGCTTGCGCAGAGTGGCCCAAGGTTGGGCAAAATTTTATCGCCTCTGACTGTAGGATAACATGGAACAGCGAATGTGGGAGGCCTCTGGCAAGCTGCAAAGGCCCAAGACAATGCACAGGGGTAGGGAGCGCATTATCGGCATCAAAATTCGAATCCATTATGAACGTGTCCTCTCAAGACTCGACTGAGTGACACATAATTCGGCGGAACTTTATGCAATAATGGATGGACAGGTGAGGAACATGTAGAAACCTGGCTCTGCACGGTCTGCAGTACGATGCCTGCTTTTGACGGTGGTCAGGATGCTCAAGGCGCTGGAAGACCGCCATGGACTTTGTCCGTATACATATAGCTGGGCCAAGGCATGTATTGTATGGTTCGCAGAGTGTCAAGTCCCTGACAGTGCTTTGGCAATGTCCCGGGCTGCCCGCCACCAAGCAGCTCAGAATACCGGCTTCTCATGTTCAAGTTGAGCCAAGGATTCGCCCCGACTCGCTGTTTGAATGAGAATACAATCTCACACCTCGCAACTCTCCGCTATCAAGCATTTGAATACTATTGTATTAATCCCTGCCGGAAAAGGCAGTTTTGTCTCTGTGGATAAACCAGACTCTGGCATTGAGTGCTGGTGTCCAGTTAAAACCAGAATGTGGTATCTCTATCTATTAATGCCGGACCCGCCTGGGGCGTTGTCTAAATGAACGCTGATGCGTTTGTTGTGAATGCACTTGTCAGCCACCTCCCTTGGTCTGCCGCTGCCGTGATATAGAAACGGGCCACGACCGAAGGGTGTACAAATAAATCATAAGAATGCATGTGCCCGCACGAATTGCGACGGAAAGAGCGCGCGTACACCGCTCGCGTGATGGCGCGATGTCGTGTAGAATCATTAGTTCGTATGCCAAAATGTTGTTCCCCCAATCTCAAAAGCTGCTTGCCTGATTACCGATCCTAATCTTCCCATCGTTGCATGATCAATGCAAGGTTGAATGCCTGTGCAAACTGCCCGTGTTTATAACATGACAAGACCCATGATGCAGAATCCCAAGAGACCAGCCATGGAAGCTTGCATCTGTTGTGGAATGGCGCCCCCGGTGAGTTCTGCCGTGTGCGATGTGGTGGTATTAGGCGTTGTGGTCGGTGAGGTTGTCGTGATAAAAGGAGCTAATGAAGTGTTAGGATGCTGTACAATGCAACACAAATCATTTACGCTGAAGATGCCATGGAGGCCGAGTAACATGATAAGAGGAACATACTGGTTGCGTTGACAGACCGCGAGCGGCCTAATGTCGTACCGCTCTGCAGGACAGCGGATATGCTGGTTGATCTCGCCAATGGTTTCTCCGTTGGTATGGAAGCACTCGGGGAGTTGGATGGCTCTCCTGATGAAGTCGCAATGGCTACAGACGCGGCGCCAAGTGCGCCTAGAAGGTGGGTGATGCGCATTGCGGCTGGTTATCGAGCGGCTGAAGACAGAATTGTTCGATGACACCGGGGCAGCGAATCTCGAGGGTACTGAACGCCGACGAATTGATAACTTGCGACGAGTGTTTGTAAGACGAAAATAAAGAGAGCAGCTGCCAAGAATTAAATCAATAGGCCTGGTATGCTGCTCTCCTCGCGTTCATGCGAAAGGCTAACGGTGATAGGATTGTCTTGGTGTTGATTCTAAGATGGATGCAAACGGATGGTGCAAGAGTGCCGAGTATTGATTGTGTTTGCACACGGCGAGAGCGGATGTGACGACAACGGCGACGGCGAAGGCGACGCAGGAGTAGAGTCGAGTTATAAGAGAGCACCAACACGACAGTTGCAGGGCTGACAATGACCTTCTCCACGAAGCTTGGTATTTGCCAAGTGGACAGGAAGTGGGCAAGGTTGTATGTACCCATATAAAGCCGGAGCTTGAAGCTGGGAAAGAAGCAAGCAAATGGACATGTGAATTGGGTAGGTGGTAATGTCGAGTGGTGTGAAAATGGCCTGGTGCGTTATCTCCTGTCTCGAGGTTGTTGGAGAATTGTACAGTGGGTGTACAACAGCTTCGATACACCCCAGTTCATTTGCTGCATGCAGGTGGGGAGTTGGACAAGGGAAGCAGGGGAGTGCGTGCGGCCATCTTGCTTGCCTTGCGGGAGCCGTCGTACATATCAAAGGGGGGACAGAAAAATTTGGAAAAACTACGGAGTAATAAAAAAAAGAAAGAGAGAAAAGTGGCACCAAAATCGAAAAGAGCCGTTTTGCTGGAGAGCTGAATGGTGAGTGGTGGGTGGCAAGTGGTGGCTGGACCAGCAGTATGTACAAACCCAAGGCCGCTGCTAGTATTAGTACACCGGACAACTCAATGTAGAAAGACACGCTTTGCCTGTAACGGTAGCCGCGCCATCTGGGTGTAGCCGATTGGCACGCCGTTTCGTGCGCGCTGACACAAAGTCTAGAGCATCAACATTTAAAAAAAAATCATGGCTCACACAGCATGAGTCGCTAGTGGCGGAAAAGCTGTCGAGGAGGTCAACTGGGTGTGGTGGAGACGGTAGATGGTTGGGGTGCTGAGATGCACCAATTGACTCAAGTAAGTGGCTTGCAATACATGTGGCTTAGGTAGATTGCTGGTACCCTTGTTGCTATGCTTCGCCGGTTGACGAGTGGCTGAGTCCGAAGCAGGTACATTGGATCGATGTTGTCATAGAGCCTCGTCTCGTCTTCATTACTCCGTACGCAGCACCAGAATCCCACTTCGGCCATGCGGCTTTGACTCTGGTTTTGCCGCATGCGTGCATTGGGCCACGGCAGGAGCTGGACGGACAGAGCTTCGGGCAGAGCTTCGGGCAGAGCTTCGGGCAGAGAGGCAGAGAGGGCTTTGGGCCGGTGGATGGCCGGCCATTGGGGTGGTGCTGCCAGGTAATCACAACAAGTGTTGCAAACCTGCTGCCAAACGAACCGTGGACGTGATATAAAAATAACGTCAGAGTACATATGTACATGTACGGAGTACGGAGTACTACTACTACGGAGTCTTGCATATTGCAGCTATGGTGGACGTGCCACTTGCTTGCACAATGCCTGCTACCACACGCTCCTGTTCGCTGCGGCTATTGGTGACCTTTGCGGCTGTTTGCCAGGTCGCCTGGTCGCTCCTGCCCCCACTGCCCCCGAACTAAACCAGCAAGAAACGCCATCGAAACGGCAGACGGGGCAGCAGGGAAGCAAGCAGGCAACGGCTCCCCTTGTTGATCCAAATGTCCAAGTCATGGCCGTCACCGTTCACCAAACAAGTTGTCATGAGGCTGTTTCGACTGTGGCTCTCTGTATCAGACTGTTTATTTATTTGGCCCACCGCTGATCGCCTTTCTAAGCTACCTCACACCGTCCTCAACTCTCAAAACTCTGTTTGCGGCCTTTACAGCATCGACTCTACTATCACATAACCGGCAATAAAAGGTTTGCGTCATCTGGGCCAAACACAGCAAGGATCGCCCACGACAGCAACGGCAACAACCTGTTTACATACTTGGTTTGATGGTGCAGATACGAATGAATGCACATGGCCATGGCAACTGCTCAACTGCTACTCCGTACGAACTACCCAACTCTGGTTCAAGGTATGGCGACGACTCCCATTACAAACCATGACCCATCCCCTGAGATGGTATGGTTGACCGCCACAGACAATCAACAGAGACTTCTTGCCTAGATTCTCCATAATATCGATGGCCAGCAAATTGACGAAATTGCTCGCAACTATTGCTCGGTACCCACAAGTCGTGCGCTGATGAAATGATGCTTATCTCGCCTGTACGGAGTACCGTTCAGTGGCTCGTACTCGCAAAAATTTAATCAGACGAGGCTTGTCCGGAACCGACCGGGGTGGCAAACAAAGCTCACCCTAATTAGTACTGCCGATAGCGAAGCTTTTTCTGTTCTAGACCTCCAGAAAGCTTAGCCTTGGCCCTGACCAACTGGAACTGTGAGCACAGAGACATGTCTCTGACCAAGAGGGCATGGGCATCGTGAACCCTCCAGACTCTGTCTCGAATCGCATCCTATGCCCTTGTTTCCATAAACCATCCTTGTGCTATTCAGTTTACCAAGGCTGCCATATCAAATGAAATGCAATCAATGCCTACTGGGTAGCGTCCGTTTCCTGGAAGGTACTATTGTAGGCTGCCAGGGTCGCTCGTTCATTTCCTCCTGGTCATCGATCCTTGAGGATCTAATTCCAGGATACGGAGAACTTGTCGGACCGAGTCAAGTCACGAAACAAGGTGTTTGTCACGAATGGATTGTACTGGACAGTACGAAGCACTAGTATGGAGCGGAATTATTTCTTGCACTGCATTGCAGGAACCTAGCATGGACATGGTCCGCTCATCTCAGTGGGGTTTTGCAGGCGTCCTGGGTGGTTGTACGGAGTAAGTGGTTGATACTTGGCCCGACAACGATGTCTGCGAATAATTGCTTGAAGGCACACTCCGTACAACAGAAGACGGGGCATATTCCAGCTTGGACAATTGATGGCCATGCCCCAGGTTCCAAGAATGTGAGCTGTGGCGTGAAGAGGATGTCTAGCAAGATTGACGCGGCGCGCGGCACGCGGCAACATTTGAACGCTGCTACACAAGCTGCACGCGAACTGCTCACCATTTCGACGATCTCGTACTCCGTACTCCGTACAATGGCACAAAAAGCACCCCACAACGCAATCTGGCCTGTGGCGAATCTACCCGGATATCACGATGCGACCAAGCAGCTTTCGATTCAGAGAAGAAAAGGATCTTGGCGTTCTGCAGG